ACTTGTTAAATCTTTTGATGGTGCCCCTCTTATGTGCCACCCATTTTTCAATTGGCTACGATTTTTTTGTTTTTTACAAAATACTTCAATTTCTTTCACACCCCCCCCCCCCCCCCCCCCTTTTTTTTTTTTTTTTGTTTCTTATTGTGGTTTTTTTAAGACATGTAGGTAAATTTTGATTATCACCTAGACTTTTAGTATGCAGCCCCATCATAGGTCTGGAGTAATTGACGGCCAACTCGACTCGCCTGTTCCGCATGCCAATATGTCTCCGCGAGTTCGTCGAGGATCCTAAGACTTCTCTCTACATCATCCCTGGCCGACTTCCTTGTGGTTTCCAGTGTAGTGTGCCTTAAACTGCGCAGAGCTACTGTCAGGGACAGAGATGCCGCGTACGGGATGAAGGGAAGTTTTGATATATGAAGATCGAAAAGGAATGGTATTTGCTGAGCGCAATACTTGTGTCTAACTCTTGAGCTTTGCATTATCAAAGGCAATGTACTTTCAGAGCTACGAGGTTCGATGGTTTCGATTTGGGCTGGGCGGTAGGATATGACGCCGATAACGTTATACAGTAGCTCTAGGCAGGCTTGCGTGGATGGATGCAGGATTTGAGCATTGCAGTCTTTTACCAGCTCCTCAAACTCGGGCCATGATGCTTCCCAAATACAATTTTCTTTTGCTATCTCATCGGGCGACCCCGCCTGATACAGGTCTAGGACACGGTTAAGCATCTTACATAGACGAAATAGTAACGTAAGGCCTGGGGATAACGATCTCATTATATTGTCGTCTTGTGTTGGTAAATATATCTCGTTAATGTGAATCATTGTTGGCCGACCGGTTATCATGGCAACGATCTTATCAAGTGCAAACAGGGAGCAAAGTAACTCCACACGGCGTGCTTCCGAAATCACGTCTCCGGGCCGCGAAGAGTAGTGTAACCCAGAAGAATAAGCAAAATGAACAGCTAAGCCGCATAATCGGGCAACTTCGTCATCTCCATCTGGACCATAGGAGTGAAAGGTCATTAAAGCGAGGACCTGGACAAGCTCTAATCTATCGTCGACGAGTCCGATATCTTGAGCTATCTTTAGAACGCCGAAGAGTCTGTCAGCAAAATCACGGGGCGTCTTGAGAGCGAACTGCCCATCTTCAATCTCCGGAAGGTTAAGGTACTGTTTGGCTGAAGGGCTCTTGCAGGCGGCCAGGCAGATAGCCTGCCTCAATACGATGGTAGCCGGATTCTCTTGACTGATGGGGCCGGTAAATGCCTGAGTGCTGAAGTCGACGATGGGGAGGATAGGGTGGATTTCCTGCTTGTATATCTCTATGATAGCATCAAGATCTGGCTGTGGAGGGAGAATCTGGAGACATTCGATTTCCAAATATGGTAATACTGCTTTCACCACCATTGGTAGGTAGCCCGCGGCGACACCCGGACGCCGCTCGGAGGGTGGTGCCCTCATATCCTGAAAGGAAGGGCGGAGGATACGCGATGGAGGGAGCTGCTGTGTTGGGTCCATCTCTACACCTGAAGCCGTGCAAATAGAGAGGAAAAGGGAGTGCGCTGACGAGGCCCCAGCGAAGGGGGCTGTGAATCGTGAAGCGAGTGCGGATGGTAAAGCTTGCTGATTATTGTTATCAATTTCTCTGGAGTCGAATGATTCGAGCGGCTGTTCATCTACGGGACGAACAGGGAGTTGGCCATCTAACAAATCCGACACGGCCATGGTCACTTGATGCCTAACTCTTTCCTGTTGCACTGGGGTCTCATCGCTGATACCATGGCTACATTTCCGTTTTCCTCTCCTGCAAGGATCACAAGCTTTCTTTACTTGCTTGCGTTTGGACCCGCTGCCATCGCCATAGTCTCCGAGAAATCTGATCCTCTTCATGTCGTCTTGTGAGGAAAGTGTAAAAATTCCCACGGAGAGCAATCAAGAGAAAGTCCGCAGGGTCCAGCGGTGTGTGGACCTTCTTAATGCGGCAAGTCCGCAGATCGTCAGTGTGATGTAACGCTGCGCTTTTAGCATTAACAATCTACTATGCACCAACATCTACGTTGTATGAATTGTATGAGTTGTGTGATAGGAAGAGCATACGGACCTTGAAATATTCTTAGAACTAAGATTAATAATGTCTCGAAATGATCTAAGTGGTTTTTTAGGCCTCTACGGCACGTGTAGGTATTTATATAAAGAGCGAGGTCGAGATGCGAACATTAATTCTGACATCAATTCCTCACATAAGAAAGCTCAGTCGAGATTAGTAAAACTTTTGAAATATTTTCATATCTCAATATGCATCTCTCAACCCATACATGGATGCGACCAGAGCCTCTTGAGGTAACTCTGAAAAGAGCAGCCTCCCTGGGCTATACGTCAATCGAGCTCGCCGGCGAACCCTCTAGATACACTGTTAGCGAAACACAGGCCCTCTTAAAGAAATACAACTTGTCTTGTTGGGCCACTGTAACTATCATGTACGGCTCTCGAGATCTTTCTGCCGTAGATCCAATCCAACGAGAGCAGACGGTTGGCTACATGAAGAGTGTCGTCGACTTAGCTGCTGGGTTGGGGGCAAAGACAGCAACTGTGGTCCCCTGTACCGTAGGCAAGCTTCACCCGGTAGCAAGCGCGTCTGAGGAATGGGGATGGGTCGTGCAGGGTGTACGAGAGGTGGCGCAATACGCCTTACAGAAGGGAGTGCGCATAGCAATAGAACCTCTCAACCGATTCGAGACGTATATAATCACGAACACGTCCCGGGCATTGCAGCTCATCGACGAGGCAAATGTACCGAATCTCGGCATTGCATTCGACCCCTTTCACCTGAATATCGAAGAACCGGATCTAATCGCCGCGCTGCGGAAGTGCGGTAACAGGCTTTATGACTTCCACCTTGGCGAAAACAACCGTCTCTCTCCAGGTGACGGTAGTCTGGATTGGCCCTTGATCGTCCAGACGCTACGCGAAATAGGTTACGATGGTGGCCTGGCGCATGAAGCTATGCCACCAATTGATCGGTCTTCAGGTGGCCGGTTCGGGCTAAAGCAATTAGAAGCCGAACCATGGGATGTAGATGAAGGGACTCTGCAGTTTCTAAAAGACCATGCTAGTGGTGTATTAAGGGACGACTATTATACTGCTATGATAGCACGTACGGCGGAAACCATTCTCCCACTGATTAAGCAGATGTAATGGATGTGATGGATGTGATGGTTGATAACATCAATGGTAGCAAATCAATGGTAGCAAATCAAATAGAGTTGAGGTGGTTGTTACACAGGAAATAAAGCCTTAGAATAAAGCCTTAGACTTGATTGGTCAATTATATTATACCAAACATAGGAGGTACCTACCTATGTAGGTAGTCCAGCGTGATTGCCAGGCACAATTCTCGAATCATTACATTGACGTCATATTTCTACCTCTAGGTAATGTTAGTATGCATAAAATTCAAACGCCCCGGGACTAATCCGCTTAGTCCGGTGACTTACGCGGACATAAGGACTTAAGATACAAATATCCGAGGCCTCCATAATGCTTCCGCATCCTATCAGGAGATTTATAGCACCTTTTCTACTATACCTACGCGATATGCAAGGCTGGCGCCAGCCGCTATGATGCCACGGAATATACGGACTCTTTATCGTATATGCTATCACTTAAGCTGAAGTGTCTTAGTATCTGTTGTCTACTAAATACCTACATTAGGTATATATATATATATATATATATAGGTAATATAGGGTGTTCTAACTCAAACATGTCTTTATTAATCTTCAAATCTGCTCATACTGCTCTATTCTGACTGTGCCAGCTTGATCATTATTCACTTAACTAACAAGTACCCCTACAATGGATTCGCCGAATACAAACCCCTATCATTTACCCTCAGATGCCGTCTGGTTCAGTTAGTAATCCGACTATACCCCTATTACCCCTTACCCGTATAGCTCCTAACCCACGTGTAGTTACCGGATGCTCTTCTGGAATCGGTCAATCCTTAGCTCAGTTCATCACACAGACCTCAAACCGCGTGGTAGCTACGGCACGCAAAGTATCATCTTTATCAAGCCTTCCAACTAACGACCGCGTTCTCAAGCTAGAGCTAGACGTCACTTCCATCCCTAGTATCGAGGCTGCTCTCCAAGCTACGGTAGACAAGTTTGGCCGCATTGATGTCGTAGTTAACAACGCAGGATACACTCTCGTTGGTGATACCGAAGCTGCTGAAGACCAGGAATCCCGGGCAGTGTTGGACACGAACTTCTGGGGTATGGTAGACGTGACTAAGAGAGCTCTGGGAATCATGAGGGACGTGAATCCCAAAACTGGACAACAGGGTGGTGTAATTTTGAACCTGAGCTCTATGGGTGGCTGGTCGGGATACCCAGGGAGCTCTTTTTATCATGCCAGTAAATTCGCCATGGAAGGATGGACGGAGGCTGTGGCAAAGGAGTTGCCGGCTTCGTGGAATAGTAAGTACACCGCTCCTATCTTGGAAATAGTTGGATTCCAAGTATTCACTTTAGCTATATGTAGATGGTCTGCTAATGTGCAAAACTTTTCAGTTCATTTATGCAACATCGAGCCTGGGGGTGTGAAAACCAACTACGCGACGTCTTCTCTTAAACACATGGCCAAAAGACACCCGGCCTATGCCGACCCTAACTATCCCACGAATGTCTTGCTAGCCTACATGCTAGATGAGGAATGTCGCAGCTTGTGGTCAGAGCCGAGTGCTCTAGCTGCAGCAATGTATAAAATTGTAAGCCGCGGTCAGCGAATCCCGATTCGAGTGCCGTTAGGAGCCGATTCTTGGGGGATGATAGCAAAGGACCTCGAAGACACTAAGAAAGACCTGGACGAGTTGAAAGAGATCAGCTTGAGTGTAGGTGACCCGAAGCAGCTGGACACTATCAATTTTTTGAAGTAGTCTAGGTGATATGAACACGATTACCTCGCAGTTATGTTCCATAGTCTTGATTTGCAATACAAGATTGAAGTGATCCAACAGTTATAGACAGAAGGCATAGGGTGTCTTGATTTTAAAATACAGAAGTGCGCCTGCGTGGTAAATACCCCTCAGGCACTTGACAACAATACCATCGCTAGGCAACCAGATAACGACAATAGTTCCCTAGCAACGCAGGATAAACTTATAATATGCATTAACTGCCCCTCTATCACTCCTGACCTGAAGATACGAAGCCAAAAAGGCCGTGGCCTAGTGGTCTGAAGGGAAGACGGCGTAGATAAAATGCCTTCGCGGTGTTTTTCGAAGGTTCCGGGTTCGAGCCAGCGGCAGGGCGGCATGGAAGGCCTGCTTGATCTGTCAAGTGTGCGCAGTTCGAACTTTGGAACCTGCTTTTTTATTTTTTATTTTAATTTCCTTTTTCCTCTTCATTTCTTCCAGTAGTTATTACATTACCATGCACTTTATTTGTTGTAAGTAACTACATGTATGTAGTTTTGTCTACTTAGGTATGTTTCTAAATGATAAGTAGGATACCTAGGTACTCTATCATATAACAACCGTCTTTTAATTATTACAAAGTTGAAGCTCTAATAATATTGTAGAATCGGGATTCGAGGTAGTAAAAGACAAGTTGAGTAGCTCTGTTTTTCCATGATATGGCCCAAGAGTATATATAGATTACTAATCTATCTATCTAGCTTCTCTTGCACCTTTATCACCTCTCATGACGTTTTCGCTATCAGTAGCAATCTGAAATATACACTAAAAATAAATGTAACACTACCGATTCCCGTCATGATTTATACCCTGTCTATATCCCTAATGTATACTGTCTCTCAAAGCTCATATCAACACGTGCTCAAGTAGTCTAGCGCGTCACATAAACAATGCATATCACGGTCTATAGAATCATTAGCGCTCAGATCTAGTGTAGTATATTGATCTTATTCGTTAGAAACTAACAGCAAGCCCCTCAATAGATTAGCTATTTTCAGGTATCCAGCTTGACGTTATTCGCGGGGTATCTGATCTCATTTGGAGATATCCTCATCGCGCCTTGACGATTCGCCAAAGATAGTAAAGTTATTGACGTGATCCTGATACATACTGATACAACCATTATCTTTGACATGGGAATCCGGTCTGGTCTTGGAGCCCCTTTGTATAAGGATAGATGGAGATTCGATATATCCAAAAGCTCAACTCGAAACCTAGGAGCAGCTGTAATCGAGCATATCCCCATCGAAATAGATAAATAATTATTTACTTCTTTCAATTTAACCATCACGATGGCACCTCCTGCAGCAGATGTTGATGTGCAATCCGACGTGCCGGTGCAGCAGACTACCAAAAAGTCTGTCGGCCCCGTTCCCGTCAAGACATTGACTAGCTCTAGACTTGACGGACCCCTGAAATACTCCGGGAGTCTCGATTCGTACGAGCAATTCGATCTCACTAAGGTCATCGGCCGAGAATTCAGTAACCTTCAGCTCAGTGAGATTCTACATGACGACACTAAGATTCGCGACTTGGCAATTCTTGGTAAATAAGGCTATGTGATGGATATTAATAGAAGCTTCAGTTTCTGATCAGTAATAGTTTCCGAGAGAGGTGTCGTATTCTTCCGAAACCAGGATATTAACATTGACGACCAAAAGCTGTTGGGTGACCGGCTTGGACAACTTACTGGAAAGCCAGAGACGTCTAAGCTCCATCGTCATGCCCTCTCAAACAGTAAACGCGGTATCCCTATCGACGAGAATGGTCGTCTTGACGATGAAGTCTCTATTATCTCTTCCGAGCAGAACCGTAAATTCTACAAGGACCGGTATGCGGCCTTTTCCAAGAAAATAGCCAGTCATGGCTGGCATGCAGAGTATGTACTGAGATGACCCTACGCAATAAGAAATCTGGGTTGGTACTAATGGAGATAGTATCACGTTCGAGAACATCCCTTCGGACTATGCTATCCTCAAGATCATCCAGCCTCCCGAGGACGTCGGCGGCGACACGCTGTGGGCATCAGGCTATGAAGCTTACGACCGTCTTTCTCCGCCTATTCAGAAACTAGCGGAGAGCCTAACCGTCACACACAACCAACCGGGTTTCGTCAAAGTACAGAATGACTTTGGCGAAGAGCTTATCGACCAGAACCGAGGCTCTCCTGAGAACAATGGTCTTGACTTCAGGGCAGAGCAGTGAGTTAAATACTCTGGGCTGGTCTGACCGAATATTTTTAATTGACCTTGCTAGTCCCCTTATTCGCACAAACCCAGTAACTGGGTGGAAAAGCCTATTCGGCGCAGGCGGTCAGGTTGAGAGTGGATGGATCAACGGAGTTACCGAGCGGGAGAGCGAGATACTCAAAGATTACTGTGCGTCACTAGATGCCCAGTTCCAACGAGCCTTTCTAACAGTATCATAGTCCTTCAAATAATCGTTGAGAATCATGACCTTCAGGTGCGATTCAGGTGGAACAAGAATGATCTTGCAATTTGGGACAAGTAAGTAACTCGACCCGGATCCGATACGGGGGTAACTGACAACCTGCATCTAGTCGCTCCGTCTTCCACACGGCGACAAAGTAAGTCATCTTCCCACAATAATTAGCCACAATAATATAGGATGGAAAGCTAACACCGAATTAGTGATTACGTCGGAAAGCGTCAAGGCAACCGAGTCGTATCTATTGGCGAGAAACCATACTTTGACCCTAATTCTAAGTCACGCCGTGAGGCACTTGGGCTTCAGGAGGAGGCCTGATCTGGGTCAGATCTGAAGTATAACAACTATATTTTGGGCCGTTGACTGGGGAATTTGGAGATCAATCATAGTACCTAAGTTTAGATACCAATCAATGTGTTGTGTCTCCCGTTTATAGTAATTGAACGGATAGCTCGCATCTTTGCTTCGTTTTGGATTTCCCGCCAATATACGAAGTATGCGTTATGGTTAGATGTAACTAACTGAGCTTGGCTGGTGAATTCATTAATTAATTACGAAATGTATATAACGTTTGCCCTTCAACTCCTGGTGTAACTTGAGCTACGTTCAACCTTTAGAATGCTGTACCTTAGGTACCTACCTGTATCAAAGGTACCTAGGTACCTACCTAAGAGCGCAAACCCGTGCACGGGCCAATTATCTAGGTCCCTTAGGCAGGCTGGCGGGGCAAAGGTTGGAATTGAGGCATCAAATTTGAAGGTTCGATGCTAGTGCCCCACCTTAAAGAAAAATTGGTGGACCCTGCCTGCCTTTTTAGAGCTTCTACCCGCGCCTCGACATAACTTTTCGCAGGTAACAACCAAAGCTTCACCTTTTTCCTTGTGAGAATTTCTCCTTCTTTTCATAACATCCACTCCCAGCGAACTTGGTGACACCAAGTCAATTAACCTCTACCTTTTTCGTCTTTGATCCTCTTCAATTCAAGTTGTCCAAACTATAATTGCGAGTGGTGGTTTTTTATTCTCATCCATCTCGTCGCATCCTGCGCGAGGCCTTCCCGAGTGACTCCCCGCCGCGACTTGTTCTGCCCCGCGGTAACTTATCTCTTCGCGCCTCGCCGCTCAAATCCTCCTACTCTATCCTAGACTTTACCTCAAACCACGGTATTTACCTAGTTTGTATCACAGTGTCGGCATTCAATCACAATAGTCCACTATTTGTTTTGACCAGGCTACTTCAAAGCTTTCAAAAACTCCTCTCTAGCCAGTATGGGTGACCAGGTTGCCAAGCCCGACGAGGGCGTGAACAACGACGTTCTCGAAGTCAAGGGTCAGGAAATTGTCGACGCTGGTGCAGAGGATACCGCCGCGATCGAGGAACAAGAAAAGACCGACGTAGTTGAGGCTGAGAAAAACACGGCCGAGGGAGAGACGGAGACTAAGGCTGGTGAAGATGCCTCTTCTGTCCAGCGTCCTAAGGAAATGTTGAAGGTCAACAGAAAGGGCTGTGAGACCAGACAGAAGTCGGATGCTTCTATTCTTCCCGACTCGGACAATCCTCATGAAATCCGCAAGCAGGTAAGAATTAGATGTATTTTTGTCTAAGGTGATAATCGTTTCTAATCATTTTGTCCTAGGTCGAATTCTACTTCAGCGACAGCAACTTGCCTGGCGATAAGTTCCTGTGGAGCCAGACCGACGGCTCTAACAACAAGCCAGTGCCACTCTCCGTGATCTGCAATTTCTCACGCATGCGTCGATTCAAGCCTCACTCAGCTGTCGTTGACGCTCTCAAAGCTAGCAAGCACCTTGTTGTGGAAGGATCCGAAGGCGAAGAGACAATCCGCCGAAAGCAACCTTACAAGCCAGCCGATGACAGGCAGTACCAGATTGATGAGCGCAGCGCCTACATCAAAGGGTTCGGCGAAGAGCAGTCGTCCACCCAGTTCGACATCGAGGCATTCCTGGCCCAATATGGAGAGTTCAACTCCGTACGCCTTCGAAGAGCGGATGATGAGAAGAAGTCATTCAAGGGTTCCGTGTTCGTCGAATGGGCTGACAAAGATACCCTTGATAAGTTCATGGCTTTGGAACCTAAACCTCTATGGAGGGAGCACACGTTGGAAATTAAAACAAAGCTTGAGTACAAGGCATTCAAGGCACAAGAGATCCGTGACGGCAAGATTCCGATGAAGGGCTCTAATCACTTTGGACGTTCTCAGCGTGGCCATCGTGGCGGTGGTGGTCGAGGCCAAGGGTCTCGTGGTAACTATCGAGGTTCTGACGCCGATGACTGGAAGAAACGCCGTGACGAGGATCAGCGGAACGGCTTCGAGGACCGTCGTGGTCGCCGTGATAATCGTGGCCGAGGCCGTGGCCGTGGCAACAATCGTGGACGGGGTAGAGATCGTGCTCGGAACGATAACGGCCGCGCGAAGGAACAAGAGCGACCCGTTTCACACGACGATGGCAGACCCAAAATCAACACGAGCAAGGAAAGTGAGAAGATCATGAAGGAGGTGAATGCCAAGAGCAACACTGATGCTCAGGCAAACGGAAAGCGTGCTAGAGATGGGGATAACACGGATACACCCCCGGCAAAGAAGGTCGATACCAAGGAGGCTGTTGCTGATGCTGCATGAGCAAACTAACGCAACTTATTAATTCGTCATATACGAATTACATACCCCTTCTTCGCGTCTTGATTTCATATTGATTCCCACAATTTTCATCACTCCTCCTGTATGTCATTGCACTTGAGGCACTCAGCTTTGCATTTCAAGGTCGGACCTGGTAATGGAATTATTGGTAGGGTTTGGAAGAGGCGTTTACGGGCTCTTTAAATAGGCGCTAGATATTTGTGTCTAGCTACGAAAAAAAATTCACGAGTTGCTGAGATGGGAACCGTATCACTTATTGCTACCTAGGTACATAACATAATGATTGCCTGTGTCGTTAATATGTACAATCTCTTCGCAGACGCGATTGATTGTCTAGGTGAATTAACATTACACCTAACGCTTGTTCCCATCGTCTAAATATCGATCACTGTCCTCCGTAATAGGTTCTTGCTACATAATTGCGCTAACCGCCCGCAGCGAATGGGCTCCTCTTCCTCAGCACTTCGCCACTGTTAAAAGGGTTAGCAGTTATTTTTTAACGGGATTATAAGGATGTCTTCGGGGGGGTTTATTTTTTCAACAACATTGATTTAGAAAACTGAACTCCTGAACAGGTTGAAAGATTCGACGTGACGTACTATTTCCATAATAATATTGGCGAAGGCCAACCTATCGCAATACCGAGGAATGCCATCAGGGAGTTACCCCAGCCATAACCCAGCCGGTTATATAAATAGGGTGCGAAGAGCGGAAAGCCAAAGCCGGCTAGAGATCGTAGCACGGTGGCGGCACCGACAGCGCTCGCGGCATACCGTTGGTATGAATCGACCACGAACGCCTGCAGAGACTGGAAACAGATGATAGCTCCGATAGCGAAGATGAAGGTGCCGATATTGGGGCCGATCCAGTGTGTTTTATACTCGGCCGTCCAGCCGTAGATGAATAGTCCAACGGGGATGAAGATGGAGCCGGGGATTATCATAGGAACTCTATGCTCGGGCTTGCCGACACCATATCGTCGCTTGAGCGCGGCGTAGATCCGATCCTGTAGAGGAGCGGTGGTTTGCGCACCGACGAAGAATCCTAGGCCTAAGCTGATGTAATTCAAGCCGCCCATCCCTATAGACATACCGTAACCAGCGGGTGGTGGGGCGGTGAAGAGCGAAGGGAACGATGCTAACAGCAGGTACATAAGTCCGTAGACGTACATAATATATAACGCAATACACTGGACGATGACCTGAGTGGCGAGCAACCGGAAAGGCCTGGTCAGAGCAGTGCGGAAAACCGTCGAAAAGCTTCTGCTGTCAGATTTGGCATCATCGTAAGGGGTGTGCAGGGCGGTATTCCCAGTTTCGGCGATGAGTCGCTGGCGCTTGCGGTTCAGGAGTATTGGGGCATAAGTCTCACGTAGGAAAAATAGGCCAGCTCCCTGGATGATGGCATCGGCAATGCTAACAGCCCAGAAGGCCCAGCGCCACGTCGTGTTCTCGGTAATGAAAGCACCAGCGATAGGACCGACGGATGGGCCTAGGAGGGGAGCTAAGCTGTATACTACAGATATGAGAATCAGTGGTTATGTCTTCACGTGGCGTTTAGATGTATTTATACATCGGTGACGATAGCCCCTTTATCAACTCAATAAAGGGCGCAGGGAACTATTAATGATACATACGTGATATAGCGCGGCCACGCTGTTCAGCAACGAAAAGATCACTGAGGACACCGCCGCCAATAGCAAGAGTGGCAGATCCACCTAGACCCGAGAGGAAGCGGAAGGCGATGATTTGCCCTTGAGTACGCGCGAAGCCACAGCCTAAAGAGAAGGCGAAGAACCCAAGATTAGAGTACTGTAGCACAGATACTCTGCCGTAAATCTCTGCGAGCGGACCCCAGCTATATTCAAGTTGCTCGGAGTTAGAAATATAGAATTAGGAGCAGAAGATATTGGGGTTGAGAGGGAAAAGGGGTCACTTACACCATGGGTCCAATGGCGTAAGCGAGGATGAATATCGATAGGATGAGGTTCTGCCGGACTTATAAAGGGAGCATATTGTTAGAATTCTCTGAGTACCTAAACTAAAGATTTACAATAAGAGTACATTCTTAACTTACAGCCTTCTGGAATTCCCAACTCAGCGCCGATTGTAGTCAAGCTCGGAGCCACCATAGACGAGGAGACGGGCGAGACGAAAGTGAACATGGACACGATGAAGACGACACCCCATTTCTTGGGGAACGGCCAGTTCTTTGGGTTTTCAGGGTCGTCGGAGCCGTTCCAAGTCACCAGATCAGGGTCGCTGGTGTCTGCCGCAGTAGCAGCAGCGGTGTTTTCCTCGTCGTCGGTGAGTTGTCCCTCTTCCAGATCCCGCCTCGATTCGATCCCATCTCGAACCTCAGATATAGTTCGCGACAGGGCCCGCGAAACTGGCCGTCCGGAAGTATCGAGTGGTTCGTGGGGAATGCTGTTGCCAGCAGTGTCTAAGCTGCTGCTGGACTCCGACTTATACTCGCGACTGTCACATTTTTCCAGTCCCTCGTCCTCGCCTATTCGTGACCCCCTCGTCCCAGCATCGACTGAGCCGTCTTCGGCTCCGGTCTCCTTACCGGCTGGTGAACCCTCCATAACCACCCTCCAACTAACCTGTTATTTATTCCAAGCAAGATTTCAATACACACGATAAAATGTAGTTATGGGGTTTAATATTACTTAGCTAATTGAATGATGAAGTTATAATGCGCTGATAATCAGTAGCAAGGAAACGAAGATGTCTATAGTGGCTTGGCGATTCTTCTTATATACATCGCAATCACGGCATTTGGAGTCAAGGAACATAAAAGAGGACCAGTAGGAGCAAGACGGGAATTAGTAGCGGTAAGACCGAATCCATGATATAGCATACGTCTACATATATCCACCTCCAAATAGATAGACATATCCTCGTCTAGATGGGGTAAGGAATAGAAAGACGTGATTTGGAATTGTCCAATCAAGGTGTCATCCGATGTCTTCTACGGTCGTATTCCCGGACATAAATGGCTTAGGGAATGACGGATGAAGCAGCTCAGTGGCTACCCGGCTCGGTACCGGAGCGGCTACGACCCAACAACATATTAGGTACCCCATCGTGCCGACAGACCTCCAGGTGTGTAATGTATGTAGAGCTAGAATTTTCGAAGCTACCAACATAAGTGATAGTTCAGTCGGTGAAGAGCCTGCTAAAACGGAGATAAGCTCCGGTAATACCGGCCAGGATAGAAACGGAACGACTTTGGTCCATGCCTCTCAGCGTTTAATAATCAATCTGGTTAGTCGTGAATCCCCAGAACTGTTCGCGACTTGAAATACTAGCGAGGTCCCGAAGTGTCTTATATATTGCGTCGAAACCGAGCGAGAAGCGAACTTGTTTAACCTAGTAGCCTACCTAATGTATCCTTATAATATACCAGTAACCAAGTTAAGATAGAATGACGATTTAGAGATCTGAATGAGGTTAAGTATTAGGTTAGGTAAGTAATTGTTCATACAAGATTGAAGATGGGGTTTAGTAAAGTGGAAGTCATTTGAAAAAGCTGCAACGTCCGTCGTCACTCTTTAGCGACCAATTGCTTTAGCGACCAATTACCTTAAACCTAGTCGACTTTCAAAAACTACATAGTAACGTAACACAACGCTATAAGATAGGTACCTATGTACAATACAGCAGCATTTACGAGCCTTTTTATCGATAAGAACGGTTAAGCTTGAGCTTGGGCCAACGCACGAATTGAACCCGAACTGAGGTAATCCGTATCGCACGTGATCACCAATTAAGAAACTTTGGCGGGTCCAAGTAAAAGTTCAAGATCTAAAGATCGCGGAACCTCGAACAGAGGATCACGACCATCGGGACACCAGCCAAGATGAAGCCCAGAAGATACCACGGTCTGAAACGACCAGTAAGTCACCGAAAATTCGTTTCAATCGTCGCATCAGCAGAATCGATATACTAACGTATTGTCCTTCTTTTTTTTTCCTCTTATAGAAACTTCGGCAAAGTTGGAACAAATACAACCTCTTCAACATATGGCGTACCAGAGACCCGAAGCTAGGAAAAGGCGACAATGAGACCTTCTTCCAGCAAAAATGGAAGGCAAAGGGTATGCTACGAAACTACCACGGTGAACACGTCGTCGAGCGGAAGTGGGTGCGCATGTTCAGCCGTCGCTTGCTAAGCGTCGCCGAGATGAACCCCAAGTATATGGCCAAGTATGATGGTTCCGAATTGGCCGCAGGTAGAGGGTCTGGCAAGGATATACCACCGAATTGGTCTGAAGAAGAAGTAAATAAACCTATTCCGACCCCCTACATGCAGATGACATTTGCGCCTATGGAGAGGAGATTGGATATCGCTGTTTTCAGGGCTATGTTCGCAAGTAGCGCAAGACAGGCGAGACAATTCTGTGTCCACGGCGCTGTTAGGGTCAATGGCAAAGTGGTTAGTATTCCCTCAATCAGAATGATGCGATTGTATACCATAAGAGGGAGCACCGCTGACAAGCTTCGTGTAATAGATGCCATACCCCGCCTACCGTCTTAATCCTGGCGACATGTTCCAGGTCGATCCCGAACGTGTCATGTACGCAACCGGCATGCCGAAACCTGATCCAAACAAGTCGAAGGGCAAGAAAGCTTCGACTAGAGGTGCCGAGGACGAATCTGAGGAGCCAGTAGAACAGGAGGCGGAGGCAGCTACCGAAGGAGATGTCGCCGAGGCCAAAGAAGCAGAGGCGGTAGAGCAAGACCCCGACACAACTGATGCTCCAGAGCCGGTCAAGGTGGATATGAAGCCGACGCAGAAACAAATACAGGAGATAGTTCAACAAGCCAAGACTCTATTAAACGAGGATGGCGATCTTGGTGCGCACCAGAAGCAACGGCTGCGGAAGTTTATCAAGGATCTACGCCCTCTAACCTCTCGCGCCAGCCGCCCTAATGCCTCCCCGACAGAGATCGCCTCCGAGCTCTCAGAACTAATCTCGGGGCTCAATATATCTGGCTCCTCTAGCAAGGACGCCCCAGTCGCAAAGGAACAGTCTTCATCGATGGATTCTTTCAACGACCTTAGCAGATCCGAGCTCGAGAGGCTAGAGCGGCGTGTGGCCGAACACCTGCGCGAGGAAGAGGAAAACCCATGGGACCCTAGCAAGCCGTACAAGACACCTTGGCGGCCGCGCAACTACATGGCGCCGTTCGCCTTCATTCCCAAGTATCTCGAAGTCAACCACAACATCTGCGCCGCCGTCTACCTACGGCATCCCGTCGCAAGGGTCGGCAGCGCCGAGGTCCCAACGCCCTTCCCCGAACCCGTCAACCAGCTAGCTTTCAACTGGTACCTGAGACGAAGGTAAAGTGGTGAAAATAAAAAGACAAAAACCAAGGCTTAAGTCGGTCTACTACGGCCCTACGGAGAAAAGGTCTAACGTTGGCCTGGGCTAAGCATAGCACAGACTATGGACTATGAGACATAGTCAGCCAATATACTGGCAGATCTCGATAACGTACATTGTATATTATGAAAGTTTACGACCTAAGAGACTTCTCATCTTAGTTCGTTTGGCTGGCTAGCTGCTCCGGGGCCGCCATATCGGCGGCCTAGTAGGTAGGGATCCTTCTCTGTGCATATACCTTTAGAGATATCATGTACAATATGATGTATATGGTCGCCAGCGAGCCTTATCATATCATCCTTGCCAGACTTCCATAGTGGTGCGTAGTATTATGCGGTATAGACATTTACGACACCACTGGCGGGAGAGTTGTGTCATAGCTTCGCTTATAGTAGACCGAACGATTCAAAATACTTAATACTGGAAACGTAGGTGGAGGAATATAACACATATGTGGATATTCTCTACATAAGACGAGACAAGCCACATCATAGAGCAATTAGGCTTTCAAGTCGATCGACCTTGGCCGTAGAAAATGTCTAGGTACACATGCCCGTAGATCAAAATATCCTGAAAGCTCTGGAGCAATATGAACCTAGACAATACTGAACCAAATGAGCAAAGCCACGAGCCGAAGCAATACATGATCGACTTTGAAGAATCCAGATCTTCAACATTGCTTCATGCGACTAAGCGAATTACGAGCAGTCTAGCTGTCCCGTAAATCAAGATTAATCACATCTACTGCTAATATCCAACTTCTAAGAGGTAGGCATGCATATATGTACCATTAACACAAAACCATACGGCCAGAAAGCAATATAATAACAAGTCACTTCACTATCAAGAACCTAATGTAAGAAAAAAACAATCATCCGTTTCTTAATTCAGACGACCTAAACTGAGAAACACGTCGAGGCTAGAAACACAAAGAAAACACAGGACAGTGGGTTGACGTAAGGAAAACCAAGAGTGAGCCAAGTTCGTGGCCAGATGTGCGTGTGCGTCGAGAGGGTCTTCCTCGCCGGATGGCACCAGCCAGCGAGGCCAGTGGATACAACCCCATCCCGTGAGCGAGAAAGCTTACTCCTAAAATACAGACATCTAATTTTTGAGGGGAGCATTATACTCTGACATTCTCCTCCGTATCCTCCACGAACACACCAAGCCGCCTATCGACTTTTCGCCAATTCCGGGTATTTTGTCGTAACAGCTGAAAAAAACAAGCACATATGATCGTGAAGGAAAATAAACGGTAGGACGAAGACTCCGACAGAGGCAACAAGAACCGTGTTGTCTTCGGGGCAGTATGCGGGGACATTCCGACCGGTTGATAAGGAACAATTAAATAGATGCTGTCCTGCCGTGCCTATTTCACTATGTCATGCTCGCCCCTCTCCAAATCTCAAATGGGATGTCGAGGCGGTTTTAACGAGACATACAAGGCAGCCTGATGCATAACGTCGGAGGGAATGGGATACAGTCGTCAAAATCCTGAACCAACTATATCTCGCCGCAATGTTCAAGAACGCCGGAAAAACAACCTCAGACATCAGGAAACTGTGCCTCGGTAACCGGCCTTTTGTCGTTTTCATGGTAGTTGCCGGGTGCTTCTGTCGGTACCACTAACCACGGCCAGGAGATGATGCTCATCCGAGGATTGCCCAACTGACAATCTCTGGTGAGGTGCATTAAGTGATGAGTAATTAAAAGAACAGAAGGTTGAATAGACAGAATGACGAAGTGAAGAGACGCGGCAGGCTGGTACTAGACGGGCATCATGAAGGCTCCGGGCGTAGATCATAGATTCTAATGAGTTGTCGTTAAAGGTTAGTTCCGTAAGGAGAAACCCTTTCGCTTGCCCTCCTTTTCTATGGGTCTTCCGGATTCAATTCTGGACTTCTTCTCCTCGAGTTCTAGCCGCTGCCGTTCTAGCTGCTCCTTCATCTCTCTATGACGGGCATACAGTTCTTCTTCGCTCTGTTTCAGTTTACTCTCCTTTTCAGCTACCTTCTGCTGGAATACCATCTTCATTTCGGCCTCCATCTTGGCAAGCTTCTGCTCATGTAGAGCACGCTCCTCTTCTTGCTTGACGGCAGGGTTGACCTCCTTGAAGACGCTAGGATCTTGAGCAACACCCATTGCGGTGAGCTTGTCTGTTCGGTAGTTCTCGTAAAGAACATTGTTGGTGTGTTCCTTGAGCTCCTCCATGTGAGTTCGGATGAGCATCTGGCGCAACTTGACGAAATCACAGTGCTCCTCGTTGTCGACTTCAATAACACCCCATGGGTATCGACGGCCGCGAACCTTGCGTCCATCGGCATTGGTGATCTCGTTATTGGCACCCACAACAGCGAAAGGAACCTTCGACATGATCTCATTGTTCTCTGCGATCGTCTCTTCGTCGTCCAGCTCATATCGAGGTCCCTCAAAGATCTGAATTCCGTGATGCTTGATGTCTGCGAGGATCTATAACGAAGTTAGTAAGATACGAATGAACGGAGACCACAAAAACATACTCTAGATTTAAAGCCGGCAATCTCGTCATCGGTAAGAGTATCCGATTTAGCAATGACGGGGATAAGATTGACCTTGGTATGCAGACGACGCATAACCTCGATATCAAGAGGTTTCAAGGAATGACCGGTAGGTTGAATGAAGAAGACACAAGCGTGGATACGATTGTCTACAATATTCATTCGGTTGACCTTGTTCTCGGCATCTAGATAGGCGTCATAGCGTTGCTCGATGTTGTCAACAATGGGTCTCCACGACTCATCGTTGTTCACGAAATCTCCAAAGCCGGGAGTATCGACAACAGTCAAGCGTAGACGAACACCAGCCTCCTCAATGTCCGCACTGATGGATTGGATAGAGACAGTCTTGGGTATTATGTCAAGGCTAGGTCCCTTTCGGTCCTTGGGTGGGTACAGAGACGTATTGAACAGAGTGTTGACGAGAGTAGATTTACCCAAGCCGGACTCACCTAAAAGCGGTCATATTTAGTCATTGACTAATCGAAAGGAGATAGTAGACACTTACCAACAACCATAACATTGAAGTTGAAGCCCTTTCGGACACTCTTGCGATGCCATTGGTTTGGCAAGTTCGCAAAACCGACGTAGCCGGTCAACTTCCTTCGAACAATGTTTTTATTGTCATTGATGATTAGGCCCGACGTCGGGGCAGCAGATGGGGCTGTTGATTTAAAGTCAGAACTCGGCGGAGAGGATGGTTGAGATAGAATTTGCTTGCCCTCGCTCGGCACAGGCGATGCTATCGTACCATTTGCAGCTATTGCAAGTTAGCATGAAACTCCAACAGGTATCAGACGTATAGAGGAGAGCAAATTGCAAGAGGCTGTCCGAAGAGTTATACCAGCAAGCGGTTGATGGAAATAAAGCTCGTCGTAAGACATCGGCTTGAGGGGGCCAAGAGACGGAGCGTCCACGACTAGCATGCTACGATAATGTCGAACAGAAGGCGGTCGATTCTCCTGGTCTAGCCGGATGCTTGACCTAATAGCCAGAGTTGGGGATGTAGCCGACTCTCTCTGAGGCAAACAGAGATTTTCCATGATGTGAGCACTGTCCAGTTGAACGCTGCGAGCTCGTGCCTTATTGTGAGGGCTAAGGAAAGCTGGCATTGTACGAATAGCTGGGAATTTTCTGTTTTTTTTTCTCTGGGTTTTGAATGGATGGGACAATTTCTTCTAACAATGGTCGGATATTCCAAAGAACCAAAAAAAGGTCAAACCCCAAGAAGTGATAGATCAACCAAAAAACGAGGATGAGGTAGTTGGGTAAGCGGATGAGTGTTGTTGATGTTAATGGGATGGAGGTGTTCGATCCGGAGGGAATCCATCTGGTCCAAGCAAGGGAAAATAGGGTTCAGACAGGACAACCGTTGTTTCCATCATGGCGGCGACTCTTGCAATATTGCTCTCCTCGTCGAAACGTGCGACTGCATCAGTAAGAAGAGGAAAGCGCTTACCCATAGTAAATACGTCAAGAGATGTCAGGACCTAAAAGATACGATGCGGAGAAAGTGCGATATTTAGTCTACAGATACAGAATAGTTAGTCCAGATCCCAAGGTTTACCGTTGTTGTTTGGGCGGGATGAAGTTGACTTCTGAAAGAGAGAAAAAAACGGAAAGTTGACGCGACAACTGGGCTCCGGCTGCTGCGAAGACTTGCGAAAAACATGGACGACGGGAAGTTCGACGCAACGAGTCTGACCCTGTGTGTCTTTCTGTATGTACATATGTAGGGCAAGGAGGACGGATTCGATGCTCACGTACCGAAAAGATGACTTTTTGTCGCGTGTCAATTACAAAGGTCGCAGAGCGTTCAAACAGTATTGCAAATGAAGCGAGCGAAAGAAGTAAACGGGTCGAGGGACGGACTCTGCGTGTACCGGTATCTCGTTAGAAAATAGAGAATGTCGGGTTGCAGGAAGAAAAAACGATGAATTGGATTAATGGGATGGTTGGGATGGCAGAGAGAGTGCCAGTCTGCCAAATTAGGAGGTTGAAGACTAAACGGAGGAAGAATTTACGTGGGAAAATGAAGTTGAAGGTGGTGTGCAACCCGACCTCCTGTTTCTAGTCTCCTCATTCAAAAAATCAAATTTGGGTCCCTGGCCGCCCTGACTTTTTGCTTTAAAAGGGGCTTGGGGTCGTGCTACTTACTAGGTACATACAGGTAGTGTATTAAATTACCCCTGTACCATACCGATTCTATACCGTACCTGAGTACTCCTTTATTAGGCCCCTTCCAATGCACTATCAGATTACGGTTAGCAGCGCTGCTAGTTACTGTTAATGCGCTGGAGCCGGGTGAGGCAAGGATACTCGATGCACTCCAAAAGCACTCATACATGTAGCTGGCTACCTAGGGACCTTAGGTAGGTACATGTACCTAGCTACAGGGACTTAAAAGACAAGGATTACTACTGAGTCTGAGCTCGTTGATTGGTCTGAAACTTCAATTGGGCAGGGGATTTAATCAACCAGCACGTTGAAGCTTCTTTTTCGCTACTGCATCGGCTCTGCAAGCTTTCTGCCACCTCATCATATATTTATCTTTATCGACTTGTTGTTGTTTTTTTCTTTTCTTTTTCCTTCGGACATTCTCTTCTACCGTTCAACGTTTTCTTCACAGCCCATTACCGAAGTATCGGAAGTACATACATCTGTATTAGACCTAACGATTCCCTCTACCCAAGTATATTACCCAAGTAGGTACCTATATTACGTGCCACTACTTCATAGGAACCTTGGTAATACTTGTGTTAGGTTTGTGCCTGTAAGTTAAGACCATTAATTGCCTAACGTAGGTAGATTAGGTAGGCAGATAGGTACTTCATTACACGCAGATGATCCACTCAAATTTTATATTGCGAGGTACAAGTCCCGCATACATGTAAGCAAGGAGACAAATCGAGGACTACATCTGCATGCAAAGACGTCTATTAAGATAATAAGTATTTCCCTAATCGAGGATAGGTATCTATAAGCACTATAATACAAACTAGTCATAACGCCTCTGCAGAAGCTCGTATTGCTGTTTGTTATACATATATAGCCTGCATAATAGGGTGCTTATACGCGTATGTATTTGACGACTCTGTTCGTGTTCGAAGGAAGGAGATAGCAGGGAGCAATGTTTAGCGAGCCAACTGGTTGGTGACTAGTTACAATCAAAAGGTCACCACCAATTTGGTGCGGGATGGCATGTTGTTTGTGGGGAAATCTTTTTAACCTACATTGCCCCTTTTATGCAATGCGGGTACTTGGATATTTACTATTTGGGAATATTTTTTCCGTTCTCCGACCCCTACCAAGCCAACCTAGGTACCCAAAGTATTAAGGTTACAGTGCAACAAATCGATAGGCCCATCAAAATTTCGATGTTTCATGAGCTCTCGAACCTTTGTACATACAAACGCGCTCACTGATTGATGCGCATACCCCTATTATTCCTTAGATGTAGCTAGTTGAAATAAATTAAAATAGAAACAACATCACCAACAATTTGCGGGATGCTTAAATTGGATAAGAACATTGAGTGTAGGTATATCAATACCTATAATACCTATAATACCTAACAAGTAGATCATATTTTTAGTATGGTAAGGTGATAATACTCTCATCTTATAGTTTCTTCAAGGCCACGGTACCTAGTTATGATGTTACGATTTAAAGTATAGGTAAACTACCCAGTCAAGGTAAACAAATCTCTACTAGGTAGTAATAAGCTGATTATTACCTATGTAGAGTCATTCTATCGCCGGAGTCGCGATGGTGATTCTTTAAACACCCTACGAATACATGGATTGTCAAGAACAGTAACCAACCCCCTATAACCACAAAATAGGATTATACTCAAGTGCCAAACATAGTCATAAACTAGTCCCATTTCAAACGTCTAAATTTATGTCTACCATCTGTTATAATTGTGATAGTTTACGCCACATTTAACAAGACTGCTAATTTTGAGAATGGGTAGTACGTTAATATTCAGAGTAAAAATAGTATCCTTTTTCCTAGTAAATCTACTAATAGACTAGCCTGTATCAGAGGCTGAAGTCAAACACTAGTACTATCATCGATGTTTTAAAGAACTAGAACATCCTCGCAACATGCTTTGAGATAACTACCTGCCTTATATTATCGCCTACTCAGACGGTCTGGCTAATATAGCAACCGTAACAATTAATGCTTAGAGACTATTAACAAGACATAATAGGATATCAGCATACTAGTGCTGTGTTTAGCGAGATACATTGGCATCATGTATTACTCTAAACTACTTTACGATGGTTTGATTTTGTATCTGGGCATTTTCAACTACGCTATATAAAGTGGCAACTAGCATGGGAAGTCAAACCTCAAAATCATGGTGGATTATCAAAGTATAGGATCCAAATGTTAATCATTAGCATATCCATTTAAATATAGATTAGGTAGACAAATCGGCTATGAATACGTGATGTCACAAACAGTACTATCCAATACCTCACCAAGAACGTCTCGACTACGCAGCTAGTCTACGCACCTGAACGCCGTTGATGAGCTCAGACTAAGACCGCAACGGCATAGACCATAGAATCGATGAGGTATCGTCTTCATATAGGCACACGAATCCGGAAGGGTGATATGAGAAAGTAAGTCTTAGCATCACACATCGAGGCATAGCGATCAAAGGCCCACGGCGTAGCCAATTGAATTATGACGTATTACATTCCCACCGAGTTAGCTCTACATCCAACTCGACAGTGCCATAGGCTTTGAGCTCTGAGCCTCTTCTGGAGATATCGCAGTGGCTGGTACTATAGATAGTGGTTCTATAGGGTCACTTGCATCTAATTTAGCCGACTCCTTCTGCCTTTGGATCGTCTCGAGTAATTTCTGCACTTCCACATCAATGGATATGCGCCTCTTACGACATTCCTCAATAAGTTCCTGTGCTCTGATATCCTCGGCTTGGATGCACCTTCTGATGAGCGCCAAGGCCGAACCCCTACTCATCCACCAGTTATTTGACACTCCTCCTGTCTTACAAGACTTCATCTTCTCAAGGAATGCGAATGCCTGCTCATAATTCTCCTGCATGCAAGAGATTCGAATGAGATGGTCGTATGTGGTTTGGGTAGGTTCGACGGAGAAAGCCTCCATCTCTGCGAATAAAAAGTTCATTGCCTTCTTCATTGTGCAGTTGCCAAGGAGAATATGGTAGGTTTCAAGATCCGGACCGTCAGCACAAATCTGCCGGACGCTTCTATAGAGATCCAAGGCTGCTTTGAACCCGTGATGAATTTCCGTAGTCTCCAAGACAACGTTGAATGCGGCTGTAGGGACATGATGATGTAACCGGAGGTCGTTTAATATCGCCAAAGCATTATCTGTTTCCGAGGACGAATCGCGTAACACTCGATAAATGGATCGCGTACTGGAGAGACAAGGACGTAGATCTGCCTTGGACATGATACATAAGGTCGTAAACGCTTTACGAAGCTCCTTCTGCTGGGCGTGGATATCTACGAGAGCCTCATAGTGGTGCAGCTCAAGTTTCTTGCCGCGGTTTGAAAGCATCTGAATTGCGCTTATGGCTAAGCTTGCGTCTCCATGATTCGACGCCGCATTTATAATATTTAGAATGACGCCATCTGGTGGATTAATATATTTAGGGGAGACTGAGCGGTCCCATATATATTTTATCCCTTCGTAAAAAGCGTCCCTACTAAATACGTCGAGAAGAAACTGCCATGAATTCAGGGACAATGGCTCTCTGACCATGTTTGCAACCTTCATTCGATGCTTGAGAATTGAGAGCGTCTCTCCGTGGAAGCCTAAGTCCCCAAAGGTATAAAGGAATACGTCGTAGAGCCAGAGGGGGGTGTTGAGGGGATCCTTATGCAATTCCTCTAATTTCTCAAGCGCAAGCTCGTATTGGCTATCTCTCAATAGTCCAACAGTAATATTTACCAAGTCATCTGCTGTTGGTGTATACCACCGATTTTTCATCTCGAAGAGCACGGTGTTTCGAAGAGTATAATCAGGATGAACCGCCGTAACCTGAGTTGTGATGTTAGGTCGGGAAATACCAATCTATAAAACGGGCCGGCATCTTACTTCTAGGAGAGCTTGATAGATTTGCGGTGTCGTTGGAATGCCTAGTCTCTCCATTTCCTGGAGTAATCGACCGGCGATCTCTGCGGACCCATGGTTTTTGTCGATATTCGCCTTTATAAGGCTCTCATAGAGTATAGCATTTGGCTTCTCTTTTCTTTCTCTTACTAGATATTCGACTAATTTTACAATTGATTTATACGCATCTTCGACTCTCGTGAGCTCTTTGATAGCGGCGTAGATGGTCTTCGTTGGAATCGACTCGAGCTTTGCGGTTACAGCTTCGGTGTCCCCGAAGAGCATCCCAGGAACCCACGGGCTTCGGTTTGCTACTCGCTTCAGGTACTCAATCCGTATTTTCTCACCTGGGGGGTAATCATCGCGCGACTGGTTAGTACGAGGGACAACAGGAATGCGGTGGTACTCTCGCCGACCTGGTCTATTGGAGATGTGAGCGTTGCCACGAGGGCTAATTAGTCTTGAGAGCGTGGCCATATCGGCAGAAGGACATAGGCATCGCCATAGCCCATCAAGGACGATGCGCTCTCCCGGCATTGCGTGGCTAAAAGAAGTTGACGCTGAATTCTACATGCTGTTGAGGCGCAAATGAATATAGGTACCTACCTAGGTTATGATAAGATAACGATGCAGTACCTATATTTTATCACGGCTGTTTGCAGCTGGCAGGTCTAAGACCTAATTACCTAACCTAGGTAGGTACTTATGTATGTACATAAGGTTCGGTCTGTATCCACATGTTCCTATGTACATAGGTACATCTTTACATGTATAGATCTAAGACATTCATGGTATGAAGAGTCGGAAAACTTGAAATACCTAGTAGCTCAGAGTTTAGGGCATGTCCCGGAGCGTACTTGGATTGTCACCATGGCTCTCCCCGCGGCCTATGCTCGGAGTTTCAAAGGTCTGTTCGGAGTTCACAGTCGTTTAACAAATACACGTGTACTGTTTGCGCCAACGCCATCGCGGCGGGCTTGGGTATCTTCATCTGAACTGTATCCTAGCACTGTGGCCCAACTTTGCTAGCTTCTTGGAGGCGTGTTATAGGTACGTCCTCATGCTGCTACTGTTCGGGAGCCCTGTCAGTGGCTTGACCACCTGCATTGTATCTTCCACGTTGGCATCATATTACCGGTCTGTTTTCAAGCTCCTCGGCCTCTGCCCCTACCCCTTCCTTGGCCTCGTCCGCCCCGGCCGCCTCTGTCACCGCCTCTACCGCCATGATCTCCTCTCTGTTGGCCGTGTCCACCACCACGGCCACCCCTAAATCCACCTTGTTGACCATGGTGCTGCTCTTTCACAAGGTCGATGATCTCGTCTGGTACTCGGAGGTATTTGATCTTGTGTCCGATTAGGTACATATTTCGGTGTTGTATTTTCACCTATGCTATGGGGGCTTACATTATTTCCTTTGATATATACCTCGGGCAGGCGAACGAATTTGTCTCCTTCCTATTTTTATGATATTAGCCATGACACCAGTCGGAGTATGAAGATATAATTGCGCACTGGACTCGTCTGGATGACCTCCTTTAGCGTTAAGTTCATCCATGTATCACATTGTATTAAATGTCCGTTTAGTGTCTCTCCGTTCTTAAGCTCTACGAGCATAGGATGACCTTGGGCCGCATTCAAGAGACCGAGGGGCAACTAGGATGTGTTCGCATTAGCGCACAAGTAGACGAATTGCGGGAAGGGGCGAATTAAATATAATAATTACCATCTTGAATGAGCTGCACTCTTGGGTTTGGTATAGTATAATACCTGTTGATAGAGTTGCGCGACTAGGAATTCTTGCTCGGTGATGTGATTCAGCGATGTGATATGGTGACAAAGTGCTGGGAGCTGGAAAGCTTGAATTTAGTGGGGTCGGAACCGGGAAGCTTGTTAGCCACACTTGCCACACTCTAGGTCAGCCTTATGCTTAGGTAGGTTACCTAGGTACCTAGGTACTTAGATACTTAGGTAATCATCAGCCACGAGTTGAGCCGAGGCCCTCAGCCTGAGGGTCACACATCAATTAGGTACCTAATGGATTCATCTACCTAACCTAGGTTAAGGTCTCATTGAATCATTCAAATCATCGATTTACTTCAAGCACCAACTCTAGGGCTTCTATTCCGTACGTACGTCCAAGTTAATGGTTTATATGCCCCTTGTCCATCTAAGAATAGATTGTACATAATTGTCAATTGAATTTGGTTCTAGCTGATATTGTTATATCGGGTTTATATGAATTCTTAATTGATATTTCTAATTCTGGAGGCCTCAAAGAATTGCTGGTTTAGATACCTTACCTACCTACCTAGGTACACTCGTCGATAAGTGTCCTAATACCTACTTACGTGTACGAAACCGGCTTTTATTTATTTTACTTTCCTTTTGATAGGACATACGCGCATAATCTCGTGTGCATACGAATCCATCTCCCGATTTTGGTTGTCATTGATCCTGGTCCAGTGCAAGCTGGGTTAGAAGGACTCGTCAGCTAGCTGTAGCTCATTGGTGGGCGCGGTTTACCATCCCTACCGAGTCGTAGTTAGACTAACACAGCCTCCTGAAAGGCAGCACTAAAGCTTCTATCATTTCATCGGCGAAATGCTGGTAGTTGAAGCAGTTTTAGAGTAGGCTGTGTCCGTCTTTTATAGGTATTTACTAGTTTTTCATATAATAAATCTACATAATATACCTGGCGTCCCGCTTTGTTTTATCCCTTGAAGATTACCTGCCGTTTTCTAGCGCGGGTGGATTTCTTAAAGTGAATGTCCGCGCGGCTCTCTCCACGGGGGACTCGGGCGTCTTACATATTCCTTACGGCCGCTTGTGTAGGCAGCCATTTAAGTTTCTTCTTACACTTCAACATCATTGTTGAGGGTGGATAGTCCATAGTCTTGTCATGCTGAGGTAGTCCCTTACTCTCTATCTATTCTCGTCTACAATTTCTGGGAGCCTAATCGCACGATGCGTGGCTACCTGAAGGCCTGGTGGCTGCTAGCACCGCTGCTTACAGCTGCTCTTCCAACCGGACAAGAGCGTAAGAATTCATCAAATATCATGAAATTTGTCGTATACTTCTAACACGTAGCCATCATTTCAAGTCAAGGTCTCACACGCATTAATCAACTTCGATATCAACCCAACTTCAGATGAAATTAATCGTCACGGAACTGTAAGCCGTTACGAAAATACCGTGAAGTGACAATTAGCTAATACATCTTATTCAGACTCTACGTCTTGACATCCTCGAGTCGACGTCTCCGTGCGGCTACGGAAATGTGACCCTTAGCGGTCAATCGCTCGCGCAAGATGAAAACGGTGCTGGGTCTGGGCCCGTCATTACTGACCATGGCAATACCGTTCTTGCCAACTGGACCTTTAGTTGTGTACATCTTGAAGACGAGTTTCAGGGCCAGCTGATGACTTTTGAAGTTGTCTCTTTAGACGGCGAGGAAGCCCATGATGTTAAATTTGTTGTTCAGTTCCAACAAATGGCGCCGCCTTCTATCTCCTCCATCAATGGCACGGTATCTGTTACTGAGACTCCTATTCCGGCCTCGGCCACGGACGAAAACTTGGTCAAGGAAACTTCAACACCTTTGGACAGTGAGCTGGCTGAGTTGAAATCGATGATACGACAATTTGCGGCACTTGAACAAGCAATTTCTTCTAAAGTGCAGCATATCTCCGAAACTTACGACTTCAAGAGTCCTGATGAATTTCATTCATTTTGGAGGTGCGATAGTCTGAAATGCCTTGTGAAAACAATGTACGGACGTGCGAAATACGTAGCTAGCCGTCTCTATGGGCACGGGCCTGAAGGAGGGAGGCATTTTGGAGGCCGACCGAGTAGATTCGGCTGGCGATTTCGTCACGGCGACCGACCTCACTGGTTTCCACATGATGGCAGCGCTCATGGGAACCATTCATGTCCGCATCCGCGACCTCATCCTCACCCTCCTCACCCCCCTCATCATCAACCTCCTCATGGACCTCCTCCTCATGGACCTCCCCCTCATGGGCCTCCCTATCATGGGCCTCCCTATCATGAACCCCCTCATTTTCACCAACCGCCCCCATTCTGTCACTGCGCACCTCCACCTCCGCCTCATGAATTCTACGAAGAGCAACCGCCACACGTCCACCCAGCACCAAGTCATCAAATCCTAGAGGATGACATGACTCGGGAGAACCTTAGATTAGGTGCTGGACCCGATAATAACATGGTAAGCTTCGAGGGAATAGCATATGATATGAAATTTCATACTGACTTTTTAGCGACCGATCGGGAAGTTTGGCGATGATAAACTAGAACCACCGCCTCATATTATTGTCAATGGAGCCGATTTATCTCCACCAATACCGGACCACCATGACCAACCGCCGCATCCAGATTTCAGACCACATGAAGGGACGCCTCCGCATCCGCACCATGGTCCTGTAAGCATCCTCTATAGCCATGTGATAACGTTGACTAATACAATAAAGCATTCTGAACACCGTGGTCCACCTCCTTTACCGGTCGTTTATATCGTGGCCGTATTCATCGTGCTTGCCTTACTCGTTGGCACTGTTTATACGCGCTGTTTTTCCGCATCTGGCAAAAGTCGACGTAGTTCCTATACCGGGCGATGCCAAACCCGAGAGGCTCGTCGTCAGTGTCGCCGCAATGCCTGGGCTAACAGACGCGCGGCTATCGGAACCAGGTATTCTGAAATCGTTGGGTGGCTGAGGGAAAGTGTAAGGCGTCAAGAGATTGGGAATGAGGAAAAGGAAAAGGAGGCCTTCATGAGACAACTGGATAGATCTGGAAATGAAGAGGAGGATAACATTTCTACGACGATGGAACAGGAGATTGCGCAGTTCCGTGCGGTTGCTAGCGTCGTGGGCGATTTGGTTGCGGCAGAAGAGGGCCGTTCTCATGAATATACCCATCAGAGACAGCAGCACGTAATCCCGGCGCCCCCTAGCCCGGCTTCGGCTTTCCCGGATTATGCATCTATTGACGAGGAACTCCCGGCTTACGACGAGGGGTCAAACGATTCACGCTTCGTTGCCGATGGGTTTAGATATACTCCTGGATGTCCGTATTATACACCAAGCGGGTCGTCGACGACAGAATCATCGCTTTATGAACATCTAGGAAGAAAGGATTAAGGAAATCAGGCGGAATTTGGTGAATCGGGGTGATAGGGGTTAACAGGTATATTTACAATGTTTGTATCAATAAGGAGTCGAACAGGCGTGCAACATTGCATGGTGAGGTACTACAACTTTTCACCAGGGTTTTGAATTTTAGATGATGAATATTGACATAAGAGTATAAAGAATAACCCTAGTTGTTTTATTTACACTTAATGCCTAGGTGTAGATGTCGGCTAACCTTGAATGTTTGCCATGTACTTTTTCTACTTAGTATTGTCAATTACCAATTCCTAGGGTAGATAATCTAATTGGGAACATTCAAGAGAAAATATTAATACCAGCTGCCGTAAATGGGTAGCTTAGCGAATATGTATGATCTCATGGCTTGGGGATAAGGAGATGTGCGAAGCAGATAACCTGGAATACCACATAGTCCCCGCAGATTAGACCCATACCGAACCGTCGTTTTCGTGTAGAAGAGTCAAACCGGCATATTTACAATCTACATTGATTGGCGGTGTAGTGCACTCACTACCGCGGGGTCAAGAGGCCAAGCCTACCATAACTTCCAAGCCATTTATAAAGCTATTCATAAATTGAAAGCTGGGTTGAGACTGATGGTTCAATCTCGTACCTTATATCTGCCATTCACCTCACAACATTTCTAAGATGTGGCTTCATATTAGCAGAGCCCAGGCTCTTATCATATTTTCTCTTTTTCCGTGGACTAAAGCGTGCATGCACGAGCGACGCGTGCATTCAAGCTTGACAGGGAAACGGGATACTACTCCATTGGAACCTCTGAGTCCAGAAGAAACTATTCTGGTAGACTCAATATCTAACACGAGTATATCAGAATGGTCCTACTACTACACACATGGTGCACATCTAGCTGGGAAGAATTTGTCGATGGCAGAGTGGACGGCGGATCGTTGGAAGGAAAGCGGATGGAACTCAAGTGTTATCTCCTATGATGTTTACTTGAACTATCCTGTCAACAAGTCGCTAAGTTTGACGTATTCTAACGGGAGTATTTATCGCCCGTTTCTAGAGGAAGCCGTGTTAAGCCAGGATGAAACGACGAGCTATCCTAACGCGATACCCACGTTCCACGGCTATTCAGCCAGCGGTAGTGTAGATGCCGAATTCGTTTATGTTGGACGTGGCCAGCAGGTTGATTTTGACAGGCTGGTCCAACTCGGGGTGCCCTTGGAAGGCAAGATTGCCATTGCTATGTATGGAGGCCCCTTTAGGGGGTTAAAGGTGAAAAATGCGCAGGACAATGGTATGATAGGCGTGATTATCTTTACAGACACCGCCGAAGATGGGGACATAACCGAGGCTAATGGGTACGCGGCCTATCCGGATGGACCAGCCCGTAACCCTTCCAGCGTACAAAGGGGTAGTGTGCAGTTTCTCTCAACATATCCCGGCGACCCGACTACTCCGGGCTATCCCTCGAAAGAAGGCTCGCCCCGTGTGGAGCACCCCTCAGTGCTCCCGGATATCCCTTCAATCCCAATTTCATATCCGAACGCAATCCCAATCCTTGCCGCTCTCGATGGATATGGGACGACTGGAAACGAGGTCAACCGCACTGGTTGGGTGGGCAAGCTTAACGTGTCTTACAGTACCGGTCCTGCGCCTGGTACGACAATTAGCTTATCGAATTTCATGGAGGATACGTATGCCCCGATCTGGAATGCGATCGGTGTAATTAATGGCACGGTTGGAGATGAGACAATTGTGATAGGAAATCATCGCGATGCCTGGATTATCGGTGGTGCTGCTGATCCAAATAGCGGATCTGCTATTTTAGTCGAGCTTTCTAAAGCATTTGGCAAGCTTCTCTCCCAGGGATGGAAGCCGAAACGAAACATCGTCGTATGTAACGGTTTCTAAGACCATTCCTCATCTCTTCCTTTGACCTTTTGCTCTTGCCTGCCTCTCAAATCCTTACTTCAAGGTGTACCTAACCACTGATTATTTACAGATTGCGTCATGGGATGGAGAAGAGTATGGTCTCTTGGGTTCAACCGAAGTTCGTAGCATCTGAAGTTTCCTTTGCCCCTTATTCATCTTTATTGACAGCGAGTGATTAATTGAACTGGCTGGCGGGGAATCTTCCCCCCCAACGAATGTTTAAATCTCCTTCAACTAGCATCAAGAGAAGTTTCCAGTTACTAACACTTATTACAGTGGGTTGAAGAATACATCCCCTGGCTTACCGATACTGCGGTATCATATCTGAACGTTGTAAGTACCTAATCCTTGAGGTTATTCATGAGAACTTCTAACATTATATCCAAAGGATGTTGGTACATCTGGACCCTGGCCATATATAGAAGCGACTCCAGAGCTCCATAAGATCGCTACAGATGTTATGAAGAAAGTTTCGTGGAAGGATTCACGTAATATGTACGACGTCTGGCTGGAATATACTCAAGGTTTCATCGGTGTGCTAGGCAGCGGCAGTGATTATACATCTTTCGTCCACAGAGGAATTGGTTCCGTAAGTAATCATTTTGAAATACCCCATGCGTAAGGTTGCTGCTGACTATGTTTAGATTGATATAGGCTCAAGCTCGGGTGCGACAGATCCTATTTATCACTACCATAGTAATTTTGACTCTTATCACTGGGTAAGTGCATTATGAGAGATTTGAGCTGACCAACACTGGAAACTGAGCTCCCCGATATTTATTAATATTAAAGATCATTATCACATCGTACTGATGATAGATATTGCAGATGTCGACTTTCGGAGATCCTGGGTTTACTATTCACAAGTTTACGGCTCAAGTATAACCGCCTTTCATTGAAACTTCTGTGAACCGAACGACACACCGACTAACATCTTTTTAGTATCTAACGCTTTTAGCTTATAACCTCGCGAGTCAAGATGCGATACAATTCGACCTGCCCAACTATGGTGTACAGATGGAGAGTTATTATGACGACTTACTCTCTTTAGTAAATTCAACCACGTCCATTTTGGATACATCCACGCTACAAAACGCTATACAAGACTTTAAGACTGCGGCAGCAGAGGTAGAAGCACAAAAGCAACAGGCGATTTCCACTAATGATTCTGAGCTTCTCACCCTTGTAAATCATAAGTTTAGAGACTTCCAGCGGGGCTTCGTGTCTCAAGGTGGTCTGCCCAACCGCGAGTTTTATCGGCATCTTATTTTTGCGCCGGGACTTGATACTGGTATGCTTCTCATCTTTTCCTTGTTGCCTGTTAAGACTAATCCCTCATAATCACACAGGCTACGCAGCAACAACATTCCCGGGAATAACAGAGGCGCTTGAGGCTGGGAATATATCACTTGCAGCTGAATTTGTTCAGAAGACCGCTAAGGCTATCTTAGTAGCCAGCGACATAATTAGGACGTAAATAAACCGAAGTGTTGCGTCTATAATTCATTACAATAAATCAACTAAATGAGATGAAATCATAGAACATAGTTCTAAATTGTTGCACTTGCATATGGCTTGAATGTAAACTCGGTGTTTTGCGAGTAGTAGCAAGTGATTGTTCCAACTAGAAACCGAGATATAAACAGGTGTGATGATCAAAAATAAAGGGGGATGAAATGTATGTTATACTGTAACAAATGCTTTATATCATTACTATACGATAATTTTGTAGTTATACCCCCCCTTTGAGCTACACGGGAATCGTAATGAACAGTATCAAATACGTTGTTTTAACAAAGACATTATGGACATGTTGTTAGAGGACGTTGTTTAATAGTGAGAGCCCTCTATATATATTTCAGCCTCGCATTACTCGGAATCCTCGATGGTGATACCTCGATTTTGATATCGCAGCTGAGAGACTGCTTAAACTTGGTAAAGTTTGTACTTCATAACATCAAGTCAACCGATTCACCATGCACTCAAGCGCTATAGTTTCACCGCCTATGCGACGCGTCCGACCTACCCGTGAGCAGAGACATAGGATACGGCAACATTTACTCAACACATATGACAGGTTGAGAGACCACCCTCTTAACTTTGTTATAGATGAATATGAACCGAGAGGTCGATTTTTTAACTTTGATCACTTGCCATCATTTACGTGGAGCGCGTGGTGGCGTGGCAAAGGGATTCCCCACGAAGTATCTAGACCTCCTGTCAACGACCCAGGATTCAATGAGGGTGTTCTCGACATAAGTCAGCCATGGATCCCCTTTAAAAGGTGGATGATGGAAATTGCACGAACTTGGACGCGGCCATGGCCAAGAGACCTTGAATTAGATCCAGAACTGTTTGGGAATAATATCGCCGACTATCACTGTACTCAAATTAACTTCTTTAGAGTTATGAGATACCGGCTTTCTGTGCACAAATCATATGCCTAGTAAGTAATCATTTCATTTCTCATGGCTTATTTCTTGAGCATAACATTAGCTGACTTTGTTGCTGCAGTTGGACGGAATTTGCACGAAAGCATCAGTATAGATCTCTAACGGAAACCTTTGAATTCTTAGACGGCCGCCAGGGTGAAGAGGTCGAATTTGACCCGGCTTTAGCTGAAACAGCCCGCATGAATCATCGGCAGTCGTTAATAATGCTCACCTTAGTAGGTCTGAATAACTATAACGTCGAAGATGAGACACTCAATAATGCGGGAGTTGATGAATTAAGGTATTGTAAGTAGCATTCAGCATTCCCCTATTCGTTTCGTACCTCCGGTCAAATAATGTAACTAACATTTACTTAAGTCATACGATCGCCCGTTGTCATGGACGCCTGGCGCGAATTTCATAATGACTATTTACAGTATCATCCCGATACACGAAATCCCGTATGGAGCACATTACAACCTGGTACGTAATATTATATTTTCTCTTTTTACGTTTGATTCGCCTGGGAGATATTTTTACTGACTGTCCCTGTAGCATTGGAAAATAGGGAGATCCAGACCATAAGAAGAAGGTATTATTTGTCAATTGACCCTGACAAAAACAACTGGACTCTTATGGACCATGCCGTACGATTTATAATGAGGGTATACTATTACGGCTTGCAGATGTGTGAGGCTAGGGAACGTGAACACCTCGAGGAAGTTCACTGGCCATGGGAGCAGTATTTCTACAGCGAAACGTTCGGTATTGATATGGAAGATCGACACTGGTTTGGGTTCTCCTTGTTGATGCTCCTCGTTTCTTCTTGGCAATATAACCGTATATATCCTCACCCAGAATATGCCCGAATCCTTGTACCGGCATTATATGCTGGCTATCAACCACAAGATTGGGATTTTATCGAAGGCGACGCCGGTATGGTCGACCTATCCCCTACTTCACCGGTATAGTACCCAAAAGTTCCCCTCCCCCCCCCCCCTTTTTTTTTTATTCAAGGAAGTAAAATGCAACCATGCAACCGCTAACTTCTGCTATAGTGGAAATGTGAAAATGATGTTAGATCAAAATTCGATTTCAGCAGAGCTTATTTGTGTGGCTTCATTGGTAGCTGGGAAGGAGGCCGATTATATGACAGCGAAAGTGACACCCCGATTGATAATGATGGTTATCGTGTCCGCGGAAACCGACCCAAAATCACCCGGAATTATGACCAGTATTTGTCTGACTAGATTACTCATTTGACTTCTATCGTGTAGAGTGAAGTCATTGAGGATACACCATGAATCAATCTTTGATACTATGCTTAGGATATGAGATAGAGCTTTAGATGGGCACATGGGACATCACTTGGGTAAGCAATTGACGATATTACTTACCTAGGAGGTAGGTACCTATCTGATATCTAAGGTACCTAAGTTAATGCGAAGAGTTTTGATAGCAAGTACATTCTTCTTTCTATAATAGAAGAGGGATCCTGTTCCTTTAAATCCATAGTATTAATTGCCTGTTGATAACAGTTTTTTGGATGGCTGAAACCCTTTGCCTGAAGCGTGTACAACATAAACTTGGCTCTAGTAGTTACGTTACTGCTTCACAAGTAAATTAAAATAAATCTTCATAAATACATGTATATAATGAAAAATTAAAAATGTTCGATTATTAAGTACATGAAGTGATTATATTATACCAGAAGGTCCTCTCAAACGCTTGAAGATAGTTACACAGGATTAGTATATAGAAACTTGAATAAGATGATACAATAAAAGAAAGCAATGGGGTAGGCTACAGTATATGGACTCCGATCTAGCAAATCTACTTGGTTCCCGTCATGCTGTTACTTTAGCCCAGAATGCTACCAGTTCCTGAGTAACATGCAATAATCTATTATCTCGTACTCCCTCACGGTAGATTCTGCTCTGCATATACCGGTCTCGTTCGTTGAAGAATAGCCTGGTCTGGTTTCTCCAGATTCGGTATTCTTGTGCGTCTTCCAAAGTAGGGGACTGCTCTTCTTCCTCGGCAACATCGTTGTGCGGGAGCTGTATAGGTAATAGGCAGCCGTGGATTCTGAGTTGCTCTGCGAAAAGTTCGTCGTCATCGAGTACGGGGGTTGGTGACTTAATTTCATATTTGACTGTAGCTCTACTCACTTGCTCCATTGCCGGGGATTCCGCACGAGGCAATCTTTGTACTAACAGGGAATACAGATTTACTCCCTGCGATTTTAATTGAGCGTAATCGTGAGCTTTACAATCATATAGCTTAACAAATTTCGCTGGCTTTCTTGTGCGCTTCTTCGTCTTATTTTGAACAGCTGGTTTCCGTTTACCAAGTTTGGTTTTGGACCCCTTAGCGTTATTTACTGGGAGATCGTCTTCCGACTCGTCCACAGTCAAGAGGCCTTCATCGGACGACTCATCCTCCGGACGCGGTATTAAACTGGGTTTGTTCGGATCTGATGTCTGCTTTTCGACGAAAGCTGCAAACTCGGCACTCTTAGCTCCAAGCCTCTTCCTCTCCATTTTGAAATGTGGTTTCGGCACATATTTAGGGGTTAGGTAGTGATGAAGCAGCCTTCTATCCAGAATACCCGTTTCCGCTGCACAGACTTGGCCATATGTACATTGGATGGGTGGGCTTTCAAATAATAAGCATTCCGAGGCTGCCGGGGGCTTCCATTCCGAAAGCCCAGATTTAAGCAGGGTCGCTTTCAGCGCTTTAACATTTGTCGGAATCACCTCTCCTCCATACTGAAGTAGGTTATCATAATGCTGCGACCTACGCTCGTTCATATAAAGAAGCTTACACTCCTTCATGATCATCATAGTGAGTTCCTGCTCACATAATTGCTTCTTGGACTCTCGAATCTTTTTACTTTCGTAATCTTTACGGAGGTCAGACCATCGGGTTTCGTCAAAATTAGTTTGGTCGGGTGGTAGTTGTAGATTGGTGCTAACGTCCTCGAGGGCCAGCTCATACTTTACCAATGCTACACTCCTACTATCCAATGTGAACCGTGTCAGAGTCCGCAGAAGTGGTGAGTGTGCCATAATGACAAATATTAACTCTTTAGGCGTGGGAGAAGTTAAGTTAATGATGGTGCGTTTATTACTCGTGTTATTAATGCTGTATGGTATAAAATCTCCTGACTGTCAAATCAAATCAAATAAGGGACTCCCATTTGGGGGGAAACAAGATTATTATTACTGAGTTGGCAACAATAGCTTCTAGACTCTTTGTGAGTGCAAGGTTTATCGCCTTGCATTGTTATCTTTGGGTTAACGTGCTCCTTTGTCTTCTATTTCTTTTTTAAACGGCAAGACAATGTTATAGAATCACTTATTATAATAAGGGCGTATAGTTATTAGGTTTAACATAGACGCCTTTGCTATTTTCTATTTAAAGAGCAGTAAAGGACATAGTACCTAGATACCTGAGTTACCGGTAAGGGTATTGTTCTACTTCATTCTCTCAGCTTGAACAGCCATATCCTCTCCTCTCTTCTGCTCTTTCTAAAAGTCTAAATCATGTATCGGAACGTGACGGCTTTATCACCCTTGGCGGATAGTTCCCCAGCAGTGAATTGATTATCCCCACCCTGGCGCATGATTCTATCTCGTTTCTTGTTGATGGAAGTGTATGCTATAGCCTGAATCACTGCGGCAATAACACCGACACTGATAAATCCCAACTCCAAGCCATGTCCGAGAATGTACTGAGGAGAATCACCCTGTCGATAAAAGTTGGATGCCATAGCTCCACCTAGATTCCCAATGCCGATTTGGATGGCCATTCCAGCACTGCGCTTGTAGCTACCTGCTAGATTGTTTGAGAGCCAAGTGACCACACCAGGGAATGCCGGATAAATGGCGCAGGCTACCACAAAGACACCCCCGTAAACTACTCGAGGATTGGTACTAGATACGCACCTTGAAATAGTTAGACACAGTCTGGACATGCATTTGCTTGTATTTGAGCTTCAACTTACATTGAAAACCCTACGATCATTATCAAGAAGAATGAGATGATGAACGGGCTACGCTTTCCTACGCGATCCGATATGAAAGCGAATACAATGGCTAAGATTGCCGCTGTTATATATATCGGGACCGTCATAAGTTGGGCGGTACTTGAAGAGTACCCAAGATTTCTGATAATCGTCGGGAGGAAGAGACTGATGCCATAAAGTGGGCATACGATCTATTGGCGGCATTGATTAGTCTTTGAGAATGACGGGACAGGGAGCACAACAAAGAAGCTTACACCCCAATAAACAAATAGGTTAACCCATATCTGCCAGTCTTTGAAGGCTGCCAAAACATATTTCCACTCGAACTCCTCCGCTTGGGCTACATGCGGACTTTCCTTTCCTTGTAGCTGACCTTGGTACTTCAGGCGAAACACGATAAATTCCCGTTCCTTCTCGGTGAGGAACGAGGCGGTTTCAGGAAAATCGTAGAGTACAAAGAATGCAATAATGGCGACGATAATCTGGATGAGTTAGTTATATCGCCAATCTTGGGTAAACAAAACTTAACTGACAGTCGCTATTCCTTCAAGGATAAAGATCCAACGCCAACCCTCGAGGTTTCCAACACCATCCATCTTCGCGATAGCGAAAGCTAACAGTCCGCTGAACGCACCAGCTATTGACCCCGCCGAGAAAAACAGAGCCTGGGGATATATTAGTAAATAAAAATACCGGGAATCATTGTCCTATGGATTAGGACTGCTCTTTGACATGTTAAACATACTTGGCGGAATTGGATCTCGTGGCGACAATACCACATCGTGAGATAATACTTTGGAACTCATTAGCTTTAGCAGGTTGTAATTGAGTATCAAGTCCTTACGGCACACCCGGGATACAAGCCCGCTTCAGTTACACCAAGAAACAGCCGCGCAATAAGCAAGCCATGGTAGCTCCTTACTATACCCATCAATGCCATCACTATCCCCCACTGTGGCGATTAATAGTAGTTAGCAATTGACCTTAATAACGTTAAAAATACAATTAGGACGATATCTAGCAATTAAAAATAGCTTATGACTTGAGTAGATTACTGAAGGGAAAGACACATAAACATGGTAACCATGTTCACTTACCGCAACCATAATAAGCGGGAGCCATCTTGAAGGACGTAGTTTCTTTAATAACAGATTGCTTGGAACTTCGAACGTGGCATAGGTGAAGAAAAATACGGTTAAGCACCAGTTGTACTCATCGGGACTCATTCTTAAATCTTCTTGGAGGCCCTCGATCTTCGCGTTGCCAATGTTTCCTCTATCTAGGAAAGATAACAAATACAGCATCGCAAGCATTGGTATTAAGCGGAGGTCCATCTAAATAAGAAACTAGAGTTAGCACATAGCTTTCGTACGTTAAATGAACTCGATAATCACGAAGAGGAGTCTTGACCTTTCTCAATAATTTCTTCTCGTCTATATCGGCGAATGACTCTGGAGTCACCTCCGCAGTCGTAACAAGGGCGTCCGCGCGATCAGGTTCATTTTGCGGCCCTTTTTCTGTGCAAAACTCGAGATGTCCAACAATAATTTTGCCAAAATCCGATATCTCATTATTAGATGCCATGATGAGCGGACGAGTACCCAAATCTTGGCACTATGAGAGCATCCAGGTGTCTTGGGGGATAAAGTTGTTGAGAACAGTCCAGTCGCGTCGAAACGTGATAGATAATCAATAAAACTGAGCAGCCCAGCACTTATAGGTAAAGTCAATTGGTAAGACCATTAGCCCCTCGGAGCATTCCACCGAGAGGCCCTGCGCGGGCGCGCTGAAAGATTCCGCGGGTCACATTGATGGTGTGTGCGGGGAGGAGAAACCGACCAGGGTCTCCCTATACAAAGGGGTTGGCGATGTAGGTGAATTACATCATCCAATAGGCATTAAGACAACACACGGGTATGAACAGTCGCCCTTAGAGATGTTGGAGATCGTGGACTATAATGAATGGCGTATGAAGTACCTTGACGAGTGACCACCGACAAAGGCTATGATTGGGGGTTTCTATCCTTCTACATCGAGGTTAACGACCTCCAGTTTCTACATAGTTGGTATAGTTACCTGCCTACCTACCTAGGTAGATAAGAGCGGGACAAAGGGCCAATCCTGTCGGTAGACCCGTCAGCATTCACAACCATATAAACAGCCCCCCGGTCATCTACTCATGACATTTACATCAGTATCCTTGGCTGGTATTCGTGGGGATTGTGGGGACCCTTGTTCTCCCCACGAGTTTGATGGAGATATTTGCGGGGGGATGCCGAGTTAAGATCAGATCTTTGGGGTATGTACACATTGGAGTTTCTTACCAACTACAACAGTATCACGCGGGAGTTTATCTGGAGATATAGAAGGCTACTATTGGCTTACTGTATTTTATATTGGCCTACCTAATAGGGAGCTTCGGAGTTAAGTGCTCTTTATGAGTCTAAAGACCGATAGATTTGAAATCATCTTCTTCCCACTCGAATCGCGTAATAACACCATCCGACTATAAGCACTTATAAGCACTCCAAATTATCATCCTTGTATTCCAACTGTGTTACCTCCGTGAATTCGGTACAGCGTCATGGCCGAGATGACTGCTGCACCAATACCGCTACCATCTTCCGCATTAGTGATGATGATAGGATCTTCTTCCCTATCTTCGGGCCAATCGAGAATCTCACCAAGCGCCTCGGCCCACCGTTGCTTGAATTTCGGATGCTTGTTTGCGACAGTGCCATCCGCTGCGACATGACCTGACGTAATACCCTTCATCCGGCATATCGCTGCAACGCCGCAGGAGCAGAGCCTCGCACCCCTAGCCGCGATGACTTCTGCCAAGCGACGAGCTACCCTTGTCTCATCTAATGTGACTTTGATATTTAGACATTCTTCTAGTCGAGTCTGAGACGTCTCTAGCGGGTCATTCTCGATACCCGATAAGAAGCCAGTGTCTAGTTTATAAGGTTCTCTCAATTTTGCAGCACCTTGCCTGTCAAAGATGAGACCACTTTCGTAAAGATCAAGTGCAGTTAGTCGGAAGATCTCGCCGAGGTACAGACCCGCGCTCATCTTTTCGAACGCCTGTTCGCCTGGCCGCGGGGAATCTTTGTCGATAGATACGTCGTACTTGGTTCGCGGCAATACGCGATGAGCGTTATCAAAAGCGCCGTATTCACAATTTATTGCCATAGGAGTATCGGGTGGCAGGGTTGTCTTCAATTTCGGTATTGAGCCGACATTTTCCACGTATGCCGCATTGCAACCCGTACCAAATATTGCGCCGATGATGGTATCCGGGTCTTTATAGGCTGAGGCTACCATAGCTCCAGTAGTATCATTTACAAGAGCAACAAGCTCTAAAGGTAAACCCTGCGTTCGTGTTAGTCTTTATGTCCTCCACTCAAGCTATCATCATCTCATAATTGCCTTACCCGCTCAGCCAAGACATCTTTCAGTTGTGCCGCGGCGTCTTCACCCTCGACACCGTCGATATCAAATCCTTTCGTCCACGTCTTCAAAATGCCGTGGTCGATAGCATCCTGAGAAGCCGGGTAAGAGAAACAAAACCCTAAAGGTAGCCTACTGATGTACTTAGCTAATTGCATAATAAGTACCTAAATAAATAAGAATAAGTACGCACCGATCATCGCGATTCGCTATAATTTGATGCGATTTGATGAACTCGTCCAGGGAATCTGCAATGAAGTTCCATAGTTGTCGAGAGTCTCCCGTCTTTATTGCTGGAGGAAGGCGATAAACGTGTTGCTTGATATCAATTTCCTCGCGCTGTCCTCTCAACGCAACTCGACACATGCGTAAATTAGTGCCGCCAAGATCTATCGTTACGTATTCGCCAATTTCGTCACCGGATGGGAGTCCAAGAACCCATGTTACGTTCATAGCCTATCTATTGTTTAATAATGATGCGAATAAGACCAGTTCGGATTACTTACAATATTAGATCCTTCTTTTTCAAGACCCTCTCGTAACTCTTTTTCGAATTGTTGGGTAATCTGCTTGAGCTTCTCGGTTGAGACATTGAACTGGTTTTCGATGTCGATAAGCTTGGATCGCAACTCTGGCGGTAGTTGAATCGACTCGGATGTCTCAAGTCCTTTAGCCATAGTTATGAATTGTTGCAACAGTCTTTTTACCGTTACTTCTCTGAACACAATATTGCACTTTAGCACGAGGTTGGTATGATGTTCATAAGCTACTTCCTATGTTCATAACTCATGTTGTTATTGATATCATTAAATACCGAGGGCATCAAGGGTATCAAGGGTCCCGCTTAATACACCCACTGTAGGCCAGCACTGACGTCAGAGTTGGGCGGAGCTTCAATTCTTGGATTGAATCTTGGTTAAGATGACCCAATTACCTGAAACTTCCAACTGAGACTTTCATCGTATCCTCCATTCCAAGTTTGCCTTTGGAATGTTGGCAGGGGGAAGCCATGTTTTTAAAACTTTCAAGTACAGTTAAGTCTACTTGACTGGCTTCCAGTATATTGGAACCCTAGTGCACTGATTGATTAGTTACATGTCATTAAGTCAATATTTTGCTTCTCAGCTAAACTTAGTCTTCAGAAAGACTATATATCCAATAATAAACATATAAAAAGGCACCTCTCACCAACTAAAACTAAACAAAACTAAACAAAACTAAAGTACGTCTGAATTAGCCTAGCGACCGAACTGGTAACTACTTCTTAGAGGGTACCTGTTTAGAATTTTGCTGTGCAGCCTGCAAGACCAGTTTCACACAATATTCGACTAACTGGTTGTTTTCCATCTCCTCCCCGCTTACCACCTCCGTTCCCCATTCAAAAAATCCATATCTAAAGTATTGTTTTATGAAATCAAAACGACTCAGAGTATGATGCCTATCACTCACCTCCTTTGCGAGATCAGCCCATTCATCTGAGCTAACGGAACTTGGATCAGCACCCGCGTTTAGTAGTATGATTACCGCTGAAAGGTGTCTGACCCGAACAGCGTCATTTAAAGCTGTCTGGGGAGTGTTAGGCCCGGGAAAACCTGATATCGGCGGAACTGGCGGTAAAAGTGTTTCTAAAGATTGTCCTTGTTGAGTCCATCTAGCAACAATAATCTGGACAGCTCCGCTATTGCCATAGAGAATTGCCTGGCGTAACCATTCTGGAGTATCAAAGCCCGTCATATGTGTAGCAGCCCAGTAAAAATTAAACAAGGAACTTTTACCAGTTAGAAGTGCAAGCTGCACAATATTATAACAGTGCTCTAGCAATTGCTCATTGAGATCGGGACCCAGAGAGCGGTTATCGAAAAGAAACGTTTGGATGTAATTCATGTGTTCCACGAAGTAATCCAAGCACTCTCCTGTTGCCGCCGCACTTACTATGCTACCATGTATTAGCAGCTGGACTATATATTCCCACGGCTCCACTCCGCGTCGAGCCGCACGGTGAATTAGCGGGCTTTTTAGCATCTGTAAAATATGGATAGCGTCTCGTTGGCGAGCTTCAGAAGTAAGTGCCAGTGCAATGGGGTTTGCGTTGTAGGCATCCAAGCTATTTGCGGGGAGTGGGAGGATCTCACCATCAGTCGAAAATGATAGGTTGGCAAGATATTGGATGAGAGCTGGATGTTTTCCCGACTGGGCTGCTTTACTTAATATTTCGGGAAGTCCATCATCGATAAGAACTTGCCGGTGCCTATTTTCTGGTGGTAGATTTAACGTTCGATGTACTACGGCAGTGGTATATCGATCCATTCCAGAATTTATAGCTGACAAGAAGCTACGGGTAAGAACGAAACGGGGTGGCAACGTAGAATTACCGGCTAGGGCAACTTGGGCTTCCGGTCTGAGGGGGCCTAAATAAGTCCCATAAACAATAAGAGCTAAGGCACAATCCTCCATCTTTTTACGAAGTGTAGGTTCTTTCTCCACGGCAAACAATTCTATAGCATGATGCATTGCAGTCAAGCAGTGTCGGTACAAAGGTAACCTACCTGAAGATTCCGGGTCGGTATCTTCGTCTTCAAATCTCATCCAAGAGAGTAGAGCCGGATAATTTTTAAGTAGTAACTCGAAGACATCAACTCGAGCTAACCGAACGGCTGTTACTAATGGAGATTCTCGTATCCAGGGTCCGTTGTTGGCGATGTTCCCGGATCTTAGTCTTTCGATCTCTAAGGCACGAGCAAAGTCGCGAATAATATTAACATTGGAACTCTTGTGTTCGATTGCCGAAATGAGCAGAGGTGGTGGGACTTGACCTTTTGAAGCTCCTACCTGCTCCTTGGCATCTCTTTCAGCAATGCTATTGGGTAACCTGAGGATACCGGGACTAGCCAACACACTGTCAAGTAAAGCGGACACCATGATTTTAGTTCTAGTATGTCGTTATAGGATATGTTGCTACCAGAGAGTCGCGACTAGTGTTATTGATGACCAGACGTACGAGAGCTGATATGATTTTAACTAAATCTCACGATTTGATGGTGAGAAATTTAGTACCTCGGTCTTGTGGGAGCTAGCCGACTTATAATCACCTTTTGAACGTCGATGAAACAATAGTATTGTTACCAAATGGGCATAAAGTTGGAGGACAATGCTTTAGATGTGCCACATTCATATTAACAATCATGTTACATAGGTTATTAGGGGCTGGGGTCCAATTGTACAACGAATGATAGAGTGAGAAGACAATAGCATAGCTTCTAGAATAAGTATAACAGTAAGCCCTTGAACTTATGTCCTTTCCAGGTCTGGGGAAGATATGCTCTCTTTAACTACCTACATTAACCTGCTTTCTAGAAGCTACCCCCTTATGTTGTACCTTTTATCTCCTGATATTCATACTATTTAAATTTAGTCTCAGCTTATTTACCCCTTTCTAGGAGCCTTAACTAACCCCGCGCCCCGTTCTATAAGCATCACTGGGATGGCTTTATCATTGAGTAGACTAGTAAGTGAGCGCTAGAAGCCAAACAGCGGCTCTATAAAGAAATGATACAAGGTGGTAACAAATGGAAATTAAGAAGAATCTTAATCTCGTAGCTTTCTCATCTGTGAAGTATGAAATAGTATTCCAGCCGATACCTACTTTAGAATAATCTAGGCATGCCCATCTTCCCCCCCGAATCCTTGAGAGATTCTCACGTCGACCCTGGTTTAACATGTACCTACTAGGTACCTACCTAGTTATATGGCTTATCAAGTTAATGAGTTCAGTAAAATATCCATTATAATCTCTATCCCTTTAACTCGCTTTTCTTTATTTCTACTGCATCCTTAAATGTTTCTCATTATCATAATCGACGATGAAGTCCCATCTTGGCAGCAAGTTCTCCTGAAGCTTCCCCAAATCTAGCCCTACATCCTCACCTCTGCCTCTCATAATCATGCCATTCTCGTAGCTTGACTCGACGGTACGCTGGGTACGGGGACGTCGGACTTGGTCATACACTGTGAAAGCCGTTACTGCCTCAGGAGGTGTTTTAGCACACTCGAGTAAGGTTGAAATAACATAACATATAGTATTATCATTTCTCTTGGACGACTTGTATGTTAGGTAGAAGTTTAGACGGGTATGGGAGTGCTTCAATTGTGGGGACTTTGGCCATAAGATATGATTATATATAAAAGAATTAATGATCGATGGTTCTCGAAGTCACTCACGGACTATCTTCAATAGACATGCCGCCCCCTAAGCCTTGCCTTGTAATACCTACGGTTAGCAAAAGCTTATCAACGTGAAACTGTTAGGATTATAGATGAGACATCTGTAACAAAGAACGTATTCAGTACCTTAGGTATGTATAGACGTAGATTCTCGTAGCTAAGTCAAAGGCTTTTGCGAAAGAATGAAATTGCTTCCATCCTGTTTGGTTCCACCTCGTGTCAGTATGCGGACTCAGAAGTTCGTATTATGAAAAGTACCAAGCTTGTGGCTACCAGGACTAGGTTTTGTATTGCGATTACGGCAATGATAAGTCATAGTTGCGATCGCTCACCCCCTCGATGACGTGTGGTCCGACTAGGGATTATCTAAAATGTCCCATCGCATTAGGGAAAATGTCGAAGCGCTCCTCATGAGACATCCATCAAGGGATAGTTTATTCAATAGACGAGGAATGAGTTGACTTTGGGTTCAACCATTGTTTAGCTATATCCACAGGAGTAAATTATGAAAAGGGGTTATTCCTAGCGAAGCATATAGCGGACAATATTATACAACCCCCATAACGGGGTTTTACAATTCTTCCATTAGCCTTTCTAGATAGATAATGAATTTATCACCAAAGCTTCGTATATGCCTAGATACGAGATTGAATATAGTTATTTTTGGAAACAGCATCCCAAAGCCATGCGCCTGGCTAGTAAAAAATGGCCGGGCCGAGACTAATTCTTCAATTATTGCCAAGCCGGTGTGTTACAGCTATCAGTTGTCAACATGTCATCTGCGGATACCACAATCGTGTTACAGCGTAGGATTAAAACTACCAAATAGTTGGAATTGAATCTGCTTCGCAGCCAGCAATTCCTTGAACGCCCAATCAAGGATCAAGTATCAAGTATCAAAGGTTCTCGGTCCCGTTAACGAGACACGACATACATATTGGGATAGGTACACGAAAACGGCCAGCCAGCTGTTCTACAGCGCAAATATGTCGGTCGATAACTAAACCTTGTTGTGGTGTAATGATATCTGCAATGTAAGCCAACCGGGTTCGGTTGCATATGACTCAAACGATAGAAATTCAATATACAATTCAGATGACCACGATAATTGACACCTGCAGTGCTAGCCATGTCAAAAATTAGTGCAAATTGCTCAGAGCTATTTAAAATGTCTTTGCCTAGACCTGTACGAGCTCCGGTGGCGGTGGCGGAGGAACTTGTAATTTCATTAGCATCTAAGATCGCATATTTACCTAGGCTTGGTATTAGAAAACAACGTGTCATAATATCAGAAATTCCTAGGTTAAAAGCTTTAGCTTATAACCCATGGTAAATCTGCCCGAGTTGAGACTCAATGATTCATGATAGTTAGGTATAACTAATACGTCTTGCTCATAACGGTAACACGAGCTGAGAAAGAGTATCCCTATAGTGCAATAGTAAACGCCTCGTTTATGCGTTGATAGTATTGACCCACCTATAAATCAAAACACCCTTACAGGGGCCACCCTAATAGGGGCCACCTCAAATTTTTAAACCTTTAAAATAAACACCTCAATTTCAATTTAACATTATTTAATTAAATTAAATTTAATTAATTTATAATTTATTATATTTTAACAATAATATAATCTTTTATTATTAACTTAATTAATAAAGCTTTATTTTTTAAATTAATATTAAAATTATTAATTATAATTATACCATTTAATTTTTAAATTTTTAATTATTTTTTTTCTTTTATAATAACCTTAATATTTATAAACGTCAAATTTAAATTAAATAATATCTTACGCTGTTTTTACAATTTCGTATTTATTAATATTTTTTTTAAATATTTAACGTAAGCTTTTATTATAATTAATTTTATAATAGTTTTATTAAAAGTCTTATTAATTTTATTAAATAAAAACTTTATTATAAATTTAATAAATATTATATTGATTTTAAATAGTTTTTTAATTAAAATATTAATATTTTGTAAATTTAAAAGCGTTATTAAAGAGATTAGGGCTATATTTTCGATAAAATTAAGCTTTTTTAGGTTAAAAATAAGGCTTGGAAGAACCGGGGTAATACCGAAAACTTCCCGAAATATAAGTTAATAATTTAATAGTTTATTTTAATCTTTAAAATAAATCCTTGTAATCTTCTAATTAGCCAATATATTATATTTAATTAAACGTTCTTTTCGTACTATTTAATAAATTGTAATAAATTTCCTTTTATTAGAATTAAAAATATAATATAATTAGTATATTTTAGTAAATTTACGATAATAATTTTGTTTTATTAATAAAAATATATCCACGTTAATAATTTATAAAACGTGCAATAAATATACCAAAATAAAAATAACGTAAATTTTATTTATAAAATATTCCCAAAAAAATTCTATTGTAGTATAATTATTATAACCGTTGAAAATTAATAATTATTATTATTAACAATTTAATAGCCTTATTTTTTTTTAAAAAAACCTTACGAAACTATTTAAATGCAATATTATTATTAATCTAACCATTAAAAAACGTAATAAACTTCTAGTTTTTAAATCTAACGTTCTTATTGTTAAAAAATTATTATTATTATATATATTTACTTATATATATAATAAGGAAATTTAAAAATTAACTATTGCCATTAACGTACTTAATAATTAACGTTTAGATTTTATTATTATAATCTTTAATTACAATATGCTTTTTATAAGCCTTGCTAATAATTATTCCGTTATTTCTAACTTTTTCTATAATCCTTATTTTGTTAACGTTATATATATGTTTGGCCAGGATATTTTTAATTTTAAAGGCCTTAAATTAGTTAAAAAAATATTAATATTATTAATTATAATCCCGTTAATTTGTTTATAATTGATTAAATAAACTTTAATCGATTTAATATTAAAATAATAAAATAAAAATTATATATATTAATATTTACCGAAAGTATTGGGCTGGTAATTATGGGTTAATAATCTTCTCGCAATATCTTTAAATTGATATAAGGAAAACGTATAGCTAATACGGTTTAACGTAATAGTTTAATTGGCTAATTTCTTTTTTTAATATTTTAATAATTTCTAATGTTCCTTTAAATAATCGTTTTATATTTTACAACCTAATATTTAATCTGTAAAGTAATATTATAATATAAAATATTTTTTAAACGTTTACTGTAGGGATGTGCTGTTAAGAATGTTGTTTATCGCCGTAGCATAACGCAATTAAGTTAAAAGAGTAGGTATTTTAAAATTGTAAGAAAATGAAGATTTAAATGATAAGTTTTATTTTTTAATTAATTAAAAATTAATAAAATTATATAATAATTTGTATATGGACCTTATCGCGAACGCGTCGCGTTTTTGAGGTGGCCCCTACTAGGGTGGCCCCCGTAAAGGTGCTTTGACTTACAAGCCCCGAATGAAATGATGTTGTCGTGCATGGAGGCGCGAGAGGTGGGACCCCGGAATATGCAAAACCAATAATGATTCCTGTGATATCCGAGGACTTTTATGTAAGAGGAAAATACTATTGTGATTTTATCATGAGATGTTGTTACCTAGTATAGCCGAGTAATCGAAACCTACCATTTTGTATCACCTCGAGCAGACATCAAACTAGAAGTTCCAATAGGCTCCCATGAATAGCGGCCGGACATCCCCAAGAAACAGCCCTTCCGATATCGAAGTATTTCATGTGAAGGATCAAATATCTCCAGGAGGAACCTGTCAGATTGTCAATAGATGTCCTTGTTCCGGACGTATAGTAGTTCTACGTTCTGATCCCGTATCTTAGAAACTATTCAGATTGCCGCGACCGGATAATTTTAACCAAGCATTCTTGGAACTTGTCACCATTCAATATTGCCAAGTCTGTTGTATCACATCTGCGGCTGAAGCAATGGTGTTTCTGATTAGTATAGTCGCCTATCAGCTTGGCCCGACGTCAGTAAACATGGATAATTCTCGTGTGGCTTCGGTGCAAAAGTACCCAGAGACTTTAAAATGGGCCGTAGCCAATTGAATTTAGAGAATGCTCCTATGCATACCTAATGCATTCATATGAGTATTGATCACTTGTAACTATGCGTGCAGTTGGATAGGATTTGGAAGGATTCCTATTGTTTTTGTTATTCGTTTGATGACAGCCTAAGGCATAACGTGGTTAGCAGGTACCTAGGCATGTTTTGCTATGAAATAGAGTAGTAGTTATGCATAATTAAGGGGACTGTGGTTGCAGTGTGATCCGATGGAACGTATCAAATTTCGGTCAGAAAGTTCTCGAGGCATTGCTTGACGTTTTGGTGCGGGGACTCCGTCCGGAATCAGAAGGATGTCGGACTGAACTAGAAAACCAATGATGATTGCATCAATACTAGGAGGTACCTATACTGGATATAAGTAGTCGATCTTTTTACTTAATTTATTTTCTTGTCTCGGGAACATCAGTCTTGTCTTATAAGTACTTGTTTCTCATATAAGAGCGTGCAATATGGAGGGCATTCGACTGGTTATTCTCTATTTGGCAGTACCGAGTTTCTTATTTTCTGTCCTGCGCCAAATACTCTCTTCGATAAAACGGAATAATGGATCGAGCAAAACTATTCCTGGACCCCAGCAGTTTCCTATTGTTGGGAGGGTTCACGATCTTGATAGGTTTTGCATGTGGAAGAAATTCAAGGAATGGGCGGATATCTATGGCCCGATATACAGGACGAGCATGATGGGCCAGCAATTTATTATAATATCGGATCATAAGATTGCCGAAGAGCTTCTTGTTAAAAGAGGCCACATCTACTCTGGGCGCCCTCAGATTCGGGCTCTCTTCGACCATAAGACTGGTCCTGGTTATGTTGCATTGATGGACCGACATGGTATAGCACATCACCCTCTATCGTCGAGTATACCATGAGATGCTAACTTGTAAATCCAAAGAAACTTGGACTCGTCAACGGAAATGGGTCCACGCCGCAATGGCTGATTTCCATCGATCCCATTTCTTTGGAGTCATCGAGAATGAGGTTAAAAGATACCTGGCAATGCTCCTCATCGATCCTGCGAAGTTTCATGCTAATGGGCGGGAACATTGTGGACGCATAATGAGCCGCTTAGCTTGGGACGATGCCTCACAGGGTAAAGAAAATGGTGACAGTGCTGATCGTACACTAACACAAATGTCTGTGTCGGGACCAATCGTCAACACGGTAACACCCCTGTGGGCAATACCCTGGGCATTTAACCCCTGGAAAAAATCCGAAAGGGCACGCGAAGACGAGCAGCGGGCCTGGTGGCTTAACTCTTTCCAAACAGCTAAGAGAAGATATCTACGCGGTGACCTGCCCAAAGACACATGGGCAAGCCGATACTTCACGGGTCTTCAGGAGCAGGGTAACATTGATCTGGAGCAGACTCCCCAGGAAGAGGAATTCGCAAGTTGTATGCTTGGATTCCAAAACCTCGTAGGTGTCGTGACGATTAGCGGGCCGATGTTGTTCTTCCTAATGGCGATGCTACTACATCCCAAATGGCAGAAGAAAGCTCAGGAGGAAATAGATAGAGTTTGCGGTGATCGCATGCCAACCACAGGGGACATGGCCGAATTGCCTACAGTTAGGGCATGTCTGAAGGAGACGCTCCGATGGAGATCTGGCGTTCCTCTCGGTAAGCTTCTAACCCTTATTGCCAACATATATGAATTTACTCACATTTTTACAGGAGTACCCCATCAAGCAGAGCAAGACGATGAGTTCCGGGGCGAGAAGATCACGAAAGGCACGATAGTCATGGCATGCGAATGGTGAGTAATTTTGCGATAGACTTTGATGCATAAACGAGCTATTTGGTTGATCTGACTTTGTTATTCAAGGAGTATGAACCGCGTCCCAGAGCAGTACCCAGATCCCGAGAACTTCCATCCCGAGCGTTACTTGGAGAAAGAATGGCCGACCTACCAAGAGCCACTCTCCCGATACCCAAACTTCCGAGAAGGAATTGGGATGCACACTTTTGGATTTGGCCGTAGGACATGTCTTGGCCAGCACATCGCAGACGATGAGATGTTCGTCTCGGGAGCCGGCGTCCTTTGGGCCTTTAATCTGAATAAGAAGAAGTGTCCTACGACAGGTAAGGACATTGAGTTTGATAGCGAGGCCACCAACGCCCACGTCATCTTGGAGCCGTTACCATTCCCCTGCGAGTTCCAACCCCGAAGTACCGAGAGAACAGCGCAGATTCTATCGGGGTATGCTGAAGTTAGAGACCAGCTTAGGACGTAAATAAATATGCTGGATACATTAGATTTTGATAAGAACATAATGGATATATCGTGGGAAGATATAATAGGGGATCCAGGGGTAGAACTCGGAAATATACCATTTTCTTTGCTCTGAAAAATTGCTTCCCACTTCTACTACGGTAAACATTACTAGACTGATCTGTTATAAGACTTGCCTTGCGTATTTTACTTATGTTCACCTCTCGTGTAGTCCAAACCCGAACTTGGCTACCTACCTATTTATTAAGAATCTGTCAAGATGCAGTGCGCACTCCTTGCTTAGTACCCAGCCGCGCGTCTATATAAGCGATCTACTCAAGCTCGTTACACTCGCTCCTTTTATTCCTTTTAATCCAATCAACTATTCCTATTATATCTAGGTACTATATATGACTAAGCACATACAATACATAATAGAATTAATCACATATATTGCGCTAGTTAATATATACGCTCTGAATAGGACCAGTTGTGATTGATCGGATTGGATTAGATTTTAACGCATTATATCTTTTTAGCAAATGACATGCAATATCCCATATATGTGCCTCGGCGCATGTTATTATATACGCTGATGATGTGCTATGCCAGGGGCATGACGTGCTTCTAGCTCTAGCCTAACTCGGGCTTTTCTCTCGACTTGGAGACACCCGTCCAGCCCTATAGTAGATGATATCCGGAAAGGGAGATTGTGACGCGCCTAGTTGTCTGCATATACGTTCTAGAGATTTTCTTTTTTTCTGTCGGTCTCGCTTGACGCACTTTTATCTCCGTCGGCTATCACGCGGCTATCTCGGATCGAATTTTTGAGTCTGAAGAAATACGATGGCGGACGATAATAAGCCCGAATCTCTCGTTAACGAGAGGACGAGACTCTTAGAAACTAATGCATTTAACGATGAGTCTCACGATGAGGAATTCGATGGTTCATACAGCGGCAGCAGCCTTATAGACAATTCTTCACCTCCGTCGGTATATGGTACTTCAGCTCAACCTGATGAAGAACAATGCGACCAAGAGACAAATACGAGCGAATCTGCCCCAAGGATTTACAGCAATAGATTTATCTCTAGAGTTGTACTTGCTCTACTAGTTGGTGAGCTAAAGACCTCAATGGTTGAAAGTCTTAACAATTTGCTAACATCATCCTCCCAGGAGTGTTTATGGGAAGTGCAGATAGCTCACTAGTAATGGCAACGCATCCCGTCATTGCCTCCGAGTTCAACGATCTCGAGAACTCTGCATGGCTGTTTATTAGCTTCTTACTCGCGGGGGCCGCAACTCAGTCGCTTGTAAGCTCGTAGCTACTACAATGAGAGCTGGGAACCTGACTGTGGAATTATAGTATGGAAAGTTAAGCGATATATATGGTCGTAAACCTGTCCTGTTGACTTCATATGCTCTTTTTGCTACTGGATCGTAAGTTAACTCTCAAAATACCTTGTAAAGGGGTGGGAACTCAACTAATTGTCTTCAGTGCTTTAATGTAAGGTTTCTAGCATTCATATATACCCGTGGATACCGGCTCACTATATACGTGCATATAGCGGCATTGGCCAGTCAATGTGGCAGGTCATAGTTGGCCGCGTCATTTCTGGCTCCGGAGGGGCTGGCATAATGACATTGGCCTCAGTGATTATAACTGGTACGTATTGAACCCTTACGCAATTAAAGACGACTACTATGACGAAGCTCACCGTAGTATAGACTTGTCTCCTTTAAGAGATGTGGCTTCGTGGCAGAGTTACCTCAATGTAGTGACTACTGTTGGTCGAAGTCTGGGTGGCCCTACGGGAGGCTTCCTCGCTGATACGATTGGATGGAGATGGTGAGTTTATGAAATAGCCCCGTGCGAGCAGATGAATTGAGACTTACAATGATGTTAAGGTCATTCTTGGGACAAGCGCCGATATTCTTATTGGCTATGGCCCTTTGCTGGATGATGCTTCCTGACTTAACGACCGAACAGAACAAAACGAATGCTGAAACTACAAAGAGTCGACTTGCTAGGATAGACTTTCTCGGTGCTAGCCTGCTGGGTGGCGGCCTCTTAGCTATCCTCTTACCTCTAAGAATCGCCGGGCAAAAGGTACCATGGGGGAGCCCAGTCGTGCTATTGCTATTCACACTTGGAATTTTTCTGCTAGTGTTATTTACCGTCGCGGAGATGCGATGGGCGAAGGAACCCATTTTCCCGTTGAGGTTGTTGAAGAATCGAGATGTGGTTTTCAGTTACCTTATCAGTATGTAAACATCGAAAGCCCCCCTCTTCTTTCTTGACCTCTATCTAGAAAGACTATTTCCCATTAGGTTAACCCAGGGAGTTAGTGCACCTAGGGCATGTCTAAAATCTTCGAATATTCTAGCAAAGACACTGAATATTGACTTACGTTGTTATAGTGGGTTTTCAAATTGCCGCGCAAGTTGGGGTATGTTATCCAAATCCAGATCAAGGCCCCTATGAAGCTAAGATGACTTACACGAATAGATGATGGTCGCTGTTCCTCTCTATTTTCAGGTTACAGAAAGGTCTTCTAGCACGGTTGCTGGAGCCCATCTTATGCCAGCCGTCATTGGTAATACCATTGGAGGTCTCCTGACTGGCGCGTGGATCAGGAGGTTAGTAGTCTTAACGGGAAACCTACCCCTACCATTATTCCTTGGCAATGACTGACAGTCTGCGATAACATAGGACCGGGTACTTCAAAGCACCACTCGTATTCGCAGGAATTATCTCGTTCATTTGCTACGGACTTTTGATACTTAGGTGGAATGGTAGAACAAATTGGATAGAATCGTTATATATCTTTCCTGGGTGAGTTAGATTGCGCTATGTATAAGGGGGCTTGCTTACTGAAGGGTTTATAGTGGCTTTGGTACTGGCATCTCAGCAAATGCGGTTTTTGTTGCTCTCCAGGCGGCGATAAACCCCGTAGACAGGGCCGTGGCAGTATCAGGTTTATATCTTTCAATACCAGTTGGGTCGATCCTGGGCATGGCGGCCTGCAACGCTGTAATGCAGGCAACGATGCCTGTAGATTTGGCGTCAAGGCTACGTAAACTTGGCGTGGACAAAATAGAAGCCGAGCAGGTAATTGATACTGCAACATTCCATTTAACAATATTACTAACAATATGGGTAAGATTATCAAGCAAGCTACTGCTCGAATCGATTATCTGGATGAGGCGCCACCGCGGATAGCTCAGGCAATTTCGGAGGCTTACGTTCGCGGACTTGAGTTTAGCCATGGTAAGAAGCTACACCCTAACCCAACTTAACCTAACCGAGATGAACTTTTACTTCAACTTAGGTACTAATATGAATTAGGAGTTTCCTTGATCTGTGCTATACTTGCCACAATTTGTGCGTTGTTGATAAGGAATAGAAAACTGCGTTAATAGGAGGTAGTGTAGGTTAGGTGTAGGATGTACGAAGTACCTAGGTACCTATATACAATATATACCTATGGACTTCTCAACCTTCTAAAATTCTAAGCCACGTGCAGTAAAAGGATCCCAGTATGACGTCAGTGTAGGGAGGCCTTTTTACACTACATACCTATGTTAGGTACCTAGGTAAATTCTTTTTTACAATCTCCACTTATAATTGCTATGCCACCTTAGGTACCTAGGTACACAGCCATGTACTACTACCCGTGCATCGCATGTCTTTCTAAATTCAGTGAGAATCATAAGGTAATATATAAATTGGTTGGTTGAGATAATGGAAAGTTGCCTTAATGGTGGCAGTGCCTCAATTATTCTACAGGGTGAAAAGGTACCTAAGGTATATAAGTCGTAGGAGACCCAGAAAAAAACAATTCAAATCAACCTTTTCAAGCTACGAATCTATCACAAGTACAAAACATCATTCACCATGACTTCCATTACAAATAAGATCAGGGAATCAGCCCCTCGCAACATCGAACTCCTAGCTATTCTCTCCGAGACAGATCATGCACAGCCGGCTCTAGAACAGCAGAAGCGCTATGTTGATGACCTTAATAATGAACTCTCTACTACCCAGAAGCGCATCGCCGTGCTTGATAAACAGCGGGCTAAAGAGTTGAAGGAACATAAGAGATATCGCGACTCGGTTATGAAACGGTTTGCATACCGCGTGAGCGGCAAGACCGAGAAATTCGAAGCCAAGGCCGAGAAAGAAGAGAAAGAATATTTCGCCGTTCTACAGCAGGAACAGCAGGCTAAAGAGATGGAAGAGCATCTTAGACAAATGCGGTCCAAGGCCTTGGAGGCCCAGAGCGATTTAGAGGCTGAAATATATCGCAATATCGAAGCCCAGCAGCAACTTGACAATCTTTATGAAAGTATTTTCCAGGGACCAACACCAGGCTTTCCAGATGAAGATCGCTTAGAAGAGAACGCCAGGAATGCTTTACAGTCCTATCAAACCATTCGCATGGTGGTGGAGGCGGAGCATCATGTTGTACATCTCTTAACAGAAGCCCAAGAGCGGGTCCTCAGGGCGCTCAGTTATACCGAAGAAGCCCTTGACCATAGCCGAATGGATATGTTTGGTGGCGGGACACTGACCGACATGATGGAGCGTAACGCATTGGATAAAGCTGAAAGCCAAGTCGGTCAGATGCTATCACTCGTGCGACAGGCACAGCACGCGTCACCAAAAGTACAAAATCTACCAGCCGTCGAAATCGCACACGGTGATCTATTAGGTGATGTATTCTTCGACAACGTATTCAGCGACATGGCTTTCCACGAAAAGGTCAAGGATTCCCGTGCAAGTATTTATCGAGCCTACGATAGTCTACGCAATCAACTAGCCCTAGCCAAATCAAGATGCGAAGAAGCCGAGCAAGAGTTGCATATGCGCACGGGGTCGTTAAAAACGGCTAGAGAAGAGCTGCAAAATGCAAGGCAAGCCATATTTGAACGTGTCGATAATGGCAATATGGGTGAGCCCGCATTTACTATGGATCAACCTCCCCCATATCAAATAGGGGCCTGAGATACTATTATCCAACGATACCCCCCACTTGAAATGCAAATAGAGCAATGATTGCTTGAATATCAACAGCGAACACAAAATTCAAATTGGCTACCTCCTATTAGAACGCTGCAATATGTAACTCGAATGATTGACCAAGCCGCTAAGCTTATTCAACTAACAAATACACCACGTACACCACCACGTAGCTCACCTCATAGCTACTATTCGCATCACCTTTTCCCCGCTGACAGATTCATGGATACAACATAATCGAGCGACGTAAGAAACAAATGTACAATTTCCACCATTTTTCGAAATTGCAACCGTATTTTTAGGAACGCCGCGGGCGTTTCTTGGACTTGGACTCGGCTTTTTTAGTCGTCGCCTCAGCCTTCTTTTTAAGCAGATGACTATCATCGATGTTTCCAATGATGACATTTTCATCGTCGACCATTTCGCGATTCATATGGGCAAGGAACTTTTCTTGTTCCTCAAAAAATGCCTTGAGCTTGCGTGTAGCAACCTTGCGACCAGCACCATTAGCCTCACGTATCTCTTTCAACTGCTGGCGGATGCGCTCCTCCAGTATCTCAAGACGGTACTCGCTGAATTGATTGTACAGCTCCAGGAGGTTGGAAATAGGTCTCACAGTTGTTAAGACTGTGTCGTCGCGTACTTTGGGGCATCGCGGCCGGAACGAAGTCACCATGCTTATGCGTTCTGCTGTGCCGAGTGCCCGTAGCGCTTGGTGTTCGATATACCGACCCTGGAGTACTACTGCGCATCCCTGTATCAAAAATTAGCGGCCATACCTGAAGAGGGTTCTGGACAAAACATGGGAAACAGAGATAAGGGGTTTGGGTTGGGGAGATCTTACCATCTGTGGACCTCGTACTTTCATAATATCTCCTGAACCAGTACGAAGCGCCGTCTCGCCACCAATCATTGTCGTGCAGTCGCTAAGCATAGTCACGCATACAAAGGGGTAGCTGTCAGTGTGCCAGTCTACTATGGGCTGATCATCCTCCCAGGGACAGCCCGCGATGCCCTCGTCGGCTTCGTACTGGGCACGATCGTTGAATGCCCGGATTTCCTCCTGCTTCTCTGCCTCGGTCTTGACTGAAATATTGATGTGACCGATTTCGAAGTCCATTTCCGTCACTAACTCGATACCTGCGATTTTGGAGATGATCTCCAGCGTTTCTGGGCTCTTCCATACGTCGTATACGAAAGGTGCATACCTGATTGAATGATTGAGTTAGTCAAATCCGCGTGCTTCAGCTGGTCTGGATTAAGCATGCTGGACCTACTTGTTTGCAAAACCCCTAAGTTGGCACTGCGCTAAGTTGCTAGAGTATTGGCAGTTACTGAGTACTTCATGGCTCAAGACCTCTTTTCTCATCCGCATAACAGCTTCTTCTGTGAATAGCGGGAAGGGCTCTGAGACAGCAATTGGAGATACTCCTGCGTCCTCGTCGAAGCCCAGTTCTTTCATGGTATATACCTTCGGGAGCTCCTTGAAGGAAAGGTGTCGTGCAGGGTTGAAATCATCATTTCCAACCTGCGACAGATCAGGCGTCTTGATTATTGGGATCCATTTTTGTTTAGGATCAACCGAGGCTGGCATCATTGCTGCAGTTGCCATGGTGGATATATACGAATAGGTAGGTAGGTAGGTAGGTAGGTACAGATGATCAGAATGGATAAGAAGTGCAAAGCCTTCTACAGCAGGCGAGAGTTGTGCAGAACTCGAGTCAAACGCAGATATTGCTTGCTCAACGATGAGGCCTGGTAGATGTCCTCATGGCCGCCATTTATCATCATAATGTCTGCCCAGGGTTCGTTCCGTCCTTATCTACAAGACCGTTGTTCTAATTAGTAGTTTACTCCATCTCGCCAATAATAAAGCCACGGGACCCCGGAAACTACGTCGCGGGAACCGTCTATGACGAATCTAGTTGAATATTGGGCATTGTGACGATAGGCAAGGCATGAGTTTGCCTGTCGTCCGGCGCGTTAACGTCGCCGAGATAAAGCAGCACCCGGTGGAACCAGCGACGGGGAGGTATTATCCCCTCCTTGTGCTATGTATTTCTCCAATCAGCAAGTTAGTTCTGGACTCTATCTCGATAGGAAATATTCGTCTGCCTACGTGGTTGGGTTTGATGAAGGAATTATCAAACTGAAAGGTGTGGAGGGGCAATCCTAGCGTTACCGGACATAACTAAAGCGGCATCCAAACCAGATGTGATGCCACCTGAGAAAGGAAGAGCCGCGATGTGCAACCCGATACATGTTAGGAGTAAAGAAACCGAACCCCGAAAGTCATTTCGCATCAGCTTTCCCAATTTCGGGTTTTAGAAGCAGGACGTGGGTAGTTCTAGGGCTTACTGAAAGGTAATATATATCTCTTCATATTATTTATGGTGTTTCAAATATAGAAATGGTATACCTATTTCTCAGTTGATAGTCAATAGTCATTTAAGTACCTAACATATGTATACTCGTATATACTCCTATAAACAATGTCTATGTTTCACGATAGGACAATCCCCATAGGGTGGATTTCACGAATACCTAGCCAGACTCGGGTCTTATTAATAGACATGTCATATATACTAACCCGATTGGAATCCGGCAATCAAGCCTCCTGCTTTCCCCGGTCTTGTCCCCAGTCTTGTCTGTGTAGCCTGGCCATCACGTCTCCATGTCTCCATGTCTCTATGCGACGTTATCTCCGTTAGTATAATTTGAAGTACAGTACGACACCCGATAACGGAGATAAAGGAATGCGCCTAGAGTGCGATGTCTTCATACCTGCGGCTGGACCTTGCTTATCGTGTGGATCTGTTTTGAAGCTGGTTGATGATCCCCAGATGAATCTCCCCTTCTCTGCTGATCTATCAGGAAAATGTGATTGTCGATTATGCCTCGTCGTTTATTTTATTTTATAATATGTACATCGCGAGATTTCGCCCTGCTATTGTGATTGGCTGAGTCTTGAAATGCGGAGGAAATTCAACGAATTCTTATTGGCTCTCCGTGTCGGCGGTGTAACATCTACCATATTATTTGCATAGAGGACTCCAAGGACTTACATCTCGTAACAACAATACAGCATCTCATTTGGGTAGGAACACTATCTCATACCTAAGGCATTTGACTAATATTATCCAACGTAGTCTATAAACCGGCGTTCCAATACCATGTTGTGACCTTTGCCTCTAAAACCAGGTACTGGTAACGTGTATTCAGTATTATGTGATGTGGACACATAAACATAGGGGTGCCACTAGATAACGACTCCTCCGAAACATACAAACTATTGTATCTTTATTTGACTAACTTGGGTATTTTACTTACCGAACTGCCCTAGCCGAATCTCTACAATTATCGTAGGAAACTCTCTATATAGCTTAGACAATAACACACCGCTCTAAGTGGGGATACTAAAGCATCTAATAACAAAGACATATTTGATAATTATTAGAAACTTGATTGGTCCCTAGACTACCTTATATATATCCCATCAGCCTGGTGACCTGTCACGCTTAACATTCCCTTGCATGCTGATCTCTATTTCTATACACCTAACGAATGAAGATACAGTGGCAGGGTATCGGTATGCAAGATGAAATGCCTAGAACTTCACTGTAGTCACTTGATGGGTCGCGGTAATATTTGCCCCTGCGCGATGCATCCTATCTAGAAACGACGACCTCTATAAGACTAGAGGAAGGAAGCTATGGAGCTTAAAATATTTGACCTCCTTTTTATACACTCCTGGCTACCTAATTTAGGTAGACCGTTCCTTCATGGTAGACATGCCAAACTCGTGGCAAAAGAATACCTACCAGGTAGGTAGTCATTTAATATTATGTAAAACCAAAACAAACTGCGATAGTTAAGTAAACCACAGTGTCCTTCGGAGTATCTATCCCCCCACGTTCATCTCGGTCCAGTCCTAAATCTGTAGACTCGAGGTGACATCAAGGTTTGAAGGCTTTGTAGTCATAGATATATCAACCACAGAATAATATCTCCGCTTCTACAGCCCAACGAGAACCTAGACCAGATGATCTTCTCGCACCCTGCCAGATTCTAGCTCCAACCGCTCTAGCCACTGTTCTGCCCGCAGTATTTCAAACGAGGAGTGTCCTGGTGTCTCTGAGATCCAATGAAGCAACCGATTCCAAGAGAGTGATTAATGAAAATTCAAAAAGTGATATATAAGTATCTTCGAATGAGCGGATAACTTGATTATATGATTCGATAGCGAAATATATAATAGTATTCTGGCAGTTTGGTCCACAGGCAACCAGGTAACAATTCAATTTCATTCGGTAAATCCGGTAGACACCCTACAAGGCGAGCAGTTGGCAATAGTAGCGGATATAATAGTAGCGGATATGCTTCGGCTACATTCCAGACATCGGCCTCATTGCCACAGAGCTGCCCCACACGAACGACTGAGATCTCTGCGTTCCTCATAACTTCAACTTTTATGGCATTGCATAATTGTTCACGAGCTTTTGTACACACTCGTCCAGCGACCCATTTCGACCTAGAGTAGTCATGTGGTGACACGTGCGATGGATCCAATGAAATCTCCTCCGCGATGGTTGCGGAAGGATTGGAGCTCACCGCTGCCCTTGAGCTGATAAAAATGAAAGATTGCCCTGCTCGATAACACCACTGTTATAGCATCGTGGGTTCCTCTTGTATGATTTTGAACCTTCTTTGAATCGAGGGGAATACTTAAATTAACCGACCACGCCGTATGAATATAGATAGTCGATTCGACTACAAGGGGTAGGTATCCACTCCTTGCTAGATAGGCCAAGATATAGATTTGCTAGCTAGCAGGAAGACAGGCAATTTTGCCTTATAAGGCTTCCGGCTTGTCCGTCTCGTCCAGGCCTGGCAGCTTACGTTTCCGTAGTGCTTTCAATAAGAGCTCCCGACATACGGGCTCGCCTTCGCCCCCGAGCAAGCAATACATCTTGCCGATTCTATCATTGCAACGTAATTCAAATAGTATATGCGATCCAAGCATGACAGTAGCGCCAGTGCGTGCTATGGGTTTTTTTTCTTCTCGTATTAAGTCAACGTTATGAGCTTCAAAATGGTCCTGCTTCTCTGTAAGCTCTCGCATCAACTTCCATTCGTCATCCCCACAAGGGCCGTGAAACTTGCTGCCATTGCACATCCGGATCCGCTCCTCTGCTAAAATACGAACATTCCCGCTGTCATAAATAAGACTTTCGGGTAACTTAACGCATGTGTCAGATAGGATTTTAGATTAAATGAGCTTTCTCATGTATTATATACATATGGTTTAATTCACTCCCTGCTGAAAAATATCTCAATGCGGGTGTATTCGCGGCCTACAACCTGAGTGAATAGGTCGACTGAACTGGAGAGAACATCTGTATCTGAAATACTCTATATCTTCACAGGTATACCTTTATCCAATAAATGCGCGTCGGCGATGGTATTGGTGTATCGACTCAGCTTGGCGTCTTAGTGTAGTCTCCCTTCTGCTTTTGCAAAGTGATTTGCCCCAAACATGAGAACATCTCGTACTAGATGACTTGATGTCTCAATAGTATCTTTAATAGGGGCTGGGATAAATTAATTGCCGTTGGATAGAGTGAACAAGACTTAGACGTCTTGGCCTTGGATCAAGCCCTATTAGACCTGATATCAAGGACTTTTAGATGATGAAAATGATGAAGGAAAAAGGAATGACTTGTATTAAAAGTGGATGATACTATGTAAAATGGGTGTGTGCGACCATAAATGGTACTTATACTAAGAATATGATCACATGATCAGGGTCAAGGTCACCTGATACCCCAGCACCAGTTCAAGAGTTATCTGGGAATCGGCTTGAATATGATATCACCATGCGTCAGGTATAAAAGAATATGGCTCGAATAAATCCGCAGTGGCGTGGGAACGAAGTATCATCACGATATGTCTTTTATATCTGGGGCCACCTCGGTTTTACCACTAGTTCCAATAGACCATTTTCCCTCTGTTAAAATGATAGGAATATATAATCTTCACTAACCCTAAAATACTGTTACTCCCTGTCGTAGGTATAGTCGTGGTTTGACGACATGAGAAACCTGCATTCATCACTTCTTACTCTGGATGCAAGATTGACGCTCAGCTTCACTAGTTTATCCCCTATAAAAGGTTCTAAAGCAACTCCATATTGTGAAACATACCAATGCTCTTACACCCATCAACTAAAAGCTGGAGGACGTATGGGACAGAAGAGAAGTATCTCTCAGGGGTCGATCATCTACCATGAGCGTAAATGACTGATCGGACGAGATTAGCCCCTATGATAGCCATAAAGCCCTTTAGGAGGAGCTATATCATGACTCCACTAGCCCAAGCTCTAAAGCAGTCAGTCAGACCTCCATCATATAGAGGCATAGTCGTAAAAGTAGCCAGTTGTTTCATATGCGAAAAGACCGGCAAGCAACCCACAGCCCCCGATTGACTCTATACTATCAGCTTTAAAATACTCGATAATGTGTCAGATATATGTTAGAGAAGAGCCACGTCGGACTCTTTTCCATCAAATAGATTCTTGTCATTAGCTCTGCCATCGAGAATACAGCCACTGCTAAAGCCTGGTATTTTGATAATATTCAGAAATGTAGGCAGTTTAGTCACCTTTTCTTCTTGAGTATTGTCTATAAGAATAGTCCTCGTGTTAGACGCTATATAAATATGTTGTATCTCTCGAGCGTCTGGTTCTGGGCTTTCATCCCGGAACAAGCCTGTGTGACTTCGCTAGGATGTGGAAAGCATTAGGATGGCAATACAACAACGCCTTAAAGACAATTAAGTATTGGCATCTTAATATTTGGCGTGATGAAGAAGTCACCTGTTTACATTATATTGTGGATAAACCTTTCTGTTATAACTGGCAATGTAGCACCTCCTCCGGGACAGACGTGCAATGGTGTTTTATAATCTGGCAATGATATCAAGTCCTAGCCTCTTTATCTATCCTTAATTCTCCAAATATCAGGTGTTCATTCCGTCCCATCCTATTTTATATATCGCATAGTCTCCGGCAAATACGTCTTTATATCCCCATATCAGATCTCTTTAACAAATCCAACCTCAACAACCCTATCCATGGCAAGCCTCAGGTTCGCAATCTTGGCGCGCGTGTTATCCCTGATCCAGAGGAACGTTGTCAGGATTATGCGCCGGAAAAATGACGCGGGATGGTGTTTTATGCGCATTTGTTCCTTGCCGATCACATACATGACCTTGCTGGCGAAAGCCCGGTCGAGTTTACCGAGTTCCTCCTTTATCACATCGTCCCCAAGCACAAGTGCTGCCTTGTTCCTCTCGCTCTGTCCATTCGCTTGAACATCTCTTGCAGAAGATATCCCGTGAGTTTCATTTAGTACCTGCTCCCCTATCGCTTCGATCTCATCTGATGGTGGACTTGTATTATCACCATTGGCTTGATTTATAACGAAGTTCCGTACTTGCTCGTATATCAGCGCTGCGAGATCAGGCGTGATAACTTCGTCCATGAAGCCACTACGGACCACCAGTCTGTAACAACCTGGAATAGCAGTTATACGCGAGATAGAATAACGATCATTGAATGGAACAGTCGGTGTTTCGGCAGGATGCAGATGGAAGAAAACGATAACATCCGGCACAGTGCCAAACTTGCTAACGAATTGCGTGAACACAGTTGGCGTTAGCACACCCGTCTTGTCGAAGAATATACCAAATCCCCTAATCCGACTCACAGCGCCACCACCCCAACGGGGCCCGAGAACAAGCTCACTATTAGGAGTAGAGTCTGCCCGGTGCAGGAGTTGCGCGGGTCGGAATCGGTCTTCTGCCTCGGCGAGCCATTGATTTTCCTTACCGAAACGCCAGAGTAGGAAAATGAATGTAAGTATTCCTGAAATGGTAATGGTAAACCAGGCTCCATCAGGAACCTTAATTAGTGCTGAGGAGAGGTATAGGCCATCAACTGTAGCGAAGAAAAGCCACGGCACGAAGACAAGATAGGGGGATAATCCCCACACGATTAAGCAGGCAAGGGTTACCATCGACGTATCGAAGAAGGTAACAAACATGACACAAACACTAGTAGCACGTTAGATTCCATCAGAAAGGGGGATAGATTTTAGAAGAATGAAAATCATGGACACGTACCCGTATGCGTTTCCAAGACGGGTTGTGTTTGAATAAACGCAAGTAACAAGAATAGCCCCGCACATCAAGATCCAATTGACGAAGGGCACGTACAGTTGCCCATGGAATGTCTTCGATGTGTGGACGACCTTCACTTGCGGACAGTACGATAACTTCATTAACTGGCTAATGAGCTGGAGGAGTAGTTCTTAGCATGATGTTCCCTAATACATATTGATAGGCTCATTTACCTGGAAAACAGCTGTAATCATAGCTTGCGAAGCAACAATTGCTGCCAGGACGGCAACAATCAAGCTAGGATACAGCATTCCCGGGGGGACTGCATTGAAGAAGGGGTTCGCATACGCATCAGGGTGGACGCTGATATACGCAGCCTGGCCGACATATGCTAAAAGAAGACAAGGGTAGCACCAAGATAGCCAACTTATCTGAATAGCTCTCATGCTAAAGGCACCGAGGTCTGCAAAGAGCGCCTCTACGCCAGTAAACGCCAGTAAGATGCCGCCAAGCATTTTCCACGCAGTTGTCTTCTTCTCCACGAAGAAATGTATCGCAAAGTAGGGTGAGAAGGCTTTCAACACGGAGTGGTCGTACATGACCAAGTTGTAAATGCCAAAACCAGCGTTGAATCCAAGCCACAAAATAACGATAGGAGCAAATGTGCTCGCTAACTTGGTGGTTCCGAGGGGCTGGATGAGGAAGAGAATAACTAGTATGCCGCATGATGTTCCGACGATGGTAGAGCTGTTTATGTCGGGACTCACTACCGAGAGGCCCTGTATGGCTCCGAGAACAGACTGGGCAGGAGTAAGGACACCGTCAGCGATAACCATAGAAACGGCCAAGACGCCAACAGTCTTTAGTAAACCGCGTAGAAACGTGTTTTTCTCGAGGATTGAGCGTAATGTCCGATTACTCAGGCGCATATCATTCGTCTGGTGTCGTTCCATCTTCACGAGTCGCGCCTCTCGAGGATCGCGATCCGTGATATTAGCCTAGCGGTATTAATAACAAGAACATCTCTCTAAGTATATCCAATCACTCACATATCGAGTGAGTAATGAGTAGCAACTGAACGTGCCACCCTCTCCCTGGTTGTCGGCATGCAACACGATTAACACATATTTTAGCGTAACCATGATAGTCAAAGACCAAAGGATCACGGAGAGGACCTCGAGGAGGTCATCATAGGACGGCGCGGAGGTAAAAGTACTCGAGAACACATAGAGGGGGCTATACTCCATGTTTTAGCAGTTTGTATTCAATATCATTTGCGGTACAGAGAAGCTCTACCTCGTTCCTATATCACCATAGATTACGCCGATCGACTGGTATGATAGCCTTCATATGAGGGATTAGCATTAACACCTAAAATTGATTAAGTTGATGATAAAATTATTCATAATACCAGAGTAGTGCGGTTCCTTTGAAGACTTGTTTCTTCCGACCATCGTCTTGGAGCCAGTCATCCTCATCCTCAACATCAAGATGTTCACTGGGTCTCTCGCGAGACGCGTGAGAAGCGGTACGGCGCCTACCAGGTCGAGACTGTGACAAGCTCCGCGTGCGGTAAACACCCCCGAGATCCGGGGTAGGCTTAACGGGCAAGCTGTTATCCGCAACAATTGTGATCTTGGGTGCTGCCATGTTGAACAATCGGCATTACTGCTAATACGAGAACATCAAAGGTAAGTGGTTTCGAGTATGCAAAAAATTATTCGGGTCGTCAGGTAGCACGAGGTATATTTTGGATTTCAGTGTGGTCTAATGCAGGAAGGATATAAGAGGGCTAACAATCCGATCGACCTAGACCTACGGCCATGGCCCCTCTAAAAGCCCCAGATCCTAGGTGAATTAGCCTACCTGCCTGTCATTCCACATGATAAGATGACGAAAAGCAGCGTGGGAAGGTTCCCTGGTTTTGCTTTCCTATGCACGTAAAAGCTAACAAAAAGGAGATGATGCTGCTTATTTAGGAGGCTGACCTAATAGAAGGTAAATGACAGGTCAACCTCGGAAAATACAAAATACAAGAAATACAAAAATTACAAGAAATACAAGATGAAGCCATGGATGGGAGATGCCCGCTGCTCTAAGAAAGACCTAGTCAAGTACATAACTAGGTTAACCTAGTATATTTTGGCTAGCTATATGAGGTATATAATTAACAACAGCTGAACTATATCCAGGAATGAGACACAGGAAATTGCCAGAAGTTATTAAAATAGTCTACCTACCAGATCTCATTTATGAAGTTAAGACAAGACATAACTAAATACAACCGTAACTTTCCAGCTCGGTGCCGCATTGTTTACTTGTCACTTGATAAGCATCCCCACGAATCGACATGTGGGGGACAGTATGAGAAGCAGGACAAAAGCTTCGACGAATTGGAAACATGATATTCTTATCTTGACTTAGCCTCATGAATACCTACATAGGTAACCTAGGTTAGTAATTAAATCCAGATTTGGAGGGTTCGTTGGGAAAGGAGATTAGTGGTCGCTAGTGTTACAGGGTAGCAATGGTTTTCGGGATCTTCAAGAGGAAAGAGAAAAAAAAATATCTCATGCCGATGGTATGCGATGCGGTAACGCTCTTTGACGTCTAGGCTCAATCGAGCGGTTAGCGTATTATACTAATTCCAAAGAGGCAAATATAAAAGTTACAAAAGTTACAAAATTTATAAAGGTGGCTGGAGAACTACGGGGATTAACTAGCTTCTTTCGCGATGTTAATCGGAGCATTTAGTGGTTGGAAGTTAAGCTCATCAATCTGGTGCAAGCATTTGTGCCGAATAGGTAGACATGGAAAGTAAAACCACAACACGCAACAGATCCTCCAGTATATCCCGAAAGTATGCGTATATGCGCCCAACTTCTAAATCAGGCAGCTGTAGATAGGTGTATATTGTGCAGCACATCACACATCATGTAAACCGCAGATAGGCATTGTAGAATGACGTATAAAAGAACGTTGTATTAGTAAAGATTCTTGTACCCCCACTTCTACTTAGTTAACTGATGGAAATCTTATATAACTATGCCTTTATTCGATTGCACCTTCCAAACAGCATTGAGCAAATCGACATGTCTTGATTTTAAAGCATCAACCCTTCGTCTATCTAATTTCCACATTTTCCCCAGGTTAAACCTTTTTGTCTTTCTCTATATCAATGTGTAATCAAGTAGAAATCCGAGATTAACTTTTCAGAGCCTTTTGTTGTCGGACATACTCCATTTGGATACGGCATCACTCCCGATCTTTGAATTAATCTAATTGGTCGACAGTCTCCCCGTTCTTCTGTGTACCGTTCGTCTCTCCAGTCACCTTTGTACCATCTTCGCGGCCGACTGCGACACACCAGTTGAACTCATCCTTGACCTTTCCGAGCTGAATGCCCTTAAGCTGAGTCAACAGCTTTAGACAAATCGGACCCGCATCTTCATTAGCATCGGGGATATATGTCACCTTTTCTGATCCCGCCTCTGTTGATAGACGACTGTGGTCTCCAGCAGCAGACGAAATGGAGTCCGGTGAGGTAGGGTCAAAACGCCTGGTGATGGACCGTATCGGCACTAGAGCGGCAGCAGTTCCCGCAGCCATGACCTCGGAGAATTTCGGTAACTCCGTATATTTAATCTAGAGTAAAGTCAGCAAGGATGCACTCAATATTCTCTACTCTAGACGGAACTCACGGATCTTTTCTCTACCTTCCATCCAAAACTGCGACCAATGTCTGTGATGCTATCCGCCGTCACACTCTGGATCACGTTCTTCGAATCAGGCACCACGAGTGTTACATCCTCCCCGTTCACGACGGCGCCGATGAAGCCGCTTGTGCTGAACTCATCGATTTCCGAATGCGTTGCGCTATCAAGGTGAAGCGTAATGCCATACCCCTCGGTTCTTGCCTTGTCGCTCCACCTCAGCACAGGTGCATAGTTGCCTCCGACCTTTGCGCTTCCTGTTCCGTTGGGAGCTGCACGATCGAACTCGTCTAAGATAAGAGCATCGACTGGGTGTGTGCCGTGGTACACACCGGTCGGCAGAACATAGACGCAGAATGTGTATTCTTCAGGTGGGCTTAGTCCCAACTGCGCACTGGATCCATAGATCTGCGGTCGGATGTACATGGCGGCGCCTGTCTCATGGGGCGGGACGTACTCGGCATTGAGAGAAACGGCGGCTTTAACGGCTTCGACGAACAGATCTGTAGGAACGGGAGGGACCGAGATGTATTCGGCGGAGTGCTGCATGCGGGCGGCGTTACGGTCCGGTCGGAAGAGCTGAATGTCGTCTGATGGAGTGCGGAAAGCCTTAAGACCCTCGTAGGCTTGTTGGCCGTAGTTCAAAGCGGGCGCCATGCCGTGGATGCGGATATAGGGATCGGTCACGAATTGAAGGGGAGTCCATTTTCCGGTCTTCTGTGAGTAATGCGATTCAATGTGTCCGTTCACTGATAGGCGTACGGAGTTGGTTAGTTATGTTCCTCTCACGCATCTATATTATCCAACAGCAGCAGCGGTGACGGCAGAAGCAGCATAACATAGACTAACCTTCGCGAACTCGAAAGCCGACGTTAGACCAGTCAATGGTGTTGACCGGTGGGGGTGGGAATGAAGCCATTGTCTATCTAATAAGTAATTTGCGTCGACGCTGCTTTGTTAAGACTTCAATTACTTATAAATCTCGTCCTAGTCCTCGATTTCTGTCCTAATATGACACGATTTGAAGATGTTACCAAGCTGAGAGGATGCTAATAGTTCATTGGCTCATCAACTTTTGGTGCGCATTCGAAATTTCGTGGGTCAGATGCCTCCGAAAATCGGACTCGCGGGGTTATTTGCTTATTCAGCACCCTCCTCTTTTCGTCATATGTCAGGTACTAGGAGGAGCGATGACAATACAAAGTTAAGGTATCTCACAGCAGGAGCATTCGAATTGCAGAATTGATATTGAGAAATTGAGAAAAGGGAAGTTTCAATGAAGGCAAGAACAACTCGATTTTCTGGGTAAAACTGCGTTCAATACCTATTAAATGTGGCTTTGTCTCCTACACATTCTTTTACCAGAATTGACTTCTTTGCTGCTCAAGTCAGGTCCTTTGACCTTCACCTAGCCCGAGGGACCAGGGGGATCTGTATACGAGATTGCTTTCGACCATTATGAATCATTATCATCTCCGATGAAGCCCTGCACAGCATCCTCTGTTCGTGCTCCTCTGTCCGTGGTCTTCCAAGACCTTAGTTTCTCCTATTGCTATGTATAAAGCATTTACCCCTCCTAAGTTGACGCCATCCAATCAAAAACCAACAAGGGATAACGAACAATAGAGTCACTCGAATGCCTATCCAAGCTTCCCGATAATTCTCCCGTCATCATAAATGTTGCCGTAAGTAAGAAACAGAAGAGTCCAGCGATACGTTGTTCAGTTTCGTTATTTGTCCCTCAACTCCAGGACATTCTCCGACATAGGACTTCGGTCTATCCCACGATAAAGAGTAATTCTCCTGCAAGTGCGTATAAAGACGGAGGACAAGGCCGATGCAACTAGCTTCGTGAGGCGTTCGACATCCAAACTTTCAGGACTCATAAGATCCAGTTTATCTCTTCATTTAGATTTTCCTCGGTTTCGTTAAACACACTAATGGCACGTAAGCCATGTGTCGTTATGTTTCGCGAGGGACCGGACTCGAATCAATTTAGTTAGGATATGAGCTTATAACCCATGTCCAGAACCAGCCCTCCGATTCAGCCGTCGGCGGGGGACTCGGGGGGCTTGCAGATTCCATGTTGCTGCTGCGCAAATTCGGGATCCGGTTTCTTTATCCCAAACTACCTCTCAGGTATGTTTTGCGATTGTTCTCGTGTCTCGTCCGTTTGTCTCGGTCCGGAAGCTGTTATACATGTACAATCATAAGACCGAGACTTGACTAAATGAAGTTCGAAATTATGAAAGAAAGTATCTCTGGAGCCTAGCCTAAAAGGAAATAAACCATTATTTATATACACATTATTCAATAAGCTTCGATATTTAAGGATATACACTCATCGCTTGCGGAACTCCGGTTTTACGGTTGGGGTAAGGCGGAGAAACCCGTCTTGTAAGCGACCATAATAGAACTAGTTCTGGTACTCGTCGTGGACATCACCCCGCGATATATTCTCAACAAAATGTAACAACAGTTGAAACAGGTTATTAAGTACGGTGGCTCTATAAAGTCAGGCACGGGGTAGATTACTTTTCTACCCAGGTGAATACCTAGCATGTATGTGTTGATGATGCTTACGCTTGGGGCTGGATTTGCAACTATGAATGTCAACTAGATTAGATTATAACTGTTTCTACTACGTACATCTTAGATACATGCTCTATGAGACGGCGAATATTACATATGCTATCGTGAATAACTAGCACTTGATACCGTTTAAGAGGCCATCTCTACCACTTACACACTTTTTATGGTTTACTCAACTATGTATGTAAGTACCTAAAACTTGCACGATGCCTTGTGGGCTTGCGAGGATGTAGGCCGATGTCGATCAACAACGCATCGGCGATTTCGTGCTATGGGGGTTGCACCCGTCGGAGATGCTTCCGTTGATGTGTCCCGCATTATCATCTGGTTGGTGGAGGCTCTAATCTGCTACCCATATAGTTGGAACCTCATGCCATACCTCATGCCATCACCGCGTCTCCGTGAACCTTACCTTACACACGACATCACTCTAGATCTAGGCCGGCAATTAATAAAGCTACCTCTATCGTCTGATTCTCATATACACGTCTTTAATAATTTCGGATATGCTTGGTGTTTTAACAATCGGATCTTCGCGCAGTAGGTATCATATCGCTTCCATCCACAGGGTCGCCCGGTCAATCTGCTGATCCTATATGAGCGTCGAGCCACTGTATCCACACGGTAGTTATCACATCATCAGATTCACGAGTGGAGTTTCCACTCCGAGTAGCATCGTTGAAGACACTTGTGTTACAGTTTATATGTATAGGATGTTATTGAAAGTCGTTACACGAAACCTACCCATAATGTAGTCATAAAATAAAGTATTCCATATATCGCGCCATCTTTCACTTGTAAAAGAATCAATTGAGTAACTCTAGTAAGATATTAAGGACCATCGGAGCAAGGATTCTACAATGTGCTTTTTTTTTATATGAAGTACAGTACGCCCCTTGTAATAATGTTATTCAGCGGACCCCTAGAGCTACTTCGCTGAGATCCTGAAGCATATGTCTACTGCCGCCCTATGAGGTTATCGTAGTTCTTCGAAGACGTTGTTTCAGAGTATTTTATGCTATAAAACCCTGGTATAATAGTTGAGATGTTTTAAACGGCGTTGTTCTATTCAGAATTAGAAGCCCTGGTCTGTATCGTGCACGTCCGAAAAACTAACATTATTACAAAGGGCGTACTGTAATAATAAAAGAAACGATTATGATCTATAAAAGTTATGAGATAGGCTTCATGGACCTTCGTTAGAAGATATAAGATTTCGTGCGATAATATACTACTCACCACCTGGTAGGAACTAGTGGCTTGAGGAGAATATATCGAAATAAAGATACAGCAATGAGTTGATTCGTAGAGTTGACATTGTTCTACTAAATGTTACAAATGGTTGTGATGACAACTCGTCACAACCACTAACAATATGTATGTATGGGGTAAGATGAACGATCCTAACCCCAATAGGTCCTATCTAAATCCACCAGTCGTCATCAATACTCATTAGCCTGCCCAAACGGTTCGTTATGTACGTAATTCTCTCCCATATTACAAGCCCTCAATGGAGCTGTGCCCTTTTAAAATCCATCCCACCTTAAAACGTCCCAGATCGGATGTACACCATCAAAATAACCCCCTCATGTCTAAGCAAGTTGTGATACAGTCCTAGAGGAACCAGCTTGGGAAAAGCAGAAAATCGCAAAACCCCAAACTCATCAACGCCGCTCTAATGCGTGTCTCCCAGTTTTGTTACAAGGACTCTAATGAAAGCGAGTCTCTGTTGTGGCTATGAAAATGCGGATAGGAATTATCATCCGTGGCCATTCAGGGGCTCTAAGCCAGAATATACGCCAAACCCAGTATGTAAGCTCCAAGGTACTATGAGGCGCCTGCCATAATGCTACCGAGCACGCCCGCTCTATTGCAGAGGCTACAATCCTTCCTGTCTAAGAAAGTCCAGCAAGCTTTTGCAGCGTCACAAGAACACCTATGATGACTATTAGACCAGTTCCATGAAAGTTATGAAGGTTAAGTTGGATGTTACTCACCGCTAACGCCCTGCGTTAAAGTTGAGGTAGCTTCGGTATTCCGGCTCCCCAAGCTTACCGTGATTACATCTTTTGCCACATTACCTCCTTTTAGACCGTTAGCCCACTTGTAAACCTTTTCGTCTTCGCGGCCATCGCCAATGACCATGAGGAAGTCAACGAGGCTATTTTGGGAGTCCTGGGCATCTTTGTTCGCGTCCTCGTAGATTTGGGCGGCAGCGGTCTCCTTCGTCCAGTCAATTGGCTCAACAACAACGCAGTTATCCAATTGTGTCGCATGAACCCGCTGCTCCTCACAGGACTCATTAATGTGTCCGGTCCAATCGCTTGCTTGTCGCTCAGCATTTGCATAGTCATCGGCATGCTTATAGTGAAATATCACTGAACAATTGCGGTCTTCAATCTCTGATCCAGGGGTTCGCTCGAGATAGTACTGCAAGATACCTCGAACTGATTCTTTCCACATGGTAACCTTATCATGATCCGCGACTTCGGTCCACTTAGCGCTTCCGGATTTCTTGATAAAGCAACCATTCTCGGCTATGAGGCCCAGGTTGGGAACTAGGCGGAAAAGGCGATCGAGCTCTTCTGGTCTACGTCCAGACATAACATAAATAGTGTTGCGAGGATCTTCAACGAGGTCGTTTAACACGTCTAAGGTCCGCTACATATATGTTAGCAATTGAATATATTGCAAAAGGAATAAATTTAACAAACCTGGGGATTCATGGGGATGATCTCATTCATCGGACCATAGGGAATTAGTGTGCCTTCAAGGTCGAGGAAGAATAACCGTTTTTGACTCTTGGAATACCGTTGTCCAAGAATATTCAAGTTCAGTCGAGGAACAGATGTTTGGTCATGACGGTGCTGTTCTTCGTAGACCTGATCGAGAGTGCTTATGAATTTCGAAAACCAGTGGCTTCCGGTATGGTGGCTGACGATCTCACGAAGTGCTTCCCACCTTTCATCCTTCTCTTCGTCGGACATTTCAAGCGCCTTCTTGATGGCCTCGGAACATTGCCGGTAACTCCATGGATTGACAGTTAACTCCTTACCCCCGAATAGCGACGAAGTTCCAGTGAACTCTGATAGAATTAAAGATCCATGCTTCCTGTCAGAGTATTTTCCATCTTGACAGACAACGAACTCGTGGGAAGTGAGGTTCATTCCCTCGCGCTGGCTGGTAATCATAAGAGCATCCGCAATTGTTAATAGCGCAAGATACTGGGGGTATGGAATATCTTGCTTCAAATACACAAGAGGCAGATAGGCGAGGTTGGCCCAATTCGAGTTCACTCTAGTGACGATATCGCCAACAGCCGCGTCAAGATCCGTCTTCTCGCCGGTAGATAAGGCAACTTGGATTAGAACAACCTTATCTCTCCACTGGGGGTTTTTGTTGAGAAACAGCTCGTAGGAGAGGAGTTTCTGCCGAACTCCACGAACATGGTCAAGCTTGTCACGAGCGACAATAATTTTCTTGTCCTTATAACGGTCTCTCATGATCGTGATCCACCTCATAACCTCCTCATCTTGACGATGAGCATTGAGATTGGCAGGGTCGATGCCTATGGCATGGTTCATCACATTGACAAACCGGTCTTCCAACTGAACACCGTCGGGTGTCGCCTCTACAGAAAGGAGGCGGCTGCACGTCTGAAGGAAATGGCGGGTATATTCATGGATCTGGAAGCCGATCAGATTTGCGCCAAGCATGCCCTCAAGCAGCTGTTTCCGGACAGCGAGACATCGGAAGACCTCGGATGAGGGGAAGGCAACGTGCAAAAACAGACCGATCTTCGCATCCGGGAGTTTCTTTCGAATCATTCCTGGCACTAGTAGGAGATGGTAATCGTTTATCCATATCGTATCTCCTCGTTTCCAATTCTTGACTATCTTGTTCGCAAATGCTTGATTAACGTTGACGTAGAACTGCCACGAGTGATCTTCGTATGCTTTGCTCTTTGGGTTATCGGGGATTTGGTAGTGGAAGACAGGCCACAGAATTTGCTTGCAGAAGTGCAAATAGTGTCCATCGAAGTCCTTATCTGTGCAGAATACGGGGTACATGTTAAATTCGGTTACCAGTCTGTCATTGATATCCTCTTTCTGCTGCGTCCCCTCCAGGGCGTCTGTAGGCATGCCTAACGTGCCCACCCACGAGTATTCTTCTGCGTTTCCATCACGGGCTGCGGCCTCGGCGGCATTGCGGAGGCCGCCATTTCCTTGGTCTGCATTCACAATACGCCAATTGGCATGCGAAAAGACTCTGTCGTGACTGTCACTTCGAGTGGCCCTAGGTTGGAGAATTCCTTGGCGTCCAAGCTCCTTGGCCTTTTCCAAGGTCCTGGCGTGCTCTATCAAGGAAGCCGGAGGTGGCGAGTTTGCTCGAGACTTTGGCTGATTCGCCCGGCCGCCCCATTTCGGCGATTCCTTATCCGCAGGAGCCTTGATGTATTCCTCGTCATCCGAAACGTTCAGGACGCGCAGGCCATCTTCGTTTATAAAGAGGCGGTCGTCAAGGTAGGCTTCTTCCTCCTCGGGAGTTCTAGGAGGGGTTATAGCTGGGTCGGGGAAAAGGCTGGTACGAAGCTCGAGAGGTGGTCGCTTCGATGTCTTTTTATTGTTCGGCTTTTGGCTATGGCGCTCAATAGCAGGAGGCGCGTGCGGCAACCTGAAATAGACAGTTTTGGGGAGAAACCTAAAAACATTTAAAAAGAAAGGTTAGATGGTCTAGGGTATAATATCAATGCACAAAAACGTGCAAGCTAAATCAGCTTCCCTGCAGCCGATATGAATAGAGGTTGATAGAAACTACAAGCTCGACAGCTGGTAATGAGTACACAATACCTAGCTAGAGGTTGACAAGTTTGAAATATATCTAATTGTAAAATGGGAAAATGGGAAAAGGGAAAAAAATACAAATGGAAGCACTTACAGCGAAGCTAGGAAGATAGTCATCGTGAACGTAGGACGAGCGTGCTCGTGAAGTTGATTTTAATACAGCCCAAGCTGCAATGCCTCTAGACTAGACACCCTAGATAGGGAAAGATAACGTTGTAAAGCTGTAATAACAAGCTCATAGGAGGAACTGGTCCCAATGTTTAGTTGGATATGTGCTTTTGGTGTTCCAAGGTCGAGGAATCGGCGTTGCTGGGATCGCTTAAGCTAGAATCTTGATTTAAAAAAAAGTTTGGAGATCGGATGTCCTTTAAGAGTCGGGTGAATGCACGGCGGAGGGGAACGGGAGGCTTAGGCGGATACTACCGGGAGAGGCTAGTGGGAAAAAAAGTTATTGAACCAAGATAGGTCAGGGTGACGCAAAAAAAAAAGTAAATTGCCAAAGAGACGCGGGCAAGCTGTAAAGCTGTTGGATTAAATTGATGTCACTATTTTGGGTATCTGAGATTTACATAGGTTGAAAGTCGATTCGCGCTAGGAGGACACCAGTAGGACTTGTAAGTCGCTAATAAAATAAGTGACCAGTGACGTACTTGAAAGGTAAAAAAGCCCAAGATACAAAGGTACCTAACATAGACCAAGATTCAACATTGGAAGCAGATATGGAGCTTCCAACAAGGTTACTACCTTAATCAATATGTACAATACGTTGTTTAACGGGCCTTATTTTAGCGTACATGCCGTCGAGTCCTTCTATTCCTTGCCGTTCTGCCGTTCTATAGCATATGTAGCTGATACACGGACTAGGTCCCTTGTAAAGGAAAGAGGGAAAGAAAAATTAATATTTTTTTTTGGCGAGGGGGAGATTCCAGTGTGAGGTTAAATTCCCCACTACCTAATACAGAGTAACCTCTTCGAGAGCCATCTATCACTTCACATTCCTACACCAACTACACACCAATCCATATTTGACGTAGTAGTTAGAAAAATTATCACATCTGCGTAAAAGCCTAAGGTTATCAATGAAGAACAGGGATATGTATGATTTTTTTTTATTTCAGATATTAATAAGGAGCTCCCTCTCCAACCTGGGATGATTTCTTCTATACATTCCAAGGACATTTCGCTCCGATGCAACGCTTTCGTATGACCAAAAAATTAACCTAGGGACTTGATGCGAATCACAGCCTTATGGGGGAGATCGAGGATATTCTAGTAGTTTCCCCTACTGAACCCAGCCCGGTTTTCTAACTTCGTTCTTTACCCAGGAGGTTTTGGTCCGAAGCTAACGCGTATACCATCCATGAGCTCGGCACCCCAAGTTCCAAGAGGTAATACACTTAGCTGAGTTAGGTGTATCGAATCCTTCCCTCCGCCCTCCGGGTTGCCATCGAGAGAGAATATTTTCAAAGGACAAGATAGATGCAACAATTCTCTCACAGCCGGCTTACCTGTCCCGTAATTGTTACAGTTGCCGAATTCCCCGGTGGTTTCTGCCTTGTTCCTCTGTCTCCACTTACACAGAAAGTTCCGAAGTTTCAACGTCGCCCTTTAACTAACTATTCACTTCTTTATTCCCGTCCCGTCATGGCTTACTGTCATCTTGTAAATTATGCTTGAGGGTCTGAGCACATTGTCACTTCGGGACGTCCCATTGGCTATCTTAAACATTGGACCGTTACGGACTTTGAATAAACCACCGAATTTCCCCGCAATGTAACGAGTTCAATCGGGTCTTTGCGGGCAACTTTGAAGACGCGATAGTTTCAGAAATCATCAGTCTACAATTAAATCCGAGGTCTAAACAGTTACATACACATATCGCAGCTATCCAACATCATTGCCAATCACGGCAGACTCTGCTTGTCACCTACAGAAAAGAACGCAGAACAGCTAGGCCGGCGCAATACCAAGCTAATTGGCCGGTTTAGCCTACCAAACCAAAGATGCATTAATACCTAAATTAAGTTCCCTTAAGCCGCACCTATCATGGATATGCTAAAAGCTCGATATTGAATTACCTTGTACAAAAGGTATCAACTAAACGCAATCTATCTTGGAATTTTACGAAGAGCCTAGAACCATCCACTAGATGCAAACATATGCAAGCTCGATGCGGTTTCCCTGAAATGGCAAATCCTTGATGCCCAAGAACCCCCAGGACTGTTCACATGCTTGCAAGGCCCACCCGTAGGCTTGGTTCCGGACTCTGTCGTTGTGCAATGGAAAAGGTGAAGCTTTTTGATAGGTTGAGCTATTTTGGACATAGCCATCGTTTCAATTGACAATACTACGACACCTAATACACCCATCCACATTCATGCTTCCTGGTTATCTATTCTACGGGATATTCTACGGGATATTCTCAAGAATCTGCATACAACTTGGGCTTCCCTTTTGATCACGTAGCAAAGATCAGATCGTCAATAACTACCGGGTAGTGCTTGGCTTAATCCATAAGTAGTTGCAATTTAAAATAGTAACACGATCTTAGATATATAGTTGCAAGTGCCTCATCTATGTGGAACTCGCGTATTGGTTCGAAAGATACATACGGGAACACTCCAAATCAACCCCATGTCATCTACATCCATGGAGGTCTCCATGAGTATGTATACTTAAGGCAACTCTATATTGATATAGTAAGGGGCTAACGTCTACAAGCCTATACATATCATATAGTTAACTACAAGTAATCATATTCACAGATAGATAGATACTTATTCAAGGTCTTCAACCCTGAATGGATGTCATACTATTGGCGTTAACATGTCTCGACCAGCCCATTAACTAACCTATCCGGTTACGTTAGTTGCTTCTCACTCGATTCCATATCTGAACAGCCCACGCGTATAGTATTACCCCGCCTGGTTTCCCGTCTTTACATACGTTAGGTATTCATGTAGGCCCACCGCCCGCATATGATTCTCTACCCCTCAATTCGTATCTTCTAAGTTCTCTCCACAGCCATTACCCAGTAATATACCTGCTTTTTAAACGCGCTCACAAAATAAGCGCTGGATTATATATAGAGGTCACACTAGTTGCGCTACCACCAATATACTTTTATCTAAGTTATCACAACCAAGCCACCGTGAAAGTAGTCCCAGTATACATGTTGTTTGCGAGTCATTAGGCTGGCTCTTTTTCTTTTGGCCGTAGTAAACGAAAGTTTAGTAGAATTGATCATGAATTGATCATGTACAATAACATCATGACTCGAGCTGAAAATCGGATCTACGGTTTAAATCTATCGACTCGGCTATGCTCCCGAGCCTAGGCCATGATTAAACTTAGGTTAGGTTAGGTATGCAGGAACGGCCCGCAATTGGTTGTGCCATCTGGTTGGATCGTTTAAACTTTGAATTGATGCCCACCGCTGGGGAACGAGTTACATACATACGTGTAGATTAATAACTAGCCAAAGTTAAAGTCACATTATGTGGACCCGATTTTGTCCCGGGCATTATGCATATGCTTCCACGTGCCCATTTCTTCAAGGTTCCATTCCGTCACCGTGATGTGAAGTTTCCCATATTACCATTTTACGAGAATTAGCATCAGAAGGCCAATGTAATCCTAGTGGCCAGAGTGGTCAATCTTTGATGTTGTGGGACTCGGCACTGAGCTTATCTTTCGGCTCAGCTGTAACAACATTAATCCCAATCAATTACGCCAGAGCCGAACGGCTTTGTCCTTCCCCCCGGACCCGACGAGCCGGCCGTCCAACGACCAATCTAACGCATATACCTCATCTTCATGACCGGGTAAATCAACTGACATCTTGAAGGACCGCATATCCCACACCTTCAAAGTAGTATCCCTCGATCCAGAGCAAAGTAAACGCTGGTAATCACATGTCAGCGCCTGCTTGAAAAATATTGTAAATATGTACACAAAGAAAAATTTCTTTTTAAGTTTTTATGGAATTATCCGTGGGGAAGATAAATAAATAAAACGTGTACTTACCGAATCGGCCGAGAACGCACATTGGTATACCGGTGCAACCTAGCCTTAGTTAGCAATCATGTCTATTCCTCGCCAGCCGCAGCAAAGTTATGCAGGTGCTTGGCTATCAGGGGTTTAATCCAATAACATAACACGATTCGAGATGTAGACTTACATGGCCTCGCAATGTCGCGAGAAATTTCCCGTCACTGCTTATCATATTAGCAACATTCCATTGCATGAGTCCATCGGTAGCTAAGAAGCACATGCACCGTGACGGGTGTAGATGACTTACCGGCCCCATATCTTAATATGATTATCCCATCCAGCGCTGGCAATCAATGTCCCGTCCGGGGAAAACGAAACATGATTAACTTGTTTCTGATGCCCTAAAAGTCGTGCTAAAGGTTTTGTACCTTGCTCCGGGTCCCAGAGATATATCGTGAAATCGTCACTGGCTGAGATAACCCGCTCCGCTATCCTACCTTGTTGCTTCGCCGCCTTCTCAAAGCGCTCTTTCGCTTTTACCCGCTTCTCCTCCGTAGACGTGGGTACGTTTTTCGTGTGATCATAGAAGGCTGTTCGAAGCACGAAATCGGTTGACAGCGCAAGATGATTTACCCAATGGGCATGCGACGCCAACGTATGTTTAAGCGTCCCGTCGATCGCATTCCATACCTTGATCGTCTTATCCTGGCTAGCACTGTAAATCAGATCCGTTCCACCCCACCTAACACAGCTAACACTGCCCTGCGCCACTGTTAGCTTTTGCCGGCATGAATGCTTTATACGATTAGCACTTACTTTGTGCCCTGATAGAACATGCTCCGTTATGCCGGTATTCGCAAACCATATTCGTATTGTAGCATCTTTACTAGCACTTGCTAATTTCGGCGTATCATCACGCCATAAGTGAAACGGTTGCCATGCGATACTCGTGATCCATTTAGAATGACCATTGAATGGTCTACCAACGGCTTGTCCTGATTCGTCCCATATTCGGACTGTCTTGTCCATACTACCAGTAGCTAGGTTCTGTCCATCTGGGCGCCATGCCAGTGCTAATACCCATCCTGAATGACCTTTAAGAGTATACTTCGGCGTACCGCTGTCTGTATTCCATATTCTTGCTGTGCTATCACCCGAGCCAGTCGCGAAAAGACTACTCGTCTTGGGCGAAAATTGAGCCGCTAAAATAGCTTCTCCATGCCCCGGGATCTTATTTGACATACGCGTCACGGCTTGTACTTTAAATACGGCTTGGGGTTCGGCGGATAAGGTAATCGTAGTCTCGAAGGGATTCTCAATGCCATGTTTACGGAGGACAGCTAAGAATTCGGCAGGTGTTGGGTAATTATCAATTACCGTATCAGAGCTCGGTAGATGTATACGAAAGCGATAAGGTGTAAACTCTTCACGTTCCTATAAGATAATCAGAGTTTAGCTCTCCAGTATTTTTCGCGCCATAAAATCGAAGATAATATCATACCCTTCCTAGTAGAGTATTAAGAAGTAAAGAGACATTCTTTTCAGTCGCATCGGCTAGGGGAACTTCTATCGTCTCGGCTAATTGGTTTCCATCGCTGTCTACAAATCGCGCCTTGAATGAGCCAGCTTCAATGACCGGAGGCGTGACATCTTGCTGGAGCTGAGAACGCTCTAGAGCTTCCCTTCGTTGTCGTTTCGAGGGTGGAGGAGCTACAGTAGCCATCGCGCTAGATTTGGCAAGCAATCAAAAGAAAACGTAGACTTTTATTTCGTTTATACGTAAATACACTCTGTACCTAGCCTTGAAAAGTAAGAGTTAAAACTTGATGGTCAATCGCCGGTTTCCTCGTAAATTGAAATATGGTATCGCGGGGTGGATTGAGTGGTAGATTGAAGAACAAAAGTTGAAAATCTATATCTTATCATTATCTTATCAGGACTTCTAGAACTCTTAGCTTTGGAACCTCTTTCCAGAGAGCACCAACTAAATAGCCACAGTGGCTAATGCCCCTTTACATGGAATCATACCTGTAATAGGAGGTGGCTCTAACAACTCCTAAGTGCTCCGGGCAATTACAACTACAATGGAAGCTACGTCCAGTCTTTAAATAGGGCATGAACAAAGTGTAATAAGTTTAAAGTTAAATTTCCCTGGAGTCTACCTAGTTATCTGATAATGCATCTACTTTTTCAGTTACCTTAGAAGGTACCTAAATCTACGTAGTTCTCAATGTGCTTCTTTCGAAAAATCAAGTTGACTATCTGGGCCTCATCACGAAAACTATTCGTCGATAATCCTTCCACATAGTAGTTGTCTCTACTCCATCCTCTACTTTCCAGTGCCTAAGCAGATTTCATAATGCGACGACTTTCTAGCCATCGAAGGTCTCAAGCTCCTTCGAGTCAAGAACAGCCTTCTCCTTCACCACAGACTACCGCCGCCAACTATTCTCTTTCTCGTACCATATCTTCTACTCCTCACCCGCGTAGCTCACAGGAAGTTCCCCGTAGGCCGAATACCTCTGCGAGCCAACTTTCATTTACTTCATACAGCGGTAGTCGCTCTGTAACAAACCTTTCCCATCCATCAAGGCAACGCCGCCGTGCCAGCACAGCGTCAGGTCGTAAATCCCGTGCAAGCTCGTCTGTCTGGGGTTCCGAATCTCACGAGATTGTCTGTGCAGTCACCGAGGCTCGAGGCGTATCTCCAACTGTTGGCCTTGCCTTCATTAATATTACCACAAATGAGGCTATCCTGAGCCAGATATGTGATTCGCAGTTCTATGTTAAGACTATTCATAAAATTCAAATACATGAGCCATCTACGATACTAATCGTCAATACAGCTTTCTCACCTAACCCCAAATCTAGCCTTCTCGCCATCATCGAGGAGGAACTTCCAGATGCCTCAGTCGAGCCACTCGATCGCAAATACTGGTCTGAGAATGCCGGTCTTGAATTTATTCAGACGCTTGCATTTAGACAAGATCTGGAGGCTATCAAAGTGGCTATCGAGGGAAACTTTTACGCAACTTGTTCATTTGCTGCAGTAGGCTTAGTCCTAGCACATCTCTTCAGTGTATCTGCTCATAATAACTAGGCAGTCAAGTACATCGAGCTCTCTTGTCGCGTATCTATTATGTCCCAATCGCTTCGGGTGAAGTACCAGCCGTCGGAAAATACAATGATGATCGACATTTCCACCATTCATTCCCTTGAACTTATACAGAACCTCCAGGACGCAAAGTCGAAGGATTGCCTTTTCGGACTCTTGAACGAAACGCTTACCCCTATGGGTTCGAGAATGTTACGAAGCAATATACTTCAGCCCTCCTGCCAGGTCGATAATACGCTTATGCCTCGCTACGATGCTCTGGATGAGCTTACTGTGAAAGAAGATATGTTTTTTGAAATACGGAAAGGTCGGAACCAGTGCCTCAATCTTAAACACCATGCTAACTTAGTGTAGCCCTGAAAGGATTTATGGACGTAGAGAAACTACTGACTATGGTGAATATGACTACCTACCTAGATACCTATATTTAAATTTTAATCCAGATAGCTAACCAAATAAAGCTTGTATTTGTGCCCAATCAGTCATCAATTCACGCTTCCGAGCAGGCTATCAATAATATCCTTGGAGTCAAAGCCTTTATCACAGCTGTACCTTCTATATATGAGGCACTAGGAGCAGCACGTACGGATTTACTAACTAGAATACGCGAGATCTGTCGCCTCGAGCTAATTCGACCTGTCATGGATCTCATTACAGCTACAATTAATGAGGATGCGATAGCGACAAAGTCACCTCTTGATATGAGGAATCAGAGAACATATGCTGTTAAAGTAAGTTACCATTAGTTATATACCTACTCTGTGAGTAGATCTGACATTTAAAAGTCTGGAGTACATGGACTGTTGGATGTTGCTCGTCAAACATACAAAGAGGCAACAATCGACGTTCACCAGCACGTTGAAAACATTAATGGTGAGTTTTAATGATGATTGTCAGGTCCAGTAGTCCGTTAGCTTATGTACCATAGGGGAATATGACATTACCGCGGAACTGAAGTTTGACGCCAACCGGAAGTATTGGTTACAGCTTAGGCAAAGCGATTTTGAAGATCGAACAATTCCAGAAATCCTCATAAACAAGGTCTGCAAGGGAGCTTGGATTCAATGCCAAACTCTGATCTTAATCCAATTCAACCATCGTATTACAGATTCACATAACGAAGCAATTATGCTTAGCGACAAGGTTATCCAAGAGCTTCTAGAAACAATCCGAGGACATATACCAAACCTCTTTCGTGTCTGCGAAAGTATTGCTCTATTAGACATGATTGCATCATTTGGCCAATCTGCTACTACTCGAGACTATGTCCGACCTGAGATTGGTAGTGCACTGGCCCTCAAAGGAGCAAGGCATCCAATTTGCGAACGGGTATATGATTACATTACCTTGTCAACGTTGTTATTCAAGTCTAAGAAATTATAGGTGAATCCAGAACGATTTGTGCCCAACGATGTATTCGCAAACGAACAACACCGCTTTCAAATAATCACCGGCTGCAACATGAGCGGTAAAAGTACTTATATCAGAATGATCTCTCTACTGCAAGTGATGGCTCAAGTGGGCTGCTTTGTGCCTGCCCAGTATGCAGCTTTTCCGGTGATCCAACAACTTTTCGTGAGGATGTCCACGGATGATAGCATTGAAGCCAATATGTCAACATTCTCGCTTGAAATGCGAGAAATGGCATTTATACTAAGGTATATTGGACTTGTACTTGGCTTTGGTGAACGGAATCTAATATTAGTCCAGGAATATTAATGAAAAAAGCCTCGCAATTATCGACGAGCTTGGGCGCGGAACTAGTACAAGGGACGGACTTGCGATAGCAATGGCTATATCCGAGGCATTGATCCAAAGCAATTCATTCATATGGTTCTCAACTCACTTTCAACAGCTTGGTAAGAATCTCGACCCCAACGAGTATATATTTGCTTATTGGATTAGTAGCGAAAGTATTAGGGAATAGACCTGGGGTTTTGAATCTGCATCTTGCTACCGAAATCCATGAGACGGGTGGCGGCAATCCGAGAATGACAATGCTATATAAAATCACTTCGGGGGCGATCAAAGAAGAGCATTATGGTTTAAATCTTGCACGTGCGATCGGGTTCCCAGAAAGATTCATTGAAATTGCTGAGGATGTCTCGAAGACGCTTGCGGAGAGCATCGAAAGAAAGAAGCAAAGCTCACAGTCCCGAAAGCTGCTTCAGCGTCGAAAGTTAATATTGAATCTGCACGACACACTTCTTCAACTGCAAGAGTCAGATATGGACGACGCCGCACTTGGGAGTTATCTTAAGCGACTTCAAACCGAATTCGTCTCAAGGATGGATGAAATCGAGCGCACAGCAGCGACAGATAAAAAGGAATCTTGCAACACGATTGAGATATTAGATGAAAGTGATTGAAGATATAGTACATTACAATCATTCTCAAATAGTCAAAATTGCGCGAGACTTCTGAGTTTAGTTTCAAACTGAGCCTTAATAACGGTCACTCGTGTGGGCTTTTTGGTGAGGGGGAGCGGGGGATTTTTTCATCTTTTTTCATCTTGTTTTTAAAAAGGGGGAGGGGGTTTTTTTTTTAAAAAAAAAGAAAAAAAGAAAAAAAGAAAAAAAAAGAAAATCGATTATGACCCAGCAAGAAAGTCACACAACGGACAAGTCTTGCTACTTACATTAGGTGGACAGAGAATATCATGTACTCATAGAGATGCGTTGTAGTGTAGAAGTATATAACATATTTCTAAGGCACGCCGCTTAGATAGGTACCCAGATACTCAACTGTGGTACCCCATGAGTATCGTACACTTATTTACATGTTGAAATCTTCCCCAGGATTTGCCCCGTCAATATGATTAGGGTTCGTTTCATTGTACCAATAGTAGTAGGCATCGCTTTGATGTCTCTCCTTTACTCCTGGATGTAACGACTTTTTCATTATTTGAACATACTTATCTAGGTCGAGCCCATTCTCTTTCCGAAATGCAGTAAGTTTCTCAAAATTAATGCATTGCCGATTGATTGACCTAGATTCGAAGAGTTTGTCAGTTCTTCTCGGAGCTGAGGTTCGTCGAGCCTAGATAAACGGGTGGCTGCAGACTCACATATCGGGTTGTGGGTATTCTTGACCAGCGACCCAATGATATGTCAGAAAGTTCACATTTCCACTACACTGTAATGCCTGGAGGAGGATATCGACGCAGTGGTTGATGTGAATCTCTGGTAAACCCATGACCGAGTGGTTGCGGGTTGTTAACTTGTAGTACCCGCGGTAGGCGTTCTGTCGGAGAGCATTGAGACAATGAATCTGATGGTATACGTCGAAGGCGCCGACATAAGCGTCATTGCCCAGCCCCCACTCGGAGTCTTCTAGTTTTGGGACGGTCGATGGGTCCTTTCCCATCCGCACAATCTCGTCCCGCTTCAGGGGATAGAAACGACTTAATTCCCATTCTTCCCACATCTCATCAGCCGCGGCATTGGGAAGCTCCCGTGCTATCGAAGCACTGTCTTTGTCTGGAAATAGTGTCCCTTGGATTGCTCTCGGCCTCATTTCTAAGTCCAATCTGTCGAATACGGGGCCTATGTGTTTCCTTTAGCTATTGCCTCTAGGTATTATATAAAAGTCCAATTGGATCAGACTCGGCTCGTTATCTTACTATAAGTAGACGCCTGTCGCAGTTCGAAGTTGAGCTGGGACCTATGGCTTAATGATGCCGAGAAAAGAGCAAGTGATATCAGGAACATGATGATATTTAGAATTGTTATGATTAACGTAGCGTTTGTAGGTAAACGTCGCCATTTTGACTCGTTTGCTAGTAGGTTTTCGCCCAATAATCCCTCTACCTCTTCTTCTTTATCCTCCATTGTGAAGGGGTTGACAATAGGACAACTAAACATGAAAATGTCTGTGAAGGTATGCCTAGGCCCATATGTAAATTTGGAAGGTCGTACACTCAATATCCTTGTCCGCAGTTAAGCGGGACATTTACTAGCAAGGCAAATGCGGCGTACCGTATACGATATCCCTTACTTGGCTGCCCCATCGGCACCAACGGTTTATATCAGGATCTCGTGCGACCGAATTCAAAAAACCTGATGTGGCGGAGCGGTTGGAAATAGGTAGTGGTGCAACTCTTTAAGGGTCTTGGAGGATATAGCCAAATCACACTTTACTTCAGTGCTCGAACGAGAAACATATAGCTTTTTTTTGATTTTTGTTTTTTTAGAAAAGAATAGGTTCTAGAGAAGAAGGGAGTTTCACAGGATACTACCGAAAGACCCCTACCCTACCGGGTCCAGAAGCAAGCCGATCGGCTAGTCCCTAAATGGTGTCAAAAACTGACCGAGCCATGCAAGTTTCGTACTACGGAATACATGATTTGAGAATAACGTTACCTTGCGGAACATGTTAGGAATGTTTAAGCTACGTTGTTGCATCGAAGACATGGCGTAAACATGGATTATGTTGGTGGTTCATGGACACGTGAGCCAACAAATGCTGCGAATTCGACCATTTTAATATACTTGTTCTACCCAGGAAAGAGCTACAATCACTCCCAAGGCGACTTTGAACGAATGGGACGCAAGATCACGTAGTAACCGATGATAAATGAGGTGCATGGCTTAATACCAAAACAGCAAAGATCTGTCGTTGTTGGTCCGGGATACGTGATGTCAGGAAACAAATAGCCGTGCTGCCGGGTGCGTCAACTCCACCAACCTACATAAGGGAGGTCGGTAAGGCTCAGCGATGTATGTGAGGAGCATCGGACCGTATACAATCCAGACTTATCCCGATGTGTATGGCCCAAGTTTTCCAAAGATTCATTTAATGTCAACAACCTGTTAAACACGATTCTATATATAGGTGTCTATCACTTTCCTGTATATAACACAGCATCATCCCCTCAATAGCTGATCGCCCAGTGTTCTCTATATTATAACTTGAACAATCACTTCCAATAATCCAGAATGCGTCTATTAGCTATCCTTCTAGCCGGCCTGGCTGCCGTTGCATTGGCAGCACCCGTTGAGGTAACCTTGACTATCTACCTGGCTATGATAGCTATCCTTCTGTGATCGTTGAAGTCTAACCACCATTTCGTAGGCTCCTACCGAGTTGAGCGAGCGTCAGTACAGACCCACGTACAAGGTGCACGCAGCACTGGAGGGCAAAGTGGCCGATGCGGAAAAGCGCCAATATAGGCCTACGTATAAAGTTCACAAGGCGCTCGAAGGGAAGGAGACCATCGATAAACGTCAATACAGACCTACTTACAAGGTTCACGCAGAACTTGAGGGGAAGGAGACCGAGTAAATGGAGTGGGCTTGCAATAAGTGACCCCTCAACTCATGGATCACAAATTGCGACAACGACGACACGGTGGCATTATTTGGTATTATAACAAACCCAACCATTATATTAACAAGCCCACAATTGCTAAACTGGATATATTTGACATAAATGGAACCAAGAGAGCGTAATAAGAAAAAGTAGGAAACAAGATATCGCCCCTAAAATCCGCATATTCGGATATGTATTGCTAGAAGACATAAATATTTTAGTACTCGGCTAAATACCTCGATATTCTCATATATAACCCTAGTAGGCTCTGGCAGCATGTGCGAATTAATAAATTAATAACATTTGACTATGAGAAGCCTCTTTCGGATTTAGAATACGGTCGGAGCTAGATGTAGTGCCGGGTCGCCGATGTAGTCCGGATCGCACTATTGAGTATGTACGTTGAAAAGTGTTTATATTTAGAGTCAACCCGATCTAAGGATATCTATCATAAAAGCCTCCGTGCGTGGCATGATGTGGTGATGTATCGTAATTCGGACATTAAATTTGATTACGTATGGTGAGTGGTTAACGCGAAAAGGGGGTCGACTATAGCATGTACCTAACTTTAGAAAAGCTACAACGGTAATATTTTACTTGTTTTTATCTCCATTGAATGGTGTGTCTTCAATGACATACGCCGATGGATTTTAATGTCATGATACTGTCTGGTTTTTCCTGAAGTCAAGACCATCTGGTCTTTCGCAGGAGCCATCTTCTCAATATTGCTTTAGACGTAAGAAATTGGTGCTCATAAACTACCTCTACTGAAAATATTGAATCGCGTCCTATCTTTAGGATAACTAATATCTATGAAAAGTATATAGTCGACATAGGTTATCAAAGGTTAATAAAGGGTTGAAATACTAACAAGTATTAAACCTCTGTTATAAGTGTCATTATATGCATCTAGTCTCTTCATGGTATGTCTTGTATCATTTATTTAGCTGCGTAATTTGACTATGGCAACCATAACGAAGAGTTCAAATCTAATCTACCAAGCCTTATATGATTCCTTGCTTAAAACGATTCGGGTTTGTCCATCGGTCTATCTATAGCGATATCCCAGGTTAATCTTTGTGGTAGCTTATACAGCTTATCTTGTGCTATGAATCCACTCAAGACACAAGCCCCAATACAAACTCTAGTAGTTAACGGAGACTATTGCACCAATAGGCACTTGTAATTATACTTTGGAACTCCGGTTATCCCATCACCAAGCACGTGTTCCTAGTAGTATTGTATCAAGATTTGCTTGTGACTAATACGCGACAACTATGAGAGTACAGAGGTTGTTACCACGTAATAGGTGAGTTGTTGATGCTCACATTCATATAGGCCTAAAACTCTAATAAGTATTAGATGAATTGATACGATACTCTATTAAGATGGTAGTTCACCGCGAAGCCCTCGAAGTTGGTTATAATCCGGTAGTTACTTACTAGATTTAGACGACATTTCTATTCTTAGGTTGAGTAGTATGAGCACGGACTATGTTATGTACAGAGGATTGTGGGGGTAGATGTAGGTATGTATTCCTATAAATGATCACCCTCCCCTGATAATTAGACAAGTTGATTGGCCATTTCGTCTGACTCTTGTGGTCGTCGGGACCGAGCGAGCAACATGCCCTGGGCAAATGTTGTTCGTTGCGGCACGTTAGGGCATTACATTATTGAGATATCTCAGCCACGGTGCCTCTAGATGACCATTTTAGGAATGACTATCTCCAACATGTTTAAGGTTGGACCCGCACTTACATATACCGGGATTATCTGTTCCTAGTTTGAATCAAAATAGCCCTCAACTGGTTTAAGGTCAAGTATTCTTCGAAACTTAGGTAGCCAAACTACGGTCTCGGATGCATCATCCTACGAATGCAACCGCACAGGCAAGTTGTAATTGTAACCCTGTAAAGTTCTCATCTAGTGCTGTAAGGCTAGCATTCATGTATGCATGTTAGTCTGACAGCATTTTGATAATAGATAAGGGGGGTTGCAATTCCTAAACATCCGAAAATAGATACTGTAAAAGGTCTTATATGATCTGACGAGAATGGACGCCGACGCGTCATGCGGCATTTAGGGAGGATAGCCTAACAATACATAGGTCCATCTATCTATGTACATGCCCATGGCATTTTGATTTAGATCCTGCCTCCACTTTCGACATGCCTTCCATAAAAGTCATTGATTCTTGCCTGGTGCAACCGTTGGATCCGATGCTCTTCACCAACAAAGTTCGATCGATGTTCGAAGCATATCATGACAGCACACGAGACTGATGTTTTAATCGTAGGAGGAGGGCCAACGGGGGTAACATTAGCGCTCGAGTTGGCTGTTCATAAGATTCCATTCCGTATCGTCGACAGAGAATTACAGAGATCGGACAAGTCTAGAGCTCTAGGTATTCAACCACGCACCCTAGAACTTTTAAATCGGCATGGCGATGTTCGGAAACTCGTCTCACAAGGAAATCTAAGCAGCGGTACTACATTCTATCTGAACGGAAAGAAGACGGCGGACATCGATATATCGGGTCTTGTGGAAGACTCGGTGTTCCCTCTCATCCTCATTATCTCTCAGTGCGAAACAGAAACGTTCCTAGATGGATGTCTTGCGAAGCATGGTTTCGCTGTCGAGCGAGGTCTCGAAGCAACATCTATCGTTCAAGATCCTACCGGGGTCACCGTAAAACTAAACAACCCAGATGGTGTTGAGGAGACTATCCGCGCGAAGTACGTCGTTGGTGCTGACGGAGCACACAGCAGCGTGCGACGTGCTGCAACGGGCCTTACTTTCCAGGGTGCGGCCTACCCACAGGACTTCATCCTCTGCGATGCCCATGTGAGGAACTCCAAATTAGCCCGGAACCGATTTTCTCTCTGCCTGGGCAGGGGTTCTCTTGCCGTTTTCCCGCTGAAAGATGGCACATGTCGAGTTGTAGTGTCCCGCATAAACCCTAAGGTGGATGTTGAGCCAAGACTAGAAGACTTTCAAGAAATGTTGAATCAGCTTCATCCAGATGCGGGAGAACTGCACGACCCTACTTGGATCACTCAGTTCCATCTGCATCACAGGGGCGTGAATAGCTACCGCGACGGTCGTCTGTTCGTCGCGGGCGACGCAGCGCACATCCACTCCCCCGCTGGAGCTCAAGGCATGAACACCGGTATACAAGATTCCATAAACCTAGGATGGAAGCTAGCGAAGGTGATACGGGGCAAGCGACCAGATTCGTTTCTCGACAGCTACGACCACGAACGCCGTCCGATCGGCCAACATTTACTTGAAACTTCCGATAAAATGTTCACTTGGGGTTGCTCTTCTAACCCCTTTTTCATCTCCTTCCGCAACGTTCTGCTCACATGGGTCTTACCCTGGTTTGTCAGTAGCCGGGATCGTCGTGCCAATATCTTCAAATTCATATCTGAATTTGGCATCAACTACCGAGACAGCTCCGTGGTGGGTACGGCATCGGGGTACTCAGGGCCGGTGCTGGGGGGCGACCGTGCTCCGGATAGGATTATCAAGAGCGCGGGTAGGGAAAGACAGTTCTTAGAGCTTATCACGCCAGATACGCATCATCTGGTACTTCTTTCAGGGGTTGGCGATGATGCTATTACGGAACGGGCCATACTAGAAGTTCAGTCAGTTTTCGCGAAGAAAAACTCGGACGAGGCTAAGGTGCACTTGATCCTTGACGAAGCAGCCGATGGACCAGATATTCCTGGGCATATCGATGTTGGAAATCATTTACATGGTCAGTTTGGTTGTTCCAAGCCTTCTTATGTCTACATTCGACCGGATGGTTATATAGAGCATATTGGATTCCTATCAGAGTTCCAGACGCTATTAGAATGGCTTGAGTGAAATTAGTTAAGTCCAAGGGACGGGTCGTTATTCTTAGTGTGCCATATATCTTACAACCTTGTCGCTCAAGTGTATCCAAATTGTACTTGAAGCAAGGCGTCACGGCAAGTCAGGTATATTAGGTAGATATCTGTCTAACACGACTTATAAATTACCCCTGAGTAGGAACTTACGAGCCGAACGAAGTGACTTCTCTATGGTTCGACCTTCTCTTACCGTGCAACTATTATAAAATTGGTTATTACTTGTAACGATAGCCCCGGGATACCGCAACCAATTTGCTACCTACCGTAAGTACGGCCACACTTATGTTTCTATCAACCGTTGCATTTTTCAAGGATACATTAAATCTATTTTTCCTAAACCCTACTTTGATGTCCCCAAATAATCTCCTTTTAACCTGCATCCGTTTTCCTTCTCCCTCATCTTCCCCCCTATCTTCCAGTTAGTCCACGACCACTTGAATTATTTTATCCTAATTATTTCCTCTCTATTAGCATGGCGTACAGCAGTGTCAGTTAGGTACGCAGACAACTAGTGGGAATTCATGGTGGTGCTAAATAGGGTTACAATAGATAACAACTAAAATGAAATATAACCGCGGCGTTCCTTTCATCTCCTCGTTTATTAGTAATAATTATATAACTTCTCTGTTTTCGAACCTATAATGATTTAACCTAGCCCCTTTACCCCTGCTCGGCAATCCCCGCAGTTTGAAACATCTGTTGATTACCTAAATTTCGGGACCCCAGATTTATATGCTCCACGCTACCGGAGTGGCGGGACAACTCTGTTTAAGCACATCTTAAACGGATGCAATAAAAGGTTTTGTGTAACCGGGATATAACTGCTAACATGACTCGCAAGTCTGTGCTTATCACGGGTTGCAGTGAAGGCGGCATCGGCGCCGCCTTAGCTTTAGAGTTCCATGCTCAAGGGTGTCAGGTCTTTGCAACAGCCCGCGATGTGAGTAAGATGCAATCACTATCCGAACAAGGCATCGAAACTCTGGCGCTCGATGTTAACTCGGATGCATCTATCGCTACTGCTTTCGCCATCGTACAAAAAGCTACCGACAGCTCTCTCGATTACCTTATCAACAATGCCGGTATAAATCATGTGATGCCTTTCACCGACGCCAAGGTTGACGATCTCAGGCGCGTTGTCAACACCAACATCGTAGGCGTATTGGCCGTTACACATACTTTCCTCCCGCTGCTTATCCAAGCTCAAGGCACCGTAGCGACTGTTGGAAGTGTTAACGAGGTTTTCTGCCCACCGTACCAAGTTGCCTACAGCGCATCTAAGGCGGCCGTGCACGCTATTTCACGGACCCTTCGCGTCGAACTTGCCCCACTAGGCGTCAAATTCGTAACGCTGATGACAGGCAGCGTGAGGTCCAAGTTATTTGATAACGCCCCGACCAAGATTCCTGAAGACAGCCTGTACCTCGCTGCGGCGGGCAATGTAGAGAGCCGCGAGTTCGTCAAGAAGGCGCCGTGCACTGAGACCGAAGTGTTTGCAAAACAGGTAGTAAGCGATTTACTGCGGCCGAACCCGAAGCTGAATATATGGCACGGCGGCATGTCGACATTTGCTTGGATCTTAACCTGGTTTGGATGGGAGGGCATATTGGTGGGTTTTCTGGGAAGAATAGTCGAGCTTTAGTAAAGCTAACGTTGTGCCACAGGATTCCACTTTGATTAAGGGTAATGGACTTGACAAGATACATCGATGACGATATCGATGAGTTACTTGGGTGTTATAAGGTCGAATAGAACTATACCCATGTCAATATTTATCATCTATTCGGGGTCCTAAGACCATGTGATATGAAGAGAACGAATACTAGAATCAAAGTATCATAAATGATCCCTTGCTGTCTAAACTGACAGAAAACAGGGGATCTAAAATCGTATTAACCAACCTAATATGTCTAACAGACTTCTAATTTGTCGTATGTATATAGCAAGCCATTACCAAGCACGCATACAATACTCCCTCCACGACTCTTCCGAATATGAGATGTCCATGCAAGTCTTTCACAATCAAAGACCGATATACTCTTTTCTTTATGTCATGTCCCCTATGGTCTTCAACATTGACAAAACAAACACCATATTACTCAACAGTTGTCATAGAAGTTATATAAGATAACGAAGTGAAACTGGAAGGCATGGAAACAACTTCATTGCTCCGTAAGAAGCTATAAGCATTAGATACCTAACTATGAAAGCTCATTGCTTATATATACTAAAGGTATTCTTTGTTCCTAGAAATCTTATCTAGAATCGAAACATTCAATTCTGTTTCATATAAGCACCCATTTACTTAACCAGCTGATCTATAAATCACCATTGAGTTCTCGATTTCCCAATTCTTCTACACTGCATATACTGCGACAACACTGAAAATACTGAAAATATCATAAGACCAAATGGCGAGTATGTATGTTACATGCGCACGGGGCTGTAGACACTGGGGCTCGCGTGGTGCCGTAGGTCTACTAATTTATCGATACCTCACATCAGGCGAAGTACAAATGCTCCTCGGGCAGCGAGCAGTCGGGTCCGATCACGCATTGACCTGGGGCACAATAGGGGGAAGTATAGAAGAAGGTGAAACACCCCTACAAGCCATGGAACGAGAAGTTATGGAGGAGATTGGACTTAATGTCAGAGAGTTTCTGTGGCCCGATGGACAAATTGTCGATGACCATGGAGGTTGGTCATATACTACTTTTATAGCTGATCCGAGGAAGCACTTCGACATATCCGACCTAACGCTCAATAGAAACGAGATAACAAATGTGGAATGGGTCACACGGAAGGACTTGGCCTCTAAGACCCTACATCCTGGTTTTGCAGCCTTTGTTAGGAATAAGTTGAATATATGGGTGCCTCCTGACGTAGATCCTTCTGAGGTACATTTATATATATTGAACTATGGATTAGGGAGCCCGCAAGACTAGTTCCCAGCTTAACTTCAATGGAAGCTAAAGCTATGTAATATACCTACCTAGGTAGATAGATAGGTAGGTAGTTAACCTAATTCATTTGCGGTCAACTACCTAACAAACGGTTATTTGAACAGACCTGACAGGTCGAACACGCTGTTATGGAGATGAAAATACGGTTATTAAGTATCTAGAGAATCCAAATTACATATAACTATAAAATATATCTAAAAGTTTCTACCATAAAAGGTACCTAACGCAGCTGAGCAGCTCCCAACACCCTAAGGCCGCTGAACAGAAACACTACCGATCTTAGCAGCGACATTGTGGGCTCTCACGCCGGTGGCGCCATTGGCAAACGACGTATCCGTAATACTGATCAAGGGCTGTGTAAAGTCATCCACGAACACTTTGATATCTCCACCGACGGCCGTAACTCTGATGTGGTATTCGGTCGCAAGGGAGACCTTGGTATCGCTTTCACCCAGCGACGTCCATGTTCCGCTATCCGCTTTCTCGAGAGTGACTCTGCTAGCCGACGAGATGCCCGCGTAGTATCCCTTGAACTGATCGGAGGTAGTAGAGACATCGGTAGCCCGGAACACGAGCCCGGCGTCTCCATCTCCGTATTGAACCGCGACAGTTGCGTCGAACACCAGATCGGTGAAGTCAGTGTCCAGCAGGGCTTTGGCTTCAGCTGTTTCGGCGACGGTGAGTCGTTGGTCTACCACTCCCCACTCCCCACCGTATGTCTTCCAACTGTACATTTCCCCGTCGGCGAAGTTATCTTTGACGAGCATTTTGACCGGCGCGATCGTTCCGTCGTCGTTGAAATACATGCGGTCGTATGCAAGAACACGATGGTTACCATCCGTCTCGCTCAGCGGACGGCGGTGGTACACGATATACCATATATCGGTATCTGGAATGTGGATAACACCATGATGCCCGCTACCCTTGGCCACTGCGCTATCCTGCTGTAGGATTTTTGCGAGCCGGTTGAAGGGGCCCAAGGGCGTGTTAGACATGGCATACGAAACAGAGTAGTCTGGGCCTGTCCAGACGCCTTCGGACCACATGAAGTAGTAAATGCCGTTGCGCTTGATCATTTGAGAACCCTCGACATAGTTCTCAGGGGTGATTTCCTTGAACTGTGTTCCATCGTCGAAAGTCCCGATAGAAATCATGTCTTCGTTAAGCTTGGCTACGTTGGCGTGCGAATGTCCCCCGTAGTATATATAGGCTTGTCCATCGACGTCGTCTATAAAGACGTCTTGGTCGATTGGTTGTGCGCCGTTGTGGTAGTCTCCGATTAACGGTGCTCCAATCGCATCAACATACGGGCCCTGTGGGTTGTCCGAGACGGCGACTCCAATCCCCCCAATCTCCCCCTTAGCAGGTCCGTCCTCTTGGATGTCGTTAGCACCGAAGTATAGATAGTATTTTCCGTTACGGAAGATTGGCGCCGGAGCCCACACGGCATTGTTGGCCCAGGTCACATCGTCAGTTGTTAAGATATTAGGATGTTTTGTCCAATGAACTAAATCCGGGCTAGAGAATGCATCGAGATATGTCTGTTTTTCATATGAATATGAAGCTGTTGGATATACCCAATAGAGACCCTCATATATCTCAGTATCGGGGTCAGCGTACCAGCCATCCACGAAAGGGTTGCCCGCTTCCGAGGTAGTGTAGTCCGGGATGGTTTTGTTGAATATCGGTAACGTATTTGCCAATTTTGACATTGCGAGGGATGCGATAAGACAGAAAGAAGGGACATTAAGACGTAAGCGAGTTGTAGAATAATTGGCTAAGAAAGAGGATGCCATGATAGGCGGCGCTATCGAATCTCAGCTAATGTCCGTGCGCGGATGGTGATCTATGTAGGTAGGTATGTATGAGCTTCGTTGGTCCTAGGGAGATAATAAGTCAACCATGATTCAGGGATAGGTGGAGATAATATAAATAAAGAGAATTTATCTACCAAATATGAACACCAAATACGAACACCAAATATGAACTGACGAGAAACTTGGAAGTGGGAAATGTATGTATTTATATGATGAATATTTAAATACACAGCTCAGTCGTGCAACATGCCAAGCTCATCGTAGCCACGCGGATACTTTATCATGGTCACGGATGACCAGGCAGCTCGAGAGCTCGAGACATCTTTATAGCTTAGATAGGTGCTGTAACTAGGGAACTCTATAAGTAAGGGATTGGTTGAACTCTTCACGGGACTCAATATTGGTGGGGAGCCAAAAGAGCACGGCTATCCAACCTTCCTCATGGGGAAAGACGCTCTGATGAAGCATGCCATTAACGCCGAACTTAGCTATCTCCCCTCCAAGAATGGCAATTGAGGATGTAAGGGAAGCGCATTATCACGTCGTTTTCGCTAAAGATAGTTTCCTAATCTTACTACAGCCGTCGATCTACCTAGCCTAGGTAGTTTATTCGTCCAATCTTTCTTGGGTTCAACAATTCTCTCTTACAAAAATCAACTTCGAAACTCCCATAAGTCAAAACACCCTTACAGGGGCCACCCTAGTGGGGGCCACCTCAAAAACGCAACGCATTTGCGATAAAATTCACATATAAATTATTATATAATTTTATTAATTTTTAATTAATTAAAAAATAAAATTTATCATTTAAATCCTTATTTTTTCATAATTTTAAAATGTTTACTTTCTTAACCCAATTATATTATACTATAGCAATAAATAATATTCTTAACAGCATATCCTTATAATAAACATTTAAAAAATACCTTATATTATAACATTACTTTATAAACCAAATATTAGGCTGTAAAACATAAAACAACTATTTAAAAAAACGTTAAAAATTATTAAAATATTAAAAAAAAAAAATTAACCAATTAAATTATTATATTAAACTATATTAACTATATATCTTCCTTATATCAATTTAAAAATATTATAAAAAAATTATTAACCCACAATTACCAATCTAATATCTTTAATAAATATTAATATATATAATTTTTATTTTATTATTTTAATATTAAATCAATTAAAGCTTATTTAATTAATTATAAATAAGTTAATAAGGTTATAATTAATAATATTAATATTTTTTTTAATTAATTTAAAACCTTTAAAATTAAAAATATCTTAACCAAATATATATATAACGTTAATAAAATAGAAATTATAAAAAAGGTTAAAAATAATAGGATAATTATTAGTAAAATCTATAAAAAATATATTGTAATTAAAAACTGTAATAATAAAACCTAAACGTTAATTATTAAATACGTTAATAATAATAGTTAATTTTTAAATCTTTTTATTATATATATAAATAAATATGTATAATAATAATAATTTCCTAATAATAAAAACGTTAGATTTAAAGGTTAGAAATTTATTATATTTTTTAATAATTAAATTAATAATAATATTGTATTTAAATAATTTTATAAAAATTTTTTAAAAAAAATAAAATTATTAATTCTTAACAACTACAATAGTTATACCATAATAAAATTCTTTTAAAAATATTTTATAAATAAAGTTTATATTATTTTTATCTTAGCATACTTATCGTATGTTTTATAGGTTATTAATATAAATATATTTTTATCGATAAAATAAAATTATTGTTGTAAATTTATTAAGATATACTAATTATATTATATTTTTAATTTTGATAAAAGAAAATTTATTATAATTTATTAAATAATATAAAAAAAATGTTTAACCAAACATAATATATTAACTAATTAAAAAATTATAGAAATTTATTTTAAAAATTGAAATAAATTATTAAATTACCAATTTATATTTTAAAAAATTTTTAATATTATTTTAATTCTTCCAAACCTTATTTTTAACTTAAAAAAACTTAATTTTATTGAAAATATAACTTTAATCTCTTTAATAACGTTTTTAAATTTATAAAATATTAATATTTTAGTTAAAGAGTTATTTAAGGTTAATATAATATTTGTTAAATTTATAGTAAGGTTTTTATTTAATAAAATTGGTAAAGTCTTTAATAAGGTTATTATGAAATTAATTATAATAAAAGTTTGTGCTAAATATTTAAAAAAAATATTAATAAATATAAAGTTGTAAAAATGGCGTAAGGTATTATTTAACCTGAATTTAACGTTTATAAATATTAAAATTATTATAAAAAAAAAGGAGTAATTAAAAGTTTAGAAATTAAGTGGTGTAGTTATAATTAACAATTCTAATATTAATTTGGAAAATAAAATTTTATTAATTAAATTGATAGTAAAGGATTATATTATTATTAAAATATAATAGATTATAAATTAATTAAATTTAATTTAATTAAATAATGTTAAATTAAAGTTAAGGTGTTTGTTTTAAAGGTTTAAAAATTTAAAGTGGTCCCCATTAGGGTGGCTCCCGTAAGGGTGTTTTGACTTACTTCCTACTTTGTTGGTGCGCTGCGATATTTAGATAAGTGAGTTTATTGGTAGGAGTTTTACTATAGCATAAACACTTCTAGAGTTGTATTTAAGTAACGAGCCATAGCTATTCGATGATTTATAGCGAACCTTGACACATTTAGGAGAATGAAAGTTGGGTTGATTTGCTTTAGGTAGTTAAACTGTTAACTTGACAACTTTATAGTAACACGGCCTCTAATTTGATTAACAATTGGTCTGAGTGCCGAAAGTAGCTTTCTGCACTACCTATTCCACGGTCAATTCTTCTATAACATTTATAACGCCCTGTATCTCCGATAAATGATCGAGTTAATCTACCCGACCCTGAGTGTCATCAAGTTAAAATTCAAGCTCCCAGGTTTACCAAAGCGCTTTTATAGCACGTAAATATTCATAAGTTCAAAGGCTATGTACTTCGTAGACTGTCTAAAAATCATCTCATACTATAAGGGGTGAAAAACACCCACGATAGATTCTACAATTCTATTCAAGTTTAGGTTAGGTAGGTAGTTACCCAGAATGACCACTACTCCTTTTTATAAATAACATTCGAAAAGTCATTTTTTATAGCATGAGTCACCATGAGTCTTTAAAAAGATATCAAGTTAACAATCAGTTAGTTCCAATCGAGCAACGTCGGGGTCTACATTCCGCAATTCCCAAAATGGAACCATTCTACCATGAAAGACATCATCCAGGCCTAACATCTCAACCGTGACACGCCACGCCTTAATTTTTTTTCTTCTTCTCTTACGGACGGAATGTAGAACTCTCCTATTAAACACCATAATCAAGTCTTGGCCTCACTTGCTAGTGCGAGCCGTAAGAGGCATGTGATACGGATGACGATACCTATCGGTTAGCAAAGTCGCACCGACGCATCGATGGCGCTTCGGCAGCACAAGACAGCGGCCACCCGTCGGAGGGCTGCAGTGCTACTGTTCTTCAGCTCAGTTAGCCTCCTCGTACTTTTCATCTGGAACCATCGTGTTCTACCGGCCCCTAGCCGGGACACCCCAGCATCGCTCCTCCACCACCACCACCACCACCAACACCAACAACAGCATCTACAAACCCACGGCAGGGAACAAGACACTAATAACACCGACCTCTCAAGCGCACGAGCTCCGTTCATCGCCTGGCCCCTAAAGCGCGTCTGCGCTGAAACAACATATATCCCCGGCCTCACGTTTCTCTGCGACAACAACAGCGGCGGGCCGGGCAACATCCGCAACTACATCCTGACATGTGTGCGATACGCAGTCGATGCGGGCGCCTCCGCACTGGTCCTACCGCGCATCCAGGCCCGCTCGCCCTCGAACCCGGCTAACCTGTTCCACGCGTACCAGGAGTTCGGGTACATGTTCGACGAGGCGCATTTCCGCGGCGCCATGGCCGACGCCTGTCCGCGCGTCGCCGTGTACGCTCGCGTCGAAGACGTGCCTGGCGCCCGGGCAAAGGCGTCCAAGGCGAACCGGGCTATCGACCAAATCGTCGAGCGCGTGATGCCCAAGACGTTCGGGGGCAGCCGCGCGGGATGCGACCAGCGGGATCCGAACCGGCATACGGACCGGTTCGGGGGCGCATTTCGGGACTGGCTGCGGAGCTCTGCCGCAGAGCGCGGGTGGGCGCCGTCCAACGACGTCGACAACCCGCGACTGATCCGCTTCTCCTGGGGCGTGCTGTGGGACTGGCCTGTGTACCGCGACGGGCCCGAGTTTGCCGCCACGTTCGGCGGGCTGTTGAAGATCCGGGACGACATCCTAGACGTCGCAGATGCCATTGCGACATCGATGCGGACGCTCGCCACCTCGACGCGGGGCACCGAAACCGCAGCAGGCCAATCGTTTCTCGGGGTGCACCTGCGCACCGAAGCGGATGCCCTGTCGCGATGGCCGTCCTACGAGAACCAGACCAAGAACTACTTGCGCGAGGCCGCGGGCCAGGGGTACCAAGGGCGAGCAGCGTACATCGCCTCGGGCAACGAGACAGAAACAAAGAAGTTTGGCGCAGATGCCATGGCAGCCTTGCAACTAGAGGTTAGGTCCAAGTACGACCTGCTAGACGAGGGAGACGAGAAGCTGGAGAAGCTGAAGTCGTTCAGCTGGGACCAGCAAGCGCTAGTAGATTTCGTAGTGCTACTAAACTGCGACTACTTCGTCGGAGTAAGTCCGAGCAGCTTTAGTATCAACGTGGCGCTGAAGAGACACTTACAGGGTGAGGGTTTATATACACGGCCGTGGAAAGTTGGAGGGCAAGGTGATGGAAGAAGCTGGCTCGTGGGGCGCTATGATCGGTACTGGGAAGATTGGTTATTTATGTTTGATGGCATGTGGCCTTGATTGAATCCAGCAGACCAAGCAGATATAATCTAATATTAAGCGCCTTTCGCTCACTCTTCAATATTCGTCTCTTTTCTCGTGAACCGCTACACCGAATGCATATCTGAACAGTAGTACATCAATATTCTAACAGGACGCTACAGTAGAAATCAGGAATAGGGTATAGTGATATTTCAATCTTTTCGTTATAAGACGTCCTAATTCTCATTGCCATCATACGTTGTCATCACCGTTGCTGTCTCGCCAAATATGGGTATCTCCAAGACTAAAGGAACTAGAAACGCTACCCAGCCCATCATTACTTCTTAGCGACGCCTCCCTGTGACTGCCATTGTCGCCAACACTCCCCGTGCCAGAGCTAATAGATGACTCTGGCAGAAGTGGTGGTGGATCTTGATACACCCAGGGTTGTTCTAGGGGGACGACAAGACTCGGGTTTATGAACCTCATGCCCTTTTCCTTATCTTCGTCAATGGTGCTCATGCGTCTCGTTAGTCGAGTTTGCCGTTGTACTTGGTCTGGATCTCGATCAGGACGAGTTTCCGAACCAGGATCAGAAGCGCGCTTAATACTACGAAGCGCGATAAATTTCGTGAGAGGAGTATACCGCTGCTGAGAATAAAAGTTGTACCAAAAAGTCAAGACAACTAGAGGTGCAATAAATGATGCAGCTATGAAGGCTGTCTGCAGTACCAAGAAGGCAATCATGATAACTTCGAACGCAACTAAACCAACAATGATACGTCCGCAAATAATCGGCCATGCACCACCAGTGGCATGCTGTGGCTGGTCCATCGAATACAACAATTGATACTTGTAAACAAAATATCCGAGTGAGAAGTAGCAGACGCCAAGCAGCAGGACAATATGCGCGCCGGGAAGGATGCTGTACACTAAACAGAGGATGAACACCAGTAGAGCGGTCGGGAGGTAGAACCCGTAGTTGAACAGGCTGGGTTGAACAAGCTCGGCAAAATCTCGCGGCGTCTTTGCTCCCATCCGATAGATGGAATACAGCGTGATGCCCCCGAATTGTAGAAGCTTAAAGGGAAACAGACCGAATCCCTGCAACATTATGAAATTGAGGTAGAAGTTGTTCAGGTTTTGTATCGAGATCGCCAACTTCTTCGCAATGGTACGCGTATCGCTGAGCGAATCTCCGATTATCTTCCAGAAATCCGATAGAGCCGCACTACCCGAGACCGCATAGACAACAAAAATGTTGAAGAATATGAAGAAGAAATTCTTCGATATCGTGGAAAGTTCAACATCGCCTTGAGACATCATTCCTTGCTTGTTGGAAAGATAATCGTAGAGGTACGGCACCAAGACGTTGAGCAACGAAACCACGAGAGTAGGCAAGCCAGTTCGTACGAAAGCCCTCGTAATATCGTGCCCATAAAGTGTCTCGGCAAGGGAGGGTGCTACCTTCGAAATGCCACAAAGGCTGAGTAACTGAGCTAGTACCGCTACTGGGAACAACCAGATGATGGATAGGAACGTGATGAAGAGGGTAACGGTCCATGATTTTAACCGTCGCTTGTATCGTGGTGTATAAGTGTTCTTCCAAATCACATCTGAAGGAGCAGGCGCGGGCTTCGACAGCAGCTGTCCTGGTCTAGGATCGATAGTGGCTTGCATGGCCATTTGACACGCCGCTATAGAATCCATCGTCACAAACGCGGTATCTGTTGGTGTATACTCTTTCCTTCTCGCATTTCGGATTTTCTCATCAAGACGACGTAGCTTCTCCTCGTAATAGTCAAGAGCATCGATTTTACGATTTCGTATTCCAAGGAAGCCGAATCGAAGACGAACTTTAGGTCTTGCCCTCTCCGCGATGAGGTCCCGTAGACCATCGCTGGTGAGAAGACGTCTGGCCTCTTGCGACTCCTCGCCGTCGTCATCATTGCCTTGGATAGCCCTGTCTGGGTCTGGGCGTTGCTGATTATTGGTTGCTTCTGTTCGCGGTCTCCGAGCTAGATAGACACTCCATGCTTCTTCAAGCTTTCGTAAAAGGATTTGCCGTTCGGCCATCAGGCCGTCTATTTCAGACCAGTTCCGGCACAACGTAACGCTTCGCACATGTCCGATCTCCAAGTTCTCCACGAACTCCTTAACCTTCTCCTCTGATCTGATATCTTCGGGAACTCCCGTCAGCCGGAATGTCCGGTCGGTTATTGTTGACTGGGTACCCAAATAATCCTGCCTTACTTTGATCACTTTTATGGTCTCGGAATTCATGAAGTACATTGTGAGGAAAGAGAATAACCAAGTGAAGACCGGAGCCCATAGCAAGCTCCAGCTCTTATCCTCAGGTTCGGGCTTCGTCAGAATATCATCCATGCCGCTCAGACTATAGTTTCCGTCCCGCGGTTCTAAGTCTATATATATAGAAGCGTCTCCGAAGGATTCGCTAGGCGGTTGAGTCGTGCCGGTGTTGAAAGTCTTATGGATAGGCCAAAGAACGGTGAGGGCGAAAAATAGCATGGTAGTAAATAGGCGGAGCGACATCTTGAAAAAGGATAAAAACTAGGACTTCATAAGCAACTCATTGATCAAGCCCCAGTTTGGTACAACACTTACCACAAAGGCATCTAAGCCTGCAGATGCCAGCACCTGTTCCTCTGTAATTCTATATAATGCTGGTATCCATCCAAAGAAACTGTCGGGAAGCACAGGAAGCGCAATCTGGGGGTCATAGTGACGTCTCCGAGCAGCGTAGAGAGTCTTCCACCGAGGTCTTAGGATCTACTCATGATAATTAGCTTCAGGACCTAGGCGGGATTGACTATTGTCGACTACTTACACAGAAGGCAACAAAGGCTGAGATACCCAAGGCGAGAGAGATTACAAGCTGAACATAGATGTCCTTGCTGTCCGGTCCTGCGGCTTTCTCGCCATCTTTCCCGTCGTGGCAGAACCGGGACTGACCATCGCCATCACCATTATCCATGACTTGGTGAGATGGCAGCGCCAGAGAAAATGAATATGTTGTGCATTAGGTTAAGTACATGGATAGTAAGGAGGTATTTAGGGATTTAGGGGGGGAAAGGTTTAAAGAGGAAAAAATCAATAATTTGATGCAATCGGAAACCTCACGCGACGAGTCAGAAGCTATAGTGGGGCCGGCGATAGTGACGTTCCCGGTACAGTTAGGCTCCAATTTTGGGTACCACCCGACATTTTGACAGCGGTATTGGTCCCTGGAAAGTACCTAACATAGGTACCTAATGTACCTAACCTAACATATCACCAATGCCTAGAACTACCGGCATAGCGGCTGAAGTAGGTAGTCATTCCGACATGTCTGCATGTACCTTCGGCATAGTTTCTATCCAAATAAATAAAGCTAGGTACCTAACGCAGAACCTCATAAAAGAACGATGTCAAATATGAAATATTATAGGTACCTATCTACCAGATTGGACATATATATCACATATCACTAAATAAGCCGTATTCTTCTTCAAAAACTAGATTCATTATGTTCAAGTATACATGATCTGCTATCTCTTCTACCCTAAAGCGATCTCCTAATTCCTAATTCACGCACCTCCTTCTCTCTTCGCATACTCATCCTCGATGCGCTCTTCATAAAGTCTATCGTTTTCCCGTTGTTCGTCAGACACATCCTCAATGCGGCGGTCTGCATTTACACCGTTCCCGTTTAGGGCTCGGTCTGAGGAAGAAACCAGACGGCCCGAAGCATCGTACTCGCGGCGCTCATGACGGAGGGGCTCGCCGGTACGTTGGGACGCAGTTTGAGTGGTGGTGCCCGACGGGTCACTTGCAGTATGCTCGGCATAGCGGGACCCAGTGGTTTCCCCGTTGCGAGTAGTAGAAGACGAGAAAGACATTGTAGAAGAGCTGAAGCTGTAGCTATTCGACGACATGGTGGTCAAGATAATTTGTGTCTAGTGTGTTCCTCGATTGGCAGTTTAACGATGAATCTAAAAGATTATGAAGATGTTAGTCAAAGGGTAAGAATTGTTCATTATTAATAGGCCCTTCCGTGTAAGCCAATGTGTATGGAGATATTAAACGTCATAAGTGGCGGGCTGTGGGCAAATACCTACGTGCATACGTCATACCTACACGCCACACCCGTTTGCTCTTTGTTACTCCCGCCCTAGGTTCTCCAAGTTGATGAAATATCAGTCGCATACATTTTATACTGTCTAAAACACATGTGCACCGTATCCACCTAGGTTAGGTAAGTACTAGTGTATACCTAGGTACTTGGTTTGCCACACACACCTTCCTCACGCAGTTATAAGTCTTATTCTTCCCATATGCATTAGGTCGTCAAGATTTAGATCAATATTATTCAAGCCCGGTACTATGCCGATACCGATCCAACAGAGGCATACGGTTGAAGTGGGGTGACATAAGCTTCAAGACTTGAGTTGAGCTTTCTAAGACTTCGCCCGCTCTACGTTTTCATTTTCAAGGTTATCTAGAGATAGTTAAGTTAGACTACCATCGATAATTATATGTGTCTGTATATCTGAATACTATAAGTACGAGGACAACCCCGACATCTCAACATCCCAATCTCAGATAAAAGGAAATCCTGAAATACGCGTGCAGCAAGTTACTAAGATAGAGCACCAAGGGAGATTAAACGCTGCCATAAACTCTTAACCCAACGCATGTTTGAACATGGTACTCTAAAAAGGATTATAAACACCAAGAATCACGTTAGCATAAAATAGCCAGACAGTAAAGCGAATTGCAGTTCAGTTCTCCTCTATCCCATAAAGTGTATTAACATCTAACTCTGCAGCAATTATATTCTACATGCGTGGCAGAAGAACCTATCTTGGAAGATAATATTTTACGATATAATACTCCCACATTTCCCTATTATTCTTAAAAAATCCAAACTTAACCTACAGTGAATATTCCTCGACTCCATGTTTCGCCCAGATGTTAAGCCCTACGTAATATCTCCAACGCCGAGACGAGTTTTCAGGGATAAAACGATTCAAAATCATATAGCAAGAGATATACGGCTTTCAGTCCTCTCGTGCCACAATTTTGACGGCCTCGCCGAGTCCTAGCTCTAAATAGTTCATGCCCCAACGAGACAGGCATGGGCACCTAAGGTATCCGGTGACCAAGTTAACAGGCAATATGGGTGGAGACATCAGTCTACTAGGTTAGTATTGTGTATTAGTGCTATCCAGAGAGAATATCTCAGATGCCAGATACACGATTACATCGACCCAATTGACTAGACTCGACTAACCAGGTATCCCTTGCTTTCACAGTTGTTAGATATTACGATCAAGGAGCACAAGCATCACACACTTCCATCTTTTGTTACCGATACATTGCCAATACTGCCACTTTCCGTATTATTGATGTATCTAAGCGTTTCTGAGGCGAATCGATGCCTGATGTTGGCTTTATCTCTCAAAGATACTATATGAGCATGCCAATACAAAAACTACCTCCTAATTATAATAGGTACCTAACCTAGTGCCCTTCCGATTCTCTCATTACCCCTGTATGAATATTAGGAATATGATATATGAATCATTGGCGGCGTTTTTGTGTTAGTCCAGACAAGTTCAGCTTTCATATATGACTAACAACCATCTTTCTCCTAAGAAGCCAACTTTCGAAATATTCCCTGCATCAGCCATTTCTACATTGCCATACATGTATCAGCAAATTCCATATTGAAATCACCCTATTTGCGGGCTATTCTTCAGCTAGCTTTCTGTGATAAGACACTTTAACCTTTCTGTACTCTCCGGAATACGAAATAGATATGTCTCCGGTACAAGTCGCACATGGTCACACATTGTATACACTTGGCCCTACGAGGTAATATTGGTAACTTGGGAAAGCAGGAAAGTGGTCGGCGACTAAATATAGTTAGACATACTAACGATCTCGCCATCACCGCTTGGACGTTAGGTAACTCAAGGAACTATAAATTTGTTCCATAGGACGTGCCTATATTCTATAAAATACTCCGCTGATTTTCTTGTATAACTTCATTAAGTCAACATGTTTAATACTGGCTAGTCAGCTAGGACTTAATTACCAATTCATCGAGATTATTCCATGAACTAACCCTGGGCGAGGCATATGACCATCGCCGGTAAGCCGAAAAGACTAAAGTCAAACGACGAATGATATAAGACTGAAATATAAATCTAAGTATATTAGTTACTTTAGTATTTATCTAAAGTTCGTGATTGTAAAAACTAGACCAAAAGATGGCGCGCAATTTTACCTGTCATTTCTAGCAATTAGGCATTACCCCTTAATGGTGTAATATGAGATCAAGCTTTCCAATTGACTTGCCTCAAGAGCTAGGATGCTAGTAGTGACTAGATGGCAATATCCTGCCCAAATCGCGGCCTAGCCGCCGATACAGTCAAGATCAGCTCCCGATTGCGAGCCTTATCGATCCGAGTTGACCTAATATCACGGCCTCACTGCTAGTTGTGTGACTAGAATTAGCTCCGATGCAACCGTCACGCAAGCACAAGCTTAATAATTCCGACCAGATCCGTGAGACATGTCGAAGAATAGAAAGGCTCTCATATTCACACGAGCAGGCTTCGTTGGTGGATGTTTGCCATCAGATCGACGCTATCGAGTGAATTGTATACTTCCAGAGTTGATTATTTCACTTAGTTAGAAGTCTCGGCCCTTCCCGTGAGCTGAGGATGATTATTGGTACAACTAAGTCACCATCGAGGTCTCAGAAAATACACTTATTTGATGTCGAGAACAAGAAAGTGAATATAGTCACTGCGTGAGGAGTCATTTTGAAGTATTTATGGTGCTACAGAATATATTATGAAATCAATGGAGACCCCAAGATTCTCCTAGCCGTTCTGTCTATATAATAATCAATGAAGACGGCGTAGTTTATTTATCATAATTCCTAACCAGCTGATCCAGCAAACCCCATCCAAGCCTCATAAATCATATTCTTATCCCGCTGCCGTTCGTCTAGCTTATTCAGAAGTACATATCCGTCTTATCCACTCCGAAAAGAATCACGATGAAGACCTTTCATCTGCTTCTCGCGGCTTTGGTGCCTCTTGCTTTAGCCAAGGCGCCCCTCATGCATAGAGACATTGCAGATGGCATAGACGATAACTATATTGTAGTTATGAAAAGCGCCACCCCGAAGACGTTTCAAGCACACTATCAGCGGATCCATTATACTTCTTCCCAACGGAGTAAAGGTGCCAAGAAGGGAGTTGTGAAAACCTATCAGGTTCCTGGTTTCAATGGCTACCACGTTGAGTGCGACGATGCAACTCTGGACAATATTCGTAATGATCCTCTGGTGAGTCAATTATACACCTCCAATGAAGCTATTCTAACTGGTATAAGGTTTCATACGTTGCTCGAGATGGCCGTGTGACCGCTCAAGCAGCCATCTCCCGCAATGCTCGTAATGCTCCTAGATCAGACCCCCAGGCTGATACCTGGGGTTTGGGTCGAATTTCCCATCGGGACCCCGGTGTTGCCACCTATGTAGACGACGTTGCCCGCACTACTGAACCTCCAACTTACGCCTACATACTAGACACCGGAATCCGCGTGACTCACCAGGTAAGCCACATTCAATGCAATATTGAGCATTGGTGACTGACTTAAGCTAGGAGTTTGGAGGACGGGCTACTTTTGGCAAGAACTTCATCAACGGGGCTCAGGTAAGTTGTACTGACGAAGCTTACTGTAACATTTGCTAATATTTGTCAAAGGATGTTGACGACAACGGGCACGGAACCCATACAGCTGCAACCGTCGGCGGCAACACGGTTGGAGTGAACAATAGTACTATGCTCATCGGAGTGAAGGTTCTAGACAAAGACTCATCTGGAAGCTGGTCTGGAATCATTGCTGGAATAGACTGGGGTAAGTCGCTACGGATGAGAGAATACCAATGACAGAATCTGACCTCTACCAGCCGTGAACGATGCTCAAACGAAGGGAAAGATTAACCGATCAGTAATCAATATGTCGATAGGCGGCCCCAGATTCCAGGCTCTAGACGACGTTGTTAAGAATGCCGTTGCAACTGGCATGACATTAGTAGTGGCGGCTAGCAACTACGGTGTCGACGCATGCACGTACAGTCCGGCAGCAGTTCCAGAAGCGATCACGGTAGCAGCTATTGATCAGACGGACAATCGACCAGACTGGTCCAATTGGGGCAGTTGTGTGGATATATTCGCTCCTGGAAGCGACATTTATTCAGCTTGGATGGACAGCGACTCGGATTATGTTACCATGAGCGGAACCAGCATGGCTTGCCCTCACGTTGCCGGACTTGCGACGTACTTGATGTCGCGAGAGTCAATTTCAGGTGTTCAAAAGGTCACTAGTCGCCTGACTGACCTCGGAACACGAGACAAGGTGCAGAATGCAAATGGAAGTCCCAACTTGATCGCGTTCAACGGTAACGAAGCTGAACTATAGAAGAGTTTAGCAGAACATAACCATTGGAATTGGATCGAATTGGCGGCATCTCGGAAAACTGGTTCTTAACAAAATAGAATAGATTGGATAGGATAGACGTCTGAAGAGGATACATATAGGTTACATAGAATAATTTCATATCTTTCATGTCAATGGCAATATGAAAACCTGGGTGCTGAGTGATTATGTGAAGAAGTTGTAGTAGAGAGGTTGTGGTTGTACTATGTACCTAGGTACATGTAGTCTTCCCCTAGGTAGCGGTACGTAGCGGTACGGGGCACAGATGTACATAGTACCTATCCTGTGGCTTAGTGGAGATTGGCTAGGTACAATACCTAGGACAGCTGTACCTAGGAGTTCCCCTGAAGCTGCAAGTTTAGAAGCTGGTCTGTGCTGGACACTTAACGCGTTTACTGATTCTTAGACGCGTTCCGTCCTTGACTTTATGACGACTTGTCTCCAGAATTGAAACCACCATTGGCAATCTGCATTACTAACGACATTAGTTGCTACTATCTTCAGAATGGCCAGCCAACCCAAAGGGAAAAAGCAGCAATCTCTTACTAACTTTTTCACCCCGAGGACCGTTAATGGTCTAACTACATCGCTCCGAAAGCCCCAGACTCAGGATGCTGAGAGCCCCAACAATACCCCTGATAGCTCCCGAAAGAGACCGCTCCGAGAAGATACTGATAATGGGAATAATACACACCCTAAGAAAAAGTCGAAAGCCGCTGATGTAGAAAATGAGAATGACGAGTTAGAAAACACAACTGTTAGATCCCCTACCTTAGCCCTAAGCAGACCAGGTACTCGTACGGAACGCTATATATACAACGGCTCAACCTCGCGAGAAGATGCAATTGAAGAGGATGAAGAAGAAGATGCTTCTGAGAAGCGGAAAAAAGAAGAGCTTCACCGTAAATTTGTACAGAAGCTCGGACGTCCGGATAGTATGGCATACGGCAGACGTGCAACTGAGCAGGGAGATGACGAAACCCAAGCTGCGGCCGAGGACGCAGAAGATGGCGAAGAGGAAGAACCCCCGCCGCCACCCACCAAAGGTAAGAAGAAGGGAGCTAAGACGGGGAAACTCACACCAATGGAGATACAGTTTCTGGACATCAAGAGAAAACACATGGACACCATATTGATTGTTGAGGTGGGATATAAATTCAAGTTCTTCGGCGAGGATGCCCGTATTGCTGCCAAGGAGCTTAGCATAGTCTGTATACCTGGCAAGTTCAGATACGACGAGCACCCGTCCGAAGCACATCTGGACAGATTCGCGTCCGCAAGTATTCCCGTGCACCGACTACCGGTACACGCTAAACGGTTGGTCGCTGCTGGCCACAAAGTTGGTGTTGTTCGCCAAATCGAGACTGCAGCGTTGAAGAAGGCCGGCGATAACCGCAATGCGCCTTTCACGAGAAAGCTCACCAATGTCTACACCAAGGGAACCTACGTTGACGAGATTGGGGAGCTGGACCAGAGGGATAACTCAGGAGCTCCAGCAGGTGGATATCTCCTCTGTATCACGGAGACGAAAGCCAAAGGATGGGGTACCGACGAGAAGGTCGATGTTGGTATCATCGCAGTACAGCCCGCAACCGGCGATATCGTATATGATAACTTCGAAGACGGCTTCATGAGAAGCGAAATCGAAACGAGGCTCTTGCATATTTCACCGTGCGAATTTCTCATTGTTGGCGACCTCTCCAAAGCTACGGACAAGCTCCTTCAGCATTTATCGGGCAGCGCCACCAACGTGTTTGGCGATCGAAGCAGAATTGAAAGGATTCCCAAGTCCAAGACAATTGCCGCCGAAGCTTACTCGCATGTCGCTCAGTTCTACTCTGCTAAACTAAAGGAGGCCTCTGAAGGCAATAATGAGCAGGCTAGCGCACTTCTTGACAAGGTCCTCAAACTACCAGAGCCCGTCACCATCTGCTTATCTTCTATGATTAACCATTTGAAAGAGTACGGTCTCGAGCATATATTCGATTTAACCAAATATTTCCAGTCCTTCACTGCTCGTCAGCATATGTTAATCAACGGCACGACCTTGGAGAGCCTTGAGGTGTATCGCAATCAAACCGACCACACCGAAAAGGGCAGTCTTTTCTGGGCCCTTGATAAGACGTTGACTCGCTTTGGACAGAGGCTACTTCGCAAGTGGATTGGTCGACCCCTTTTGGACAAGGAGCGTCTTGAAGAAAGGGTAACCGCTATCGAGGAGCTACTCGAGAACGCCTCAACCGCCAAGGTCGACCAACTAGAGCGTTTGCTCAAGAGTATCAAGACGGACCTCGAGCGGAGTCTAATCCGTATATACTATGGAAAGTGTAGTCGCCGTGAGCTCCTAGCGGTCCTTCAAACACTTCAAAGGATAGCAATGGAATTCGCGCAGGTGAAGTCATCTGAAGACACGGACTTCACAGCAGAAGCAATTAGCTCCGCCATCTCCTCACTGCCGCTCATACTACCCACCATCTTGTCGTATCTCGATCGCATCAATGCCGAGGCTGCGCGCCGGGACGATAAATACGCATTCTTCCGCGAGAGCGAAGAAACGGACGCTATCACCGAGCACAAACTAGGCATCGCGTTTGTCGAGCAGGAGTTGGATGCCCACCGCAATGTAGCTGCTTCGACTCTTGGCAAGAAGTCCCCCGTACCCTACATTACCGTCGCTGGCATTGAGTACCTTATTGAGGTACCGAATGGCGACCTTAAGCGCGTCCCCGCCTCCTGGCTTAAGATTAGCGGCACGAAGAAGCTCTCGCGTTTCCACACACCAGAAGTCGTCCGCCTCATCTCAGAGCGTGACCAACACAAGGAGGCTCTGTCAGCCGCCTGTGACGTAGCTTTCACCTCTTTACTTGAAGCCATCGCATCAGACTACCAACCACTCCGCGACGCCGTCTCCTCCCTCGCCACTCTCGACTGCCTCCTCTCCCTCTCCAAGGTCGCCGCCCTCCCCGGCTACTCTAAGCCCACGTTTCTCCCATCCGACTCGCCCCCAACCATTTCCATCAGCGAAGGCCGACACCCTATCGCAGAGCAGACCCTAACGACGTCTTACATCCCCTTCAGCACCACCCTATCTTCCCCAACACCCCTCGCGCACCTAATCACAGGGCCCAACATGGGCGGTAAATCCTCCTTCGTCCGCGCCGTCGCGCTCCTCGTACTCCTAGCACAAATAGGGTCCTTCGTGCCCGCCTCATCTTTGACTCTAACCCTCGCCGACGCAATCTACACGCGCATGGGCGCTCGCGACAACCTATTCGCCGGCGAATCCACCTTCATGGTCGAAGTCTCCGAAACAGCCCGCATCCTCCGTGCCGCCACCCCGCGCTCCCTAGTCGTTCTCGACGAGCTCGGCCGCGGCACCAGCACCCACGACGGCGCCGCCATCGCCCACGCCGTTCTCGCCCATGTCGTGCAAGATATCCGCTGCCTCACCCTTTTCATCACCCACTATCAGAACCTCGCCCGCGTCGCCGACGGCCTCGACGGCCGCTGCAAGAACGTCCACATGCGCTTTACTGCCACCAAGCGTGGCGGTAATGGCGAAGAAGTGCGAGCTGAAGGCAACAACGAAGATGAAGATGGAGAAGAGGAGGATATCACATTCCTATACGAGGTGGGTGAGGGTATGGCTCACAGGTCCTACGGTCTAAACGTAGCGAGATTGGCACGCATTCCGCGGAAAGTGTTAGATGTGGCAGCAAAAAAGTCTAGGGAACTCGAGGAAATGATTAAAATACGTAGGCTGAATGGCGCGACAAGGCTCTTGGCTGATGTGTTGGGGAATGGGCCTGATCAGTTAGATCATCTTGTATCGAGCATTGAGCAACTCTAGAGATCCCTCAATGATGTATATGCTCTCAGAGTCTGTCAGTTCATCTTGGCGGGATTCATTGCAATTTATCTAATAGAACGTGTGGTAGTCTAAATAACAGCTATCACTTAATGTACAACAAACCCGTACTAATAATAAATATGTGAGTTCATCGCCAAAATCGTTAAGATAGTCTACCCTTTAGACCTAATATAGTCGTGATTCATCATCGAATAATTTAAAGTCTCTTGTTTCCAGCTCATGAACCTAATCCCGCGGCCCTACGATGCCTTGGTCGATACCTAAGTTTGCCCTGATACTGGGATGAGCCCACCATACCTAGGGCGGGAATTCTTCACTCTCGAATGTAACTCATCCATGACAGGCAGTAGGTTAAAGGTAGCGAATGAGATAGCCGAAGCCCATTGTCCTGCAAGTTGGGGTGGTGAAGGGAGAAATGACAGTCTAACAAGGTGTTCAGGGCCGAGTATGTGCACCGACGGCGTTAAAAGAAACAGTCAAACGGCCAATTATGGGTCGATCAGACGTCCAATCGAGTTGCAAAAATGCGATAGTAATAGTATACACACCAATATGATTTGCCTATGATTGCGGTTAGGATCACGAACTCATAAAATGTCATGAGTACCTGTAATAGTACTAGTCCTTGTCAAAAAGAGGGAACGTACCAGTGCTTTTACTACCTTGAGATTACGAACTTTTCCACTTTCGAAAGTTAGAGCATGATGTGTTCAAGGCCAGTGATGATATGCTGCTTAATTCGTTTAAGAAGAGAACATAAGTGGCATTCCCTAGCCGACGACTCGAGACGTGTAGGTCGTACCAAATAATTGCAATATTCTAAATATCGAAATCACCAGAACCGGTCTGGTTGGGGGCATACGTTGCACTATGATGAGCCTGCATCTGTAAAGAGTTGAACCCGTCGTGGCCATTGACAGGATGGAAACCTGTTACCGGCTTTACGTCCTCTTCATACGTATCGTACATGCGAAACGCAAGTCCGTCTTGAGGCTGGACATAAAGCGGGTTATAATTCTCATTATGGGTAGAATTCATAGACCGTAAATAGGGGTTCGAGGATGCGACCGGCGGTTTTCGTGCTAAGCTATCATTCTCCTTTCCGAGAAAATGAGATGAAGATCGTTTGAGACTAGGGCTTGGAGACGCGAATGACAGATTCGGGTTGCCTGGTCGTAAGGCAAGGCCGGGTAGACGGTCTTGACTGTCAATGTATGTGAGCCCATTATACGCGAATTGGGACATTATTAATGACTCACTGTCGCCTTCGTCTACCAGGGGGGGTATCGGCAACATCTGCTCTTCAATGTCAGCCGGAGTGTCACCGGCAAATTCAGGGGGTTGCACCCAACCTAAGTCATTGTCCATAGCTAAAGGATCATGGATTAGGCTACTTTCTCCCTGAAACCCATGATTATGAAGGGGTAGCTGGGCCTGTGACACTGAACCGCAGTTTGAAGCAGATCTCGCAATCCTCCCCCCGGCGTTCAAAGTTCGACTGTGCGCTGGCGAAATGAAGTCTTCTGTCGATGTGAACCGTTGTGCAGCCTGTGCCGCTGCTCGAGTAGTACGTGTGGTGCGAATATCACGAGATGAAGTACGTTGTTTTGCCCTCTTGGAAACCAACGTTGCATGAGTTTGGGTGCCTCGGCGTCTAGGCTTTCTCTCTACATCGTCCTCGTCCTCGAGCTACATGTTAGCGAGTTTGCTATACCAAGCTGTGATTTCCTCTCCACTTACCTCGCTCCCATCGATGGATGGATCATCATAAACATCCCTAGATCGTTGGTACTCGAGATTTAAATCATATACATCTTCTTGCGTTGTGACCATTGTCGAGTTGATTTCCAGTTGCAAAAGAACAGCGGGAGGCTTACGCTGGTTTCTCTTACGCCGTTGTTCCTCCTTAGCGGCATCAAAGAGACCCATGCCAGGATATACCACACCCTTGAGACTAAGACTACCCGTATCGTTCTCATTAACTTCTGTGACCTCAGTGAGGTTCTCCGATGGGTAGGAACTTTCAGCCTCCGAAGACTCATATTTTACGAGATCTTCTTCGTCTCCCCAGTCCTCGAAGTTTCCCTGTGGTATCAGATCGAGATCACCCTCTTGGGGCATCAGCGGGTTAAGGTTAGTTTGCCAAGAATGAATTGAAGAACCTTGTAGGTCTTCATAGCCATCTCCAAAGCTCATGTCACCATCTGGCTCGTGTTTAATATCCGTAAGATCAGGAACTTTGCGACTGCGGCCACGGGAGTTCTATAGCATATAATACGTTAGAACATTAATTCACAATTAAGTCAAAGTAAGACTTACCGCATTACCGCGACGGCCACGTCGCTGTGGCTGGATACCTTTTTCGTCCCTTGCCTCCATACGCTGCCGAACTAACTGGTCAATGTTGTATGTCTGGTTCCAGATTTCGAACTTGCGAGCTTGAGCAGCGCATGCTTCATTGCCATAACTCTTGATGCGTAGGTTGTAAAGCTCTAGTAGGTGGGCCTTTGAGCTGACATGGGTGATCAGATGAGAAAGGTCAGAGAAGGTTGGAATCTTTTCGCAAGCGTAGCAGACGAGCGGGATGCCTCCTTGATCGATTCGATGCGGTGACATCATTGCTTCTTCGTCGACTTCAATATCGCAAAGAACTCCACCAGGGTCTTCAGCAACGTAGACTTGACGCGAGTAGGATGCCATTTCCTGTAGACGAACAAGTCAGCAATTTGGCTCTTACAATAGAGTTTAGCCGTTGCCTTTATGTTTGATGAACACTAAGGTGATAAAATAATGTCATCAGAAGTAGCTTTGAGGCCATATCGTGTACCGGGGAATAACCCAGACGCCACTGCAAACACCATATATATTCGTATCATTTTCAGGTAAACTGACAACATGCTGGACGGAAAACGGAGAACATAGTCTGTCAAGGTCAAAAGGCAGTGCCTAAGAAAAGAACGGACCAGACCAAGGGAGATGACGAAACCTAAACAAGGAGTACCCCAAGTCCTAGAGGTCAAATTCACAAGCGATATGAAGCGGTTGGATTTCCTGAGGAGCAATTCCTCAAAGTTTGGATATGGGGAAGAACTTAGAAGTTCTACATACCTAAAAGGCCCTGTCTGCATTAAACACGAGTCGATATCTAACTTGAAGCGGCCAATAGAGATCAGACGAAATACCAGCCCAATGCGTCTGCAAGGGAAAAGGATTCAATGAATCTTCCTATTGAGCCTTTGCTAATAGCCTTGGGGGATCCGTAATCACGGTAATAAGTATCGAGAGTTCGTGAAATGGGACCGTCAATAACACTAAATATTAGTTTTCCCGGTTACTATTAGTTGATCTTGAGATAGATCGATCAGTAGTTGCGTCAAACTACTGGGGTTGTATTGTGTCTCAGGGTGGGTATGCAGAATCTAGATGCCAAGACCTTGGTCAAGAAGGAGGATTCGGATCTATTTGGCGGTTGAGTCGTCGTCCTATATCTTAACTAGAGGGGTCGATTCCCTGGTTGAGGAGTCAAGACTGCTGAGTTAATTATCAGTGATCTACCCAACTTTTCTATCGCTCGTAGATGGCGTAGAGCAATTCAAGTCTCCAATGATATGACCTCCGACCGAATTATGGCCGCCCGGGATATGTAGGGAGACGTTGGGTAGGTAGTAAAAAAGCCGTCACTCAAATGAACGAAGGAGATGTTGGATGAATTAGGGTGATGTGGCCAAGGCAAGATTGGGATGTCACACTAATCCGGGGCGTTGTGAGAATCAAATGAGGATATAGGGGCCTAATATTGCAAATAGCTGCTTGTTAGAGTATGGCTGGAATATGGAAGTGTGGTGATATGTGACCAAATTTCGTGATTGCAACTCGGAATAGAATGTTTTCCATATAAGGCAGATAGATGATAATAGGGCGGGAAGTAAAATGAGAGAGGATAGGGTAAAATTAGGAGAGTGGGAATGATTTTTTCGGAGGAGTTGGAGGAGGAGGAGGAGGTGATATTGTGCTCTGGTGAACTAAGATACCAGGAATTGAGGTATCTCAAAGAAGAAGAGTAGAAAGAAATCCAACGATGTTAAGTGGTTACTTACTTTGGTTGTTATGAACTCTTTCCGCAGGAAGTTTGAAGAAGGCGTTGACTCCTAGATCAATCTTGTGTAACTTGAGGAGGAAGATCAGGCCGTTGGATGTGTAGACATCTGCCCTAGTTGATCTGTGTTGTTTGATAGGTTGCACGACCTGGTATAAGGTGAAGAAGGGGTAGAGGCTGGGATATAAAAGTTGTTGTAGTGCGAGGGAGGAGGACGTTACGTTATATGGACGGTGACTGCTAGATTCAACACATACATGTAGTGATTGCCAATATTTTGATTGGGCAAAATGCATCAGGTAGTCTGGTGCGTAAGGTAAGGTGCCTTCCTAATCAACGTCGTTGTTTCCAATTGATCCTACATCAACCATGATACATACACGTATTACTTGCATTTATGTACCTAAATTTACGTAACTCTATGTAGTTATGTACCTGAGGTAGAAAGACTACAGAAGTAAAAGGTGATCTAGGTTGTCTTTACAGGTATCTCTTGCGCTGAAAGATAATGTGGCCTGTGCTTGTGTATGTACTGATTTGATACAGAAACATTGTAAACTACATAGGTAGGTACATACATGTAGGTTAGGTAGATGAGGAAGGCACGAGAGAGATCAGGCAACTACGTTTCTAGAAGATGATAAGTTGGTACCTGGGAAATCATGAGAGCAAAATAGTACTGTAACCTAGAAAAATAAATAATATAAGGGGAATTTTGGGACTACAGGGAATTGCATGATCCTGGAGTAGGTACCATAACTACTGCTTTAGGTTAGTAGTGAGGAGGGAAGAGGCTCGAAGTTGGAACCCTTTGTTAGCTATCGTAAGGTATGAAGTTGTCAGGTGGCGATCTTGACGGACTTAATTATTTTTGCTATGTTCTAAACCACACCCTCATAAGAAATAAAAAGTTGAATAGTACCTAAGATAAATAATACAAAGCAGCTAGTTAGCCTAGTTAATAGATACCTCTTAAGAAAAAATATATTATATCAACTTCACACATTTAGGTACATTGTACGGTAATAGATTCCTATGACACTGCATTAGGTACTGAGCTGTACAATGGCACCGTTAACTATGGCAATTTGATATTCAAAAGCCTACATGTATGATTAAGGAGTTCTAACAAGACACTAGTAAATTAGACTAATACCATAAGCACATTTAAATAGTTCAGGATTATATGTTTTTTTCGATCCTCTAGTCATCTAACCTAGAAGTATGTATCTACCTAGGTTAGAGGCTTCCAACGTACCTGCTTTGTGGTTCTTGCCATTATTACACAATGTTGTGACTATGGTTCCCTGTATATTTTCACTGTGATGTAAATAATTCAGCTAGCTTTTCCTCGTATTTGATTATCTTATCATGCTTAATATGCTGTTGTTGATTTCTGAACAATGGGTCCTTCTGATTTACGAAGAGATAATACATATGAGATTGAGGATGTGTAAAAGTGAAAATTGAACCAATAAGAAAGCATACATTTTACATAATCAGTCTGCATTGTTCCTCGAGGTACGTGCGCAGGTACTTACATACATACGGGCATTTTCCAATTGGAATACATCAAGCTAAGCAACCTTAAGAGCGCGTCATAATTGATAAGTCGACCAAAAAAAAAAAGATTCGAGAATTTAGTAGATTGATAAGAACATTAATTGAATTAATTGGTAGGTGGGTGACGCGCAAAGCTGTCCGTAGCCCGTATCCCGTACCCCGTACCCCGTGGCTATCCTGAGAATCGTTTCCTACACGACAGGATTTGCACCAGGTAGGTTGGTCAACCCTACATATGAAATATTAGACACCAAAACTTAATTCTTGAAAACAAGCATATTGCGTTACTTACAGCTATCGATATCTTCTCCTACCATATCGGGAACTTTGCATTTGTTCTGCTGGGAAATACTTTGTGTCTTAAGCATCGGAGCAGAGACGTACGTGTGTCCATCCATGGCCTTTTGGAGGGAATCATCTTTCCAGCCAAACATGTAGTCGGCATGACTGCTATAGCCAGTGGCGTCGCCTGTCGACCAGACGAAGGGCTGCTTGCCGTCGGCAAAGTCTGCTGGGTCGTTGAAAGCCCTGGTGTCCCAGACTGTCTCGAGAAGTATTTGAGGAAGCCTGACCGGATGCGTAGAAGGACACGGGCCACCCGATTCGAAAGTACCACTCTCAGGGTACGCTACATGGTCTTGGTGGTTAGGAGAATCTAAGTTCTTGCCGTCCCAGCAACTACACTGCGTCAGATCATTTCAACATACACACGTGTGAGATACTCACGTAGGGAAGCGATGATTTGCCATTATACCCCCAGGACAAGGCTTCGTAGGGAAACCGATGCTCTCCGGAGCACGGGTACCCTGATTCTCCATACAGATGTAAGTTAACTGGCGCCACTTCCTGGCTTCCTCGCGGTCACGGAAAGTTGAGTCGCCAACAAGCATGCGGAAGCCAGGCTTAAAAGCCGTGACAGTAGACTTTTGAGCAGTGTCGAATAGGGCATCAGTCATGTAGTAAACAACCTTTGTAGTGAGTTAGACAGTTATTATAGAACCATTACGCTCGATCCGTGCTCACCATGCCGCCCTGAGTGCCTTCCATGCCTGCCTGGGCCATCTGCGGGACCCTCTTGAAAGTGCCATTCTTGCCACGGTAGAAGATGACAGCGGTCCAGTAGTTGGAGAGATCTTCTGTGAATTGGCAAGTGGTACATGTCGAAAGCGCGGCAAGATCATGCGTCTCAGGAGGCATCGATGCATTGAAAGAATCCTTTATGCCATTAGCCACTGATATAAAATCTCAAATTCGATAAATATAAACATACGCCTCCAATAATCTGGTGGAGATGAGCAGATGGATTCATGCCTGGGTTGACCAAGGGATCTAGGCGCTGGACGGTCAAACCCGAGCAGCCGAATCGAAGCAGTGCGCTCGCAGGCGCAAACAGCCCTAAAGCAGCGGCGAAAATGTTAAGCTGCATCTTGATCATGCTTCTCGAGTTGTTGATTCCGGGACAGCACTGGATCTAGAGCCAGAATCGAAGTTAGAAGGGGACAGGTAATAGGGTAGTTATGGTCTCAACCATGGCGATCGCCTGCTATTCCGTAAACCACTGCCGTCTCGCCCACGCCCAACAGAAAACGCAGCTTAATTTTCGGTCTCGGAGGATATTACTCATTAATATCGGAGAGCATTTCAATAGGCGAACCCGTCTAACTTTGATTCCGGTTAATGTGGAGAAGGGTTGCTGGTTCGGGACTTGAGTATGGGTTAATACTGTTCAGAGCTTCGGTAGGCAGACGGCAGGCAGCCTTGTCCAGTCATTTACTACTTGTGACGTATTCTTAAAGTTAATTCTGATGTCTACTCGGTAAATGATATTTCTAGGCCCTATTCCTCACTGCATACCATCATGTGCTCTACCGGAGACGAGGGTAATATATGTATAACTCCATCACTATGTTTGGTAAGATTTATTAAGGCCACACCAGTTCTTTTACATTAGAAACATATATGTGCCGACAAGAACGCTAGCCCAAGGATAAGAATGCAATGAAACTTCAAAATTAGAAATAAATATTGCCCAGATTACAGCAGACCCATGTGTTGGGATGTTTTTTATTAGACCGGAATCATTAATCCCGCCCCCCTTTCTTTACAGTCCCCGCACTACAGTTGTCACGTAATATCAAGAAGTTACTATTCCTGGCTAATAACGACGGACGATCAAGTATTAGTTATCTCCTATCTCATGAAGCTCGGCGCTGTATCCAATAATAACCAGCATCTCCGGCTAAAGTAATAATTAAACTACACCGAGACTTTACATGGTGTTAAATACTATCCAAGAGCTCAGCTAGTATATCTGCTCTGATGCTATCAAGCCCATTCGTAGAATGCTCTCAACTCGTACCTGTAAACAAATTCGTCAGGCAGCCTTAAATTCTGTTTCCAGATATAAATAATCATTTTGAGAAAGAATAACCTCACGATATTCACGATGAAAGTCTCCTTCGCACTCATATCATTTTGGTTCTCCTTTATTCTGGGCCAGCAAGTCCCTGAATGTACTCGGGAGCTTGCAGCAACAGATGATTGCGCCGATGTCATCAACGCCAATGCCTGCTACAATCAATTCCGGTTTAGGAATAACCAAACACTATCATGTATCGGCGGGACGAATAATGACGAACGAGCCAAAAAGGTAAGTCGCGCAAAGAAACCTAATTTCTGTGTAGTCTGCTAATGAGATGGCATAGGCGTGCAAGTGTTGCGGTTGTGTCGGCCAGGTGATGTGCGACTGGGTAAAACAACAGCGATTCCAATGCTAGGAAATCCGTATCTTCAAGTTGGAAATAATGCAAGAACTACAGGGGGGCTTGAAGAACTATATCATACCACTGATGTATTTAACAAAAGTCTACAATATGGTTATATATTTGATACGTGGGTACCCAAGGGATGCTTTGCCCGCGTCTAGTCTCTACTTGCCAGTGAGAAAGTCTAAACAAGACAAGTTATCTTCCAGTTATTGGTTCATGTGTTAATGATTCTTTGATATAAATCTCTCTAAAATGCCCCTATTTTAAGCTACAGAGGTTTGCCCACAGTGCCATACACTCTGTGGATATATGGAATCGATGAGGGACTTGACGATAATCCACCTATGTAATATGGCAAGGCAGAGGACAAGGCGAATGAGCTCTGTTAGCAAGCACAGGGGCATGGCTAGATATTTTGATAATGAGTATGTGCTAAAACAATTATACCATTCCCCAGTGAAACATTTCAGAGATCATACAAGTCCCAATACAAAAATACTGAAATAACCTTGTAACATCATAAATCGACACAGTTCGATTCACCAAGAGATGATCACGTGGTGCTTTAGAGGCCAACTCAACAAATCGATCCTTTACGGGAGAGGAGAGATAACTAATATAGAAAACCGCTATTTCGCTTGCAGTATTAAGAGTCCTTTTTATCTCATAAACGAACGTTGAGATTATATCATGGCACCTATCACATGACCTAATGAATTTACTGATACTTCCAAAACAATCCTCGATATTTAATATATCATTTCTAATTAATTAATTACGTATATCTCAATCCTATCACGAACGAACTAGCCACCTAAAGCTTCACTTACCCAACTTCCCAATCAACAACTCGCTAAATATGACAAACTCGGACAGCCTGCAAGATACCATCCCTGTATTCTGTACAGCCCCTATATCTAAAGAAGTTTGTGAAACATGTCAAGAAAATCGCCAATCTATTAATTATAAATCAATAGATATTAGACAAATTCTTTACAAGGAGCTTGGGTGCGCCAGAGCTTGAAGGTGTAGATTGGATTGGTATGTGTTTGAGAACAGTCTTAACCATTCGACATAACCCCTTTAGGACCACATTAATTATGATGGAATAGCCGTATTAGTCGATAATCCCGACGTTGAAGATATCACTGTACCTACGAGAGCACCAGTAGAGAAACCAGCTTCATACCCCTTTCACGGCTGGGGCATTGAAGATGTCGCCAAGTTTTCCCGTGAGCATTTCGATCTTAAGCAGGGGATTGTTTCTGAGCATCTAGTTATTATCGATGAACAGACTATGGAAGATAAGACTTGCTTGTTAGTGACGCTAAAAGAAGGCCGCGAGGCCGAGGGCGAGCGGTTAACTGTCAGGGCGGACTTTCGATCATCCTTAGTACTTCTTAATCTAAAATCCCTAGGAATTGGTAGAGATGGGCATTTCGAGAATTAGACTTGAATGAGTACTATAATAACAGTATTTAATTTTTAATATTTAACCACTATTCCCTGCTTAGCTCCCAGTGGGGTTCCTCTGACATCGAACACGCACATAGATAATCAGAAAGGAGATGCTATCCGTGGGAAAGATTATGTATAACTACCTTGAGGTATAAGTGGCTGCTTATATTAATTACAGAGGTTGATATCATCAACTAGTTAGAAACTTAACTCAATTATAGTAGATAAATTCGCAATATTACCTTACATGAAGATAGGTGGAAGCCAATACAGATGCGTGCGGGGGGAAAGTTGAGTGGCGATACTATGTAGGATATGTACAGGCTAGTGGAATATAGCGGCGATCACGAACTCCGCATTCGAGGATGCAGGTAGAGTATAGCTTATCTTCATACAATGCCGAACCATCCCCGTCAAATCCCCGGCCAATCGGGATGGGTTTGGGTACCTAAATTTGGGGTAGATAGGATTGCGAATCTAGGAGCTAGACAAGATAATGCAGGGACGTACACCCAACCAGAGACATTTATTAAACCGTAAACAGGAAAGGATCCAGTGGTAAGCTCCCAATCTTAGTTTGCATTGTGCTATAAGAAAATGTAAGTCGGTATTCTGTTATCTCCTGACCGGAGGTGGTGAATCGTATTAGTGGAGAAAGCTGTTGCGGCCGAGTTCGGGATACGAAGCCTAGGTAGATATCTCGATAGTATAGATAGAAGCCTATATAGATATCTTTTCTCAGAATTCGAGTTTCACTAGATGATTCATCCTGGGATAATTGTCAAGAGTTGAACCATTTACAATAATGGGATCTTTTGTTAGCAAGGCCAAATCAAAGATGGATTCAACCACAGCAGGCCCTGTCCCGTTGTCTTATTACTCCAATGCCCAGAGTACTAAGCCGCCGCTACTCGCAAACGAGAATGCATATCTAGGAGATATTTCGACATCGTAAGTTCTACCGTAGGTCATCATACATCTCTCTTCTAACCAGACAACAGCGAGAATCTCGACCCCGCGAAACCTATTTCGGCTGGGTTCTACCGTTTGGAGAAGGGAACGCCGCTTGTATACGAGTATACGTATCACGAGAGTAAGCTTCATCCGGCAAAAAGTCCTAAAAATGATTAGTTGACTAATGGATCTATGATGGTATAGTGAAGATAATTGTCGAGGGTAGCTTTGATATAAGCGATGAAGCAGGCAACAAAGTGCATGCTGTGCCTGGGGATGTTTTATATTTCCCCAAGGGCTCAAAGATCACCTTTACTACGGATGACTATGGGCTTGGCTTCTACTGTGGGCAGAGAAAGAAGGATGGCGCGTAAGGTGATATTGTGTGTATATTCAGGGGCACGTAATTATTCTAGTGTCGAAAAGGGGGTCACGCGGGTCATAACTCGACTAGCCATACAGTCAGGCCAGAGTATATAGTACTGAAAAGATACCACATTTTGCATGTTATATAAGGGCAAATAGGTGAATTGATCATCTCGAAACTATCGATTACAGTATTGCAGGGGTCTCTGGCTTGGTAAATAGTCATAAAGCGGACAGCCAAGGCTTAAAGATACATGCCACTAATAGTAAAGTGGAGAAGGAACTCGAAAGAAAACCAGATGAGAAGGTAGTGAAATAGAGGATGGATTTCAGGCGGTAAGACGAAAGGAATTCCTGACATGGAAGCTAGAATGTATAAATCTTCTGTTAACAAGTACGAAATGTCTGGGTGCAACCCGTATGACTCTAGTCATGGTGAAATAAACTATGAGCAAGAAGGGAAACATTCGGGATCTCTCTACTCTTGCCTTGTATCCTAACTACCACTTAGACTTATGTTAGTAGGTTATTAGATTGCAAGAGATATTTTTCTGACCAGGCTCTGGCTATACCCAATAAGGCATTCACCAATGAGCAAGGACTCGAGGAGCGAAAAAAGAAAGAATAAAAAAAGAGTTCACGTGTGAGATCGAGGTGTACGAATAGATTACCAGGGCAGACATTTGCTAGAAGTTGTTGTGAAGTTATCCTGCTCTGCCAAATACACGATCTATAGTGTACTTTGGTAGGCAATAGACAGGGTCAATAGCTTCCACGCCTGGATACTTCAGCAAGCTTAAGCCAGTCAGGCCAAAGAACGTGTGCCAGATGTCAACCATGTCACCGGGTCGGTCCGATAATCCACCACGCTCGCTGTCCTGGCAGCTCAGAGTAAACTTGATGAGCTTCTCCCGATCAACCCAGTGTGTGCGGCCGATCATTTCTAGGCTGCTCAGTACCCACCAGTTGTAGCACACATCTTCCTTCTTCTCCGGTCTCCCATTTAGGCCGCCGCAAGCGACCTGTCTTTCGCTGAGCCAGCCGCCTAGTTTATCAGCGTCGATTAAGTCTTTACGCCCGGCAATGGAGAGAGCGGCTAAACAAGTAAAGATCTGACCAGAGTGAGTCTCAGCTCCAGGGCTAACACCGTAGCCACCGTCATAATTGGCGCAAGCAGCAACGTAATCAACTGCCTTATCGACGTCGACCAAATGTAATAGGCCAAGGAGCGAGAGAGCATTCAAAGCGCCGTATAAAAACCTCGTGTCTTCTTCACCCCATTCATCGCCGGCAAATGTGCCCGTTTCCCGATTTTGAAGATCCGCCAGGACTGAAGACTAAGTTAGCTCTTACGCGACAGCGGCGGCGAGCAAAACCGGGATGTAGCTAGCTAACTCACACTTGCCCACTTGAGCCTTACCATTGCCCTTACCGCGCTTCTCTAAGTCGTCTAAGGCATCAAGTAGGACAAAGATTTGCACGGCGCTGACTGTGTAGAGCATGTGAGCATCATGCCCCGGTGCGGCACCAAACCCGCCGCTCTCATGTTGGCAGGAGAGGACGAAGTCTATAGCCTCGTCTCGGGGGAGCGCATCAGGATGTCGTAGTAAATGCAGCGCCATCAGTCCCCAATATAGTCCATTTAGACGGAGATGCTCGGTGAGCCAGTACTCATATTCATCCTTCTTTGTGTCTAAGCTTTGAATATACTTGACGTGAGCCGCAGCTGCGAGCTGGAGTTCATCTGGCAGTTCTTGAATCCCCGACATGTAGCAAGCTAAATGTGATAGCGACTGATACAGGCACTGAATACGATGTAAGCAGGTAACTACATGTAACGAAGAAAATATGTTTTGAGGTAGGTACGTAGATATGTTTGCAAAGTCCCGCCCTGTAGGCAGAGCACGTGCCAGGTGGGACAGGTTGGAAAGGTAGTGGAACCACCTAGCCACATGTGTACTGCCCGATATACCTACATGTACCTAAGGTACATATGTATGTACACATGCATACCAGTGGACATGCAGTAGGTACATATTGGAAGTGGCTTATACAATGGAAATGCATCATAGGTAGGCATATCGATGTGTGTTTGCTTTGAAGAATCTCCAGCAACCCAACCTACCTAAACCTAGTGTATTTCTAATTCTAGCCCATAAGCTATTGGCTTATTACATAACACATGACTCGCATATACGACTATGGCGGCCGTAACTTATCTGGGTTCTTCCTAGTAGTTAAGTATCTTATACCTTTTGGCTTACAAATTTACTTGCCATATATTACCTCTTCGAATGTGAGACCAGAAAGTTTTGATGCTCTATCTAGAAAGGAATCGTCAGGGCCATGGCATCATGGAGGATGTACTCGGGGTGAACAGGGTGGATTTGTTAAAGAATAGGAGGATGGTCCGTTGAATGCCTCGTGAGATACCTATGTGAGGCTATTATTGGAATTTGACTAAGACAGACCAGGTGCATGAGACTTCCTCGGAGGTTATCGTACGTAAATGAATATGTGATATACAAGAATATCTGGCATATGAAACATTGATATTACGACGACAATATAGGTATCTATATATTCTTAACGTGGGTACCTAGGTATCGTTATAATCTTTAGCTGAGATACCTGCGTTAGTGATGCTTAATAAAGAGGTATGTCTGCAGCGCTAAGTCTGGCCACATTTCGCCGAGGAACATGTGGATACCATTAAAAAGTGCGGTTATACGTAAGAGCCTGTTTCAGATTTAAAATCTTATTACGCGCCTTTACATACATGAGGTAAGGCAGACCCCGGCAAGCCCGGTCAATAGGTCAATAAGTCAATAAGCCAATTAAACCTGAATGAAAACATACCGAGACATACTGCCTTAGAAACTAAATATTCGATATATCAGCGCAGTATTTTATATTTTATCAAGGTACCTATTTATTTGCTAGAGTAGCAATGCAGGTAAAGAAAAAAAAAAAGACCTTGATCATTCAGATAGTTATCTTGTTAATAACAAAGAACATTGGACTGAAGTGAAATCCTGAAAGGCTAACTTCCAAGTTATGCCGCAAGTAGCTTTCCAACATCTGACATTTAGGTACTAGTACTGTTTTCAAGCTAACATCTTTACTCGTCAGTAAATACTAGGTTACCTATGTACCTTACCTACACGTATTCTTGCAATTGAATTTATTGAGTACCTACATGTAGGCAATATTTAAGTGAGGGTATCACTGCTTCGTCATGTCTTATGTCTTATGTCCCAAGCCTTCTCTCTCTTTTTCTCTGGTGTAGCTAGACTTAGAAAGGCAAGAGGAAGTCAAACAAGCTCAAAGCTAATTCCAGGTTTGTAATACCTACTGTTATTGCTCAACTTCAATACATATTGCAGAAGTTGTGTAAAATTGTGTAACTGAAAGAACATTTTAGCTTCGCTGCTACTGCCATTTGATAATATGCACGTACCTAGATATGTACCTACATCTAGATATGTTAGGTAGTTACATGTAGTGTTAACCCCTGAGACCTAGCGCATTTTCGCAACTCGTCAGGTACGACGACCGACACAACCGTGAATGTGGATACCTCTGTTATCCCCTGCTAGCTACTTGCTGCCAGGACTCTCCCGGAGGCATCAATTCGTCAAATCAATCTTGAATATTCAATTCAACCCCAATTCAGTTATCCCTTGGAAATCTCAAGGTTGGATCTTTGGGCGGTCTTCTTCTTTTTTCTTGTATGTCGCTGCCAGCAAGTTTTAAAAGTTTAGTTGTACAATATCTTTCCCCGTACCGTTATCCCCCTCCTAAAAATACCTACCCTTAATCGGCCTGGGTCTGGCGCCTCTTGTCGCAGATTACCAAGTCTGCCCTATTTCGTTTTGCTAATCCCTAATCCTTCCTACGATCCGTCTGATACCCCAATACTTGTTACAGCATTCCACCGCGCACGACTTACCTGGCCTGTCCTCCTGCGGCAGAGAGCGAATCAGGCTCGTCCCTGATATTCCCCGATTTGTGTTTGACCGGAGGACAATAAGGGGAACACATACCATCCATAATGCGCCGAAAGCCAGTCCCCAATCCGTTGTCCCTGGCTGGCGATTCGGATTCCTTGGGCCAGCACTCCGCTTCCAGTACCAGCGCAAGCGCCCCTACATACCCAGATCCCAATGCCCTGGGAACAGATCGACCAAGTCCGCATCCTACACTGAGGAGTGAGCCTACGCTTCAAATTACCTCCCCGACGCCCTCTAAGTCGCCCAAGTCGCCTCGTTCTCCCTTTGGGAAGTCTGGCACAAGCACGCCTAGCATATCTCAGACACAGCAGTATCAGGATTGTCCTGTTGAACCAATCCAGCCGCTGCAATCTCCCGAAAGCGTACATGTTGCTCAACATCGACAACACCAATCTCCTCAGCGCTACGAGCCAGAACTCCCGCCCTTAACTCTCCTCCCATCCTCCAACACCGTATCAACCATTGCGGACACATGTTCTCGTCCCGAAAACGAGAAGCACTCGAGAAGCGGGAGTCGCTTTTTCGGCTTTGGGAAGTCGTCTAGATCTACCAATCAGCTTTATCATACCCACACGGACAGCGCAGGGACGCGTGAGGCTATGTCCCGCGGCACGGAGAACACCGCCATGCCGGATAGAGTATCCAGTAAAAATTCTAAAAATTCAGGTACGCCGAATTGGAAATCAAAGAAAGTGTAGTTAGTGCAGTTACGTATTACGCTAGTCTCATGATACTAATCCTTTGTTCTTCACCAACTATCTAGACCTATCGTCCGCTGATCCCTCGAACCACAAAACAACTCCTTCCTTGCCATCCAGATCTGATGTTTCATTGGCATCCACTAATGAACAAGAAACCAACTCATCGAAAAAGAACAAACCCAAACCTTTCACGCTTCTGGGTCGTAATAGGTCGCTGAAGGATAACGATGGTCATAGCCCAAAGGAGTCGATTACAATCACATTACATGAGGCTGAGCGAGACCCATCCCCGGCAGGCCTGCAGCCTTTGAGAACAGCCCCCATGAATCCCGATGGCTACGAGAGGTCTTTTAGAAACATGATGAATTCGACTATACGTAATCATTCCGCCGACCGTGCACTTCCTCGAGACGTCCTAGGGAACAAAGAACACCGACACGATAAAGACTATTATAGAAGCCACCCTTCCTCTTTTAAGGACAGTAGTAACAACAACGGTTCAACATTTCTCAACGGTCTAAAAAGTTCCGGTAGCCGAGCAGCAGATATGATCAGCAAAGGATTATTTGGGAGAAGCGTCCGTAGCGCCAGCACGTTAGATAAAGATATGGGAGTGGATGACGAGCATTACATTCTCAAGGTTATTAATTTGCCATTGGTCGAACAGACGCGGTTGACGAGGATATCTAAGAGACTTGAAGATTCCCGGGACAAGACAGAGTTTTGGATGCCCGCTTTCCCCTGGCGGGCGATTGATTATCTCAATCTTAAGGGAACCGAGGTTGAAGGTCTCTATCGTGTGCCTGGGAGTGGCCCTCAGGTTAAGAAATGGCAAAGGAAGTTCGATGAAGGTATATTACCAAATCCTGCCATGGTTTGTTTCGCTATTTGCTAAATTGATGACAGAATACGATGTCGATCTATTCGCGCAGAGCGACCTTTATGATATCAATATTATCGGTTCGATGTTCAAGGCCTGGCTCCGTGAACTCCCCGACGAACTATTCCCAAAGGAGGCCCAAGAGCGAATTTCCCGAGAGTGCGCTGGCGCCGTGGAAGTACCCCAGTTGCTGATTGATGAGCTCTCCAACTTGTCACCGTTTAATTACTATCTCCTCTTTGCCATCACATGCCATCTCAGCTTGCTTCTCGCACATTCCGACAAAAATAAGATGGACTTCCGCAATCTATGCATATGTTTTCAACCATGCATGAAAATTGACGCCTTCTGTTTTAAGTTCCTTGTTTGCGATTGGAGATTATGTTGGCAAGGTTGTAGGAACGAGGCTAGATATATCGAAGAAGAATATCAGTTATTCCAACAACCACTGCCTCGCGGATTGAGCTCGTCAGAATCTCAGAGCCATAGCGGGGGCGATACCCACGATGATCAGAATCTTTCTTCGTCCGAGAGCAGTAAATTATCGGCTCCCCCAGTCGAACACCACGGTGGGAAAATAAAAAAGAAGCCGGTACCAGTGAGTCAGCCAAATGGAGGACTACCTATATCGAAGTATTCAACGTCGAATTCGTTGACTGTCAACGGCGAGCATGATACGCCTGTACGACGATCCGGGGAACGAGAACTACGACCGCTGTCGCCTATCAAGCCTCTTTCCCCAATGAACTTCTCATAATTAAGGAGTGATTTAAGTCGCGGTATACTGAACTGGAGAGTAGGAATGGGTTGATCCTGATCTGATGATAGCTTTTTTGCCTTGATAATACCCCAGGACGTGAATGTGGTTAGCATTTGGCTTGGCGGTGCTCTTTGACGATATTACGCTCCGTTTACGATTTCAAAATTTTCTTCATATCTTAGCGTTTCATGACTATCCTGAGTTGATCGGGCTTTATGAATTAGCGGCACGCGTCCTCTTTTGATTCTCAACAACTGCAAACTCGGATCGTTCAAGAGAGCTAACGGGCAGTTGATGGGCATTGCGCTGCTACATGAGTACATAACACCTACTACCTACTGCCTAGGCGCTCCACGCCGATCTACTCGACATATTATGTCGAAATTAACAGAAAATTAAGTTGGTGGTAGATCTTGGATAACGGCGCACGAACTACTATAGCCAATGCGCCCTGCGTGCTAACATAACGAATTCCTTCTTTGGCTACACGGCGAACGCTTCATTGCTGGGAAGAAGGGCGGAGGACAGTGGAACAAAACGTAGCGACGGAGTTTTAGAATATGAAAGGTTAGAAAAGAATCTGTACCATACATTTTGGGTGGAAAGATCCGCAATACCAATACAAATATGCCCAAACCCGCGAAACCTGTCTTATGTCGGAAACGCCAAACTCCCGCCTGTCTATCACGACTCGAAATGCGTGGGTATCAACAGAGTGCCCCCCTCAAGTTACCATTTTCACCAGTGCCTATTATTTATACTTCTCCGTATCACAGACCTAGTTCATCAAGCCTTTCTCCTCTTCTTCTTATCCTTGGCGGCCTTTTCCTCCCGGTCCTTCTTCTCGTCAACCTCTACAAGCCAGTCCTGCTGAACCATACCTTCCTCACGACGCTTCTTAGCACCACCCTTATCGTAGCCCCACGTGCGCTCCCATTCGCCTGTCTCCTCGTTGTATTTTTGGGACTTGGCGTGCCGCTGCTCGCGCGTCTTGGGCTTGATACCCTTGCGCGCGGCGAATTGCTCCCATTTCGTGGGGGGCTTAGCTGCTGGCAGGAGCTTCTCGCGTGGTAGAGGGGTCGTGGGGTGAGGTAGGGTGAGCAAGACGCCGGATGTGGTGGCGGCAAGAGGGAGTGTCGTTAGGAGCTGGTTGATAAGGGCTTGCGCACCGTCGCGGGCGGTGGCGGCGAGCTGTGCCTCTAGATCGTTTGAGTCGACTTCTTCCGGGATGGATGTGGAGAGCGGGTTTGGGTCGTTGGCGAGGAGGAGCCCAAGATCGAAGGTGTATGGTGTTGGCTTGGTGACAGCGACGTCGAGCTTTGGTGCAGATGGCGGGGCCATTGTAGAGGTTTTTGTGGTCAGAATTGACCGAGATGAATTGGTAATAGGTCGTTCGTAGATTTGGTAGCGATATTCACCCACTATGGCTAGATTATATCCTTTATGTTTTGTGTTGTTGCAATGCTATAACGGCGTGAGTGGGATGTTAAACCAAAAGAAAGATGAATCTTCCAATTGAACTTCCCAAGAATTTTTGGTTAGATGCTAGTAGCGCAGGCATATCAGACTTATCGATAGCAGATCGGAGTGCTAATTTCTCCGCCATTTCTCTCGTACCTACCTAGGTATGTTAGGTACCTACGTACCATAGAAGTGACCCACACCGATATGCTTTTATCGAAGGTCTCATTCCTAAAATTTAGCTGTGGCTCTTTTTGCGATTTTGCGATTTTGATATTGAAGCTTCTGGTGTTGGAAATTCGCCGAGGACCAACGTTCGAATTCGATCCACACCAGAAATGGCGAGTGCGAATTGTTGGAGGTGTCTAGCACGGCCCTCACAGCGGCTATTCGTGCCAGTATCATCATTACCAGCTCCGTCGACCCCAGCATCAGCGGTAGCGTTCACAACCTCGGCGCAACTGAGGGCCAAGCCTGGCCAGAAGGAAGAAGCAAACCTCTCACGACATGTTCGTACCGGAAAAAAGTTGATATTGGGAAAGAAGAAGCGACCAGCCGATAAGGGTAAACCCCCGGTGTCTGGGGAAAGAAAGGCATTTCGGAAGCGCATTCAGCTCAGCAACAATAATGCCTTGGCAGTAACAGGCCTTGGCGAATTGACGGCCGAGAACGTCGTGGATTCTAGTTCTGTAGGCCAGGTGTTCAGCCTACCGGAGGTCGTGTTAGACCAACTGAGGGCCAGCGAGGCGTTTAAGCCGACGCAGACTTGGGGCTTATTCCGGTCGCCACATACGTTAATCAGGAAGGAGACGGTAGACCTAGCGAAGCAGCTCACAGATGCTGTCGACAAGAAAGAGACTCTGAGATTGGTTATTACTGGGGATAGGGCGTCGGGGAAGAGTGTCTTGGGTCTTCAAGGATTGGCAACGGGCTTTCTGAATAAATGGGTTGTAATTAACATCCCAGAAGGTACAGAAAACCCCCTTCAGTCTGGTCTGGGATAATTCAAGGCTAACTGCTCTTTACATGTCCAGGGCAAGAACTGACTACTGCGGCGACTGAGTATTCTCCCATACCCAATTCCGAGCAGTTCTCCCAACCCGTATACACTGTCAAGCTCTTCCAGGCTATCTACAAGGCCAACCAACCCATTTTATCACAGTATAAGGTCGAGTTAGACCATATGCACCTCCCTATCTCGGTGAACCGAGGTATGACGCTCGCTGCTCTCGCAAACGCTACCAAGGAACCTGAGTTTGCCTGGCCCGTATTCCAGTCCTTCTGGAAGGAAATGTTACTGCCAGGCCGTCCACCGATTATGTTTGCGCTCGACGGCCTTAGCCACATCATGCGCATCAGCGATTACCGCTCACCCGCCTTCGAGCTTATCCATAGCCACGACCTGAGCTTACTCCGCCTATTCACAGACGCGCTGGGCGGCAAGACGAATTTTGCCAACGGCGCGGCGATCCTGGGCGTGTGCACCAAGGGCAATAGCCCTATAATCCCGTCAATGGAGAAGGCTCTAGAACAAGCTGCTGCCGCACAGGCTGGCGAGCCGATCCCGCCTCGAGACCCGTTCTTCGCCAAGTATGACGAACGTGTGTTCGACGCTCTCAAGGGCGTCAAGGTCTTGAATCTCCGCGGCGTCTCCAAGCAGGAGGCCCGCGCACTTATGGAATACTGGGCTGCGAGCGGTATTCTTCGCCTGCGCGTTGACGAGAAGAACGTTAGCGAGAAGTGGACCCTGGCTGGTAGTGGTATCCTCGGCGAGATGGAGCGAGCTACGCTGTATGATGTCAGATCGCCTGTGTAAATTACTCTTGCTCCTCTACGAAGTGACTACCGCTCTAGAGGTTAGGCGACGATATATTGCCGGTAAGGATGTATATAACACAATAAGTATAGTGTAGAATATGCACGATATGATATAAGCTCTACGGCGATGTAGATTAGTTATGACTTGCTTTAGTTATAATGCGTGCTAATGAATAAATGATAAGGGATTGTGAATTAGAGAAACGTACCTATTCATATGATGGGAACATGTACATGTTGCATTAAAGGGATTATAGCGCCGACCTATGTATTTGAAAATGAGGTTTGAAAATGAGGAAATGTTGAATTGAGCATGTGCGTGTCTTGCGTCAAATTGGGTGGTTTAGAATCTTAAGCTTGATATAACATTTATATAAATGACGGTGCCCCTATTTTGCCGTTGGGGTGTGAGGTATATAATAAATAGTACTAGATCGTAGAAATAGATGTAAAATCTAGGAACACCTTCTCGTAGGTAACATATAACACTCCTATGATTTATATAGCCAAGTCTTTATTATAAAGGAGAGTCTAGAAGGAGATAAAGAAGCGACATCGTTGCATTTGCACCTATGGAAGCCGTAATAACAATTCATCATTATCTCGCATCCCATTGCAATTCTAGTCTGGCAAGGGTGAATAAACTGCATTTAGACATATAGCAGCTCTGAAATATCTATGAGTTAGATTAACCTATGCATTAAGTGGCAGGATAGGCTGAAGACTTTAGGTGCTTGCACATGGATTGTAACATAGATTAGGGGAAGGCAACAGTATTGAAATGTTGTAAATGACCTTGATTGTATTGTTTATGTAGCCCTGTAGGATATGTCACTGGGACTGGCTACGAGGGAGACAACATATACCTCTATATATTATAATCGAACTGATCGCGACTTATCCGTCTTTTAGTCCCCTCCGTTGAAGCTGAAGTTTGAAAGCTTGAAGACCAAGTCGTCAAAGTGACCTATGTAACATCATAACGCAGAATTAAGGATACAATATGTATTTATGCTTAAAGTAGCTTTCTCTTATTTCTGGCATCAAGAACTAGGTTGAAAACAAGCAAGTTACTACGGCAGAGAATATCTTAATCGTTATACCAATAATAGCATTGATCCAGGTTCCAGAACGCCGTGGCTTATTTTCATCCTCGTACTTCTAGAGCAGAAGCCCATTAAGAGCTTTGTTTCGCTTCGCTTTCATATCTGATCTACAAATCACCTTACTCGTCGTCTTCCTCCCCTACGTTATCCGTCGCCGTGATGAACACCAGCCTGCTGCCATTGCCCGCTGTCTGCCATACCTGTTTTTTGCAATGTCAGTAACTTAAACCACTGTAGGAGATAGAGAATGGAAAGACTCACATCAAGATTCGTATACTCATCTAGCGCATTCAACCACTGGTCTTCGGTAAATCCCTTACCCAGCACACGTTCGCGCACCTTCCGCATGCTCAATTCCACTGTACCCTCCTCATCATCCTCATCCTCCTCGGCTCGGCACGCACCGCTGTCAGCCAGCGACTTGACCAAGTTGTAGATACGGCTAGCCGCGTTGAGCGTTCTTCTACCACCCGTGGCCTCGTGAGCAGCCAAGCTCTCCTTGCTAGCTTCTATAAGCCGCAGCGCCTCGTCTATATCATCTCGGTTCACCGCGGTATCGAATCGGAGTCGCGCCAGTGCCTGCGCGAGACGTACCACGCCTAGCAGTGTTCGTGGTGTTGTATGACTGAATTGCTTGTTCTTCTTTTCAGCGCGGCGCTGCGCGTCTCGTAGGCGAACGTAAGTCTTAGTTAAGTATTCGGTAACGGTCTCTGGGACCGTAGGTCGGTATGTGCGGGCTTGCGCCACGTACGCTCGTACTTCGTGGGGTGTAAAGACTATGTTGGGAAGCTGTGCCCCATCGTCGCCGCTGGTTTCGTAGAGGTCGGGGTGCTTGTTGTGCATATGCACGTATGCTACGTGCTTAGCCAATTGGGCATCGCCCTCGCGAGTCGGCGTATCAAGTAGCAAAAAGAGGACATCAAAACGTGAGAGTAGAGCTGCCGGCAAATTGATATTCTCCACTGGTGATATACGTGGGTTGTAACGGCCATAAATAGGGTTAGCAGCAGCTAGGATCGATGTCCTCGCGTTCAGCGTAGTTGAGATACCGGCCTTGGAAATGGAAATCGTCTGCTGCTCCATGACTTCGTGAATGGCAGTTCGATCATTGTCATCCATCTTATCGAACTCGTCGATACAGCAAATACCGTTGTCCGCCAAAACCAGCGCACCACCTTCGAGAACCATTTCGTCTGTTACGGGATCGCGCATTACGGCTGCGGTAAGACCAACACCACTTGAACCACGGCCAGATGTGTAGACACCTCGAGGGGCAACCTTTGAGATATACTTCAACAACTGAGACTTGGCTACACCGGGGTCACCCATTAAACACATGTTGATGTCGCCACGAATCTTCATACCGTCACCCATCTGCTTTGTGACACCGCCAACTAACAATAGCAGGAGCGCCTTTTTTACGTCAAGGTGACCATAGATTTCGGGTGCAATTGACTTCGCCAACATCTCGTATACGGTACCCGTGTGGTTGTAGTTGCTGATGCGCCTTAATAGCTTGTCGTCAATGATCATCTCTTCGTACGCTTTCTTGTGCTGAACAATATGATGTGCTTCGATATATGTGTCGGTAAGAAGTCCAGCTCGCATAGCTTGGAAGCCTGTATAGGGGGTAGGTAGAAAAATTCCCGAAATATCAACTACATCTCCAGGGCTGATCTGACGGACTGCGCTACCATAACACATGATTGTGAGGGTTCGGGGAATCTGGCCAATAGGTACTTGTTCCGCTAGTTCTTGAATCTTAACTTCTTGGAAAGGTAGGAACTTAGACGCGCGTGAGGACTGGAAGAGCTGGCCTTTTGACTGGTTCTCCTTACATTCCTGGGACGGGCAGCTAGTAAGGGGTGCATATTGCTTATCATTGACAGGCTGGAAGATTTCACATCCACAACGATCACAAGTATATGCTCCCACTTGCACAATGGGTTTGACGTCCGATACTCTAGTCGCTATACCACGGATTGTGATAAGATGACCAAGATGCTCGCCTCGTACTTGTCGTACAGCAAGGGCCTTAACCGGGTTCTCGCTGGTGGATGTTCTGGGCTTAAAAACAAGTGTATATCTCCTCGTCAGCTGAGCCGGGAAGGTAGACTCGAGTAAATCTGGGTTATTGGTGTTGGCAGCTGCTTCAACAAGATCACGATTCCGGGCTTGTCTCCTTTCCATGATT